TTTTCTCTTCGTTTAGGCCTACACAAGTATGGATGACTACGCCATTACATGTAAATTAATGTCGCAAACGATCCGGCGGTCATTATTATTAAAAGCAATATGCTGGATATGAAGTGTGTGGCAGTAATGATTTTCTCACAAAGTGTATGGCAAAATAATGTTCCATTGGTAAGTCAGCAGAAAGCCTCACAAATAATTGGCACTTACGTGCACAGTGGCACTTAATGGGATTACTGCAATACATGGATGTGATTATGGCCGTTACTATTAGTAACACTCGCCGGATTATGACCGACCTATGACGCATCTTTCTTTGAACCGCAGTACGTACAAATGATTATTGATATTGTGATATACCTTGTTTATTTATATAACAACATCACTTGTGCTTACTTAGAAAACGAACTGACATTATTTTATGCACTTCCGGTGCTCAAACTGTCAGAAGCAATCTCCCCCTTTTGATTTGAAGCGTCCATTATCATGTTTATATACCATGTTTATATACCATTTACATGTACGTAACTCGTATTGGTGAAACAAATAATTCATCAGTTAAATACAATGCAGCCGAGATGATTTGATGCGTTCTACGGACAGTTCTTTTTAAACAATCCCTCCTCAGAGTTTCGGCAATATACTTACACAAGGTTGTTTGTCACATTGTACGTGGCTTTGCTTACAGTACTGGTCATTCAAGTACGTGTAACTGCCGTTTAGTTTATAAAGTAGTATATTAAAAGAAAACCACTTGAATGAACATTTCTGAAAATCGGAATATTTTCGTCTTTAAATAATAGCACAATGAACAAAGTAAGAGCATAACATATTTGAAAGAACCATTCATAAATACCTCAGACAGTTTAGCTATTCCTATTGGTCGAGAGCCCGTCACGTGGCCGGTCTTAAACGGATGATAAAGACATTGCTAGCTGGTCTTAAACACTTTTCCAGTGTCACAATAAAATGTGGACTCCTAAAAATCCAGTGCCTCTTACCGTTTCATTGGTTGAACGTTCACAATCCTCACGTAGGCATGCGCAACACTACCAGTGAGTCATAATTTTATAGTTCAAAATTCCAAACGCAACGCCCCAGGTGCGTTCTGCGCGACATCGCGCAGAACATGCCACGCGCGCGTCAATCACCATAAAAGGGTTGTTTACATCTTACTCGCCAGCTGAACACTCCATTATTTTGCCAGAGGGATGTTTCAAAAAGCATGAAGTGAACTTGTTGAACAAAATCGGGATTTTTTTGAACGAATTATTTGATATTTTTTAACCGAAAAGGTATTTATGAATGTGAATAAATATGTGCTCGGTCGGTATTTATCACTCCGTTTAAGACCGCTTAGAGTCTGGGTGCTGATAATTACCCTCGCCTCCGGCTCGGGTAATTATCAGCACCCAGACTCTAAGCGGTCTTAAACGGAGTGATAAAAACCTCTCGAGCACACATTTATTCCCTTATTGAAATTAATGGAATGGTGGCTTTATGTGCATAACATTGTACTCATGTATACAAGTGATGTTATAGTATGGGTTTTTAGAAGGATGCAAATTAAATTTTAATCTTCAGTGGTGCTTTAAAAGTCGGCAGCTGAAGTAACGGACATCACACACAGCCACAAATAGGACCTTTGGGAGACGCTTTAGCGTCATAAGTTATACCTTTGGGATACATGTGCAATTAGGGAGACATTTTAATGTCTCCCTAATGCCTTTATATAGAGGCAAGATTTGAGAGTCGAAAATAGGATAGATCGATTGCTCGTGGACCACTAGTAAACAAAACACAATTCGTGGGGAAGGAAATTTGGGTTAGGGGTCATTAAAGTTAGAAAAACAACAAGTCTATGAGAATGACTCCCTAGGGTTCCGTTGGTAGTGGGAATATCTCAGTCAATGACTGCAACATGCGAGTCTGTGCAGAACAGTTTCACATGAGATCTCGATCCGTTTCAATTGCATTGCTATTCCCCCCCTCCCCGAGACGGACAACATGGCTACAGCTTGTTTGTTTGTACGATTCTGAGAATATTGTATCATTTTAGGTCCTCCTCCATCTTTTGTTTAGAAAGCAAAAACGCACATGGTAAGCAAACTGAAGTTGCACAGTAGTCAGTGGCCGTAATGGAACAATTAGCCTGACCCTCATGAATCTTTAACCAGGTAAGACTTGAGAAGACAGGTCTGCCATAAGAGTGGATGACGGGGAGAAACTCAACGAGAGAAAGAAAACCCTATGTTACATGTATCAAGCAGCTTGTCAAATTTCCTAGAGCGACCCTCCCAAACGAATCATCTTCTTTTGAAACATTTGGCCTAGCGGTAATCAGCGCCATATAAAGCCGCCATCAGAACAGTCGACGACTGACCTTACTAATCCAGCTGCGCCAAAATTACGACCGATGGGAACATTTCAGTCGTTGATGTTGGTGCTACCTATGTGCAACTTGCCAACTACGGCGATATAAATACGATCGGCATCAGTCGGCGTTATTCAAATTCGCAAAAAGGAGGAGCATTTCAACTTCTGTGCCACGACCGAACGTGTCTGATAGGCGGGAATCAATCGTAGTCGACCTGCATAAAAAAATCCACGTACTGCGCACACACGGATGTTAATGTAATCATTATGTAGCTATAAAATCAGCGTGCGGACGAGTTTTATAAGAATATCGTTTGGTTATGTAACGGGAGGAGAAAAGATGTCGGTACAATACACTACGCAAAAACCATAAACGCCACACCAAATGCTCTGGCGGAGCTCTCGATGGCACTTAACCCTAAAAGGGCCGGGTTATTTTGACCATCTCTCAGCCGGGGGGGGGGGGGGGCGGAATCTAAGATCTCGGCCATCGATTAACGAAAAATTTTGAAACTCAGTACATTCATAGAGCAACTCTTTTTAACATACCCAAGAAATTTCATGACTATAGGTCAAAGGGTTTTGGAATTATGGGTAATTAATTATTCATAAGTACGAATGGCAATTCTGCTCCGAGTACACGACGTATATCGGAAAATTCATATTTCACGGCGCGTAGCGCCGGAAAATTTTTCGCTACGCGGCAACCCGTGGTCCGATTTTTTTGTTTTTTGGTATCAAAATATGCGCAAAGCTCGAGGCTAAAAAGTCCTAACAGCTCGGGTCGCGAAGATAACCCTTTTAGGGTTAATAAATAACATAATCTAATTCTTAGGGTGCAGACCTTTAAATCGACTACTATAGAACTCAGTGATAATTAGAGCCTACGCGTACCTTATTACCCTGAAAAGTAGTCTTGAGGACCATCGCCATTTTGAAAAATGATGCCGGTGCTCTATCGCAAAATAGAGCCTTGTTTAGGCTCCATTTTATTTTCAAAGGCTTCCAGCCACCTTTCTTTTTTGTTGCAAACCTATAGCCCACATAATGCTCTAATAGCAAAGAATTAAATACAAATGCCTATTTAGCCCGCGTAGGCAATTCTGGGTCTATTTATAGGTCCACCCTCTTTAGCAGAGAAGAGCATTCTGAGCATGACAGGGGTGGGCAGGGTGACCGGTCATTGCCAAATTCTGCTAAATGCACTTCAAAATATGTCAGATTTATCAACAATCTGCCAAATTCCCCAGAATTACTCGAATTACACTTTAAACACTTAAAATCCCATGCAGATGTAGTATTGCCTTGATTAAAATTCAAATTATTATAAACAACGTATAGTCAGTTAAAGATGTTTTGAACACGTATGCAAATGAGGAACAGTCTGGTGCCTGGATATGAGTTACACATTAGCGTTTGTTTTTGTATGCGGTGTATGGGGTAAAAACAGAGTCAATTCGTAGCAGCGCGAGCACAGCGTGAGTTACGAAAACACGATTTTTGAAATCAAACTGTTATACGATCTTATCGAAACAACATGCAGTATCATATTTCATATTAATATGAGCAAATTGGAAAATGAAATTAGTATTTTCGAGAAGGCGTGAACGAATGATCGCGAAAACACGTACTGCACGTTGTAAATAATAGCACCAAGTACACGATAAAAATCCATTACTAGCCAATTGCGGCATCGAATCAGGAAACAGGAAGAAAGTTTCCTATCCAGGGTTTACTACTGGAAACACGGTTGGAAATAAAGTAAGCACTGGGGACGAGGTTGAGTCCCCACCTGCATATGTGATTGAAATGTGATTGGCACTTTTGGATATTGAAAGCAGAAGGCCGGATTGGATTGAAGTGTCCGATATATATATATTTTTACATTTATGAAAGAACGTGAGTTTTAATGTAGACCATTTTCCCTGTGACATCATGTCGATATGAAACCGCCGACAACCCAAACATGTAAGCATATTTTACATGTTATTTGGCCCACATTAAACATAATGTACTAAAGTGATTACTTTAAAACCATTCATCAAGAGATGAGAACCGCTTACTGTTTGCTTTGCATCATGTGACACGGGATCCAGTTTTGTCCAAAACACATGGAATATGTTAATGAAGTAGCGATAATAAACATTCAGTTCGAATGAGAAGTGAATACACATGTAATTTCATATCAGTGAAATGTTACAAAATAGACGTACATGTAATGAAGTGACGTAGTTTGGTAATCGATTTTAGATACAAAGACGCACGAACGTCCAGATCAGTGCGTAAGTGTGTACAACTACTGCTGAATTTTAAAATTCTGGGTTTTTTTAATGGCCTTGCGTACATGAAAGTATATAAAAGTACCATTGCAAACGAAATACACGATACTCACACATTAATCTGTACTAATTCGATTATTACGTTCACAATACGCAAACACTCAGTGACTGATATAGTGGTTTGGTTACGATTCACAGGTGACTGGTACTCCGTGGGAAAGATTATCGGATGGAGTAAAGATTCTACGCAGGGAGGTCTAATATCCATATGCAGATTGGCTCCATCACTGAACAAAACATGTTCGATTTTGAAGTTTCATTTCGACAATTGAGTTAAAAACTGTTGCATTATTGGGTACAAACTGTTTACATTAAGGCGCAGGATGAAGAAAATAAGAGATTATCTTTCTCGAAATCTAAGCACTCTCCGTAGCAAATATGATTTCATTGGTATCTTTGAGAGTCTACACAGCATGATGCAGCGGCACACTTCCTTAAAGTCTGGGTGCCGGGCCGTGTAAATTATAGGATTTAAACAACTGTTTGCGATAAGCAATGCGGCTAAAAAGGGGAGCAGTTTATGGACTGTGCCATGCATGACAAACACCGTCACTAAATAGGGTGTACAACAGAACATGAAGCAAAAGACGACTAGAAATAAACTCAAGGTAACGTCAAGACTTCTACGACAGGGAGGCTTGCCTTCTCGAGTGAGGAGACGATTTTGAATCGGCTGGGCTGATCTTTGACCACCACCACGCTTAGCCGGCTGTGCATTCAGCCTCATGACTGCACCGACAACAGCTATTTGCTGCTGTCGAATGGAGTTTACCCTTCTGATGTGTTTCCTAACAGAAAATACGATGAAGACACTGCTGGCGAAAATGACAACCAACTGCAATGGGTAGCAGGCTGTAATGAGTTTAGCAAATGTTTTGAAGCCTTTGGAGCTCGGGCTAATGGAACAGGTACTAATTTTAGTGTCGTATTCGTACGAACCGGCCTCAGATACAATGGGCATTAAACTGGCACTTGAAGGGAGCAGCCAATTTATAGCGACCATAGCAGCCAGGCCGCGACGGTTGAACAGCCAGATCAGACGGCTTTGGTTCGTCCGAAGAGTGATCAGGGCGCGGTAGATGGCAATTGACGCGATGCTGTTCATACTGCACCCGATGCAAACGACGAATAGAAAGCCCTGGAAAGCGCAAAGAGGCAATGGAATAAGTAGATTTTCCTTGCTTTCGCTCAGCACCGCCAGGAGCGTGATAGGCAGGCTCATACAGATGAGGAGGTCCGCCACGGCCAGGTTGATCACAAACACGTTGGTTGTGGTGCGTGGTTTGCGGGAGAGGATCGGGGCAAGCACGACGGCGCTGTTGCCGATCACACCGGCGAATGAGATGAGACCGTACAAGGCAGCTAACAACTGCTTCTCGCCATAACTGTCATAGACAGATGCCACCGAGCCTTCACTGTTTGTTGAAGTGAAGTTTGACATCCTGGAATTCGAAGAATTTTTCAAACCTGTGATGGTTACGGATATGATAATATCAATTTGGCAAGCAATGTGTTCAGTACTGAAATCTTGGTCCTTCTGTGGTGACAGTGTTTTCAGTCTGGACGTGGCTAGCTAGCAATGACAACAACTGTATGAGCTGTGAGACGGTCTTTCTCCCCGTCACTGGAGAATCGAGGTGAGGACGGGTAATCAGTGTCGGTGGCCAATCATCGTTGTTTCTACAGAAGATGGACTGCCTTAAAACCTGCCTCGTGTATCCTGGGGTACTCCAACGCGTTGTTAGTATTTCAATCTCACATTGTGAACTGGCCATGGCTACTTAACCCTAAAGGGGCCGGGGGCGGAATCCGCCCCCCCCCCTCAACATTTTCCGCGATAGCTTCTAAAAAAAATTATTTCGCGATCCGAGCTGTTATGACTTTTTAGCCTCGAGCTTTGCGCATCTTTTGATACCAAAAACATAAAAATCGGACCACGGGTTGGCACGTAGCGAAAATTTTCCGGCGCTATGCGCCGTGAAAACTGAATTTTCGCATATACGTCGTGTACACCGAGCAGAATTGCCATTTATACATATGAATAATTAATTAGCCATAATACCAAAACCCTTTGACCTTTAGTCATGAAATTTCTTGGGCATGTTTAGGAAGAGTTGCTCTAGCATGTGCTGAGTTTCAAAATTTTTCGTCACTCGATGGTCGAGATCTTAGGGGGGGGGGGGCGGAATCCGCTGAGAGATGGTCAAAATAACCCGGCCCCTTTTGGGTTAATTGCCCTTGATTGTTTTCGATTTCTGTCCTGATAAAACACAGCGCAGGATCTCCTTATTTGAACGGATCATTTTTTTTTTGCAAACTTATCCTTTTGGTTTGGAAGGATGAAGGTCGAGTGACATTAGGGTTGTCTTTCTATGAGCGTAAAATGCGGACCAGAAAAAAATGAATACATGATGTAGCTCTTTGGTAATTCACAAAAGGTTCTTACTGCACTATCATGTTTCTCGGTACCAACGCCTCCGTCTCATGCAATCAGAAACATATCAAGCAAAATTGATATTAGATAGTCTTATATTCCTTATTAACAAAATAAGAAGATTCATGCTTATAGTTACGAGTACAAACAACCGAAAAATTATCAGGTTACCCCAAAAATAATTGAACAGAGGATGAAAGATGATGAAATAAGCTTTAATTTGAGTTGTGAGTAATTTTAGTTAATTTGGGGAAATTACCACCGAGGTCTACGGCATACAGTCTCTGGAACGCAACAACCGTTTTTGATAAACGTAACCGGAAATTATTTCCATAAAGATTTTTCGGGAATTTGTTTGTCAGAATTGATTGAAAGAAGCATTTGGTCTACCGGAGCAAGGGCGGATCCAGAACACAATTTTAGGGGGGGCCAAAAAAAAATTGGTCCCCCCAAAAAGTGGGTCAAATCAATTACGGCATGGGGTTCGGGGCCCGCTTAAGGGCCCCGAAATTTGTTTGGATTCTAGATGCTCTGTTGTGCGATCTGAGGCAATTTCTGACCACTTTAACCAATGTTTTTTTGAGGAAAAGATGGTGGTGTACTCATTGTCTGCCTTTATTGCGATGTTACATAAAAAAAAAATTGGTTTCGTTTTTTTTGGGGGGGGGGGGCCATGGCCCCCTTTGCCCCCCCCCCCCCCCCCCCCTGGATCCGCCCTTGTCCAATCCTGACGGAAAGCCAGTAGAGCTAATAATTAAAAACATTCAACACGTATTTTATGTTACGTCTGTTATCTTTTCACTCTTAAAAGTCCTGGGTCAGAATTGACCCGGAATCCAGATCCCACTTGACCAGATACTTCCGGGTCAGAATCGGACACTTTTGCGGGTCAAAATGATACTTCTCTAGATCATTTTCCGGCTCAAAATGACACTCTTGCGGGTCAAAATGACACTCTTCTTGGTCAACATCTGCGGGTCAAAATGACACTTCTCTAGATCGTTTGTTGGGTCGTTTTGACCCGGAAAACTGTCAGGTCAAATATGAACAGGAATGCGGGTCAAATCTGACCTGCCGCTGTGTAGCGGGTATATACAAACAAGAGGCTTCATCTAAGTTTTGGCTTCCGCAACATGCGTGGCCAGTGATATTCAAGGCTTCAATCCTGGCCAAATCTCGCTGGCCCCCAACCCCCCGGCCCCCGTTCAATGTTGTCTCTCATTGCGTGGTGTGTGCTCCATCAGCTGGAGAGAACAACATTAACCCCCCCCCCCCCCCCGAGTGGGGGAATGGGTGACTGTGGCAGGCTCAGGAAGTGCCCAACCATTTTGGCCGGGATTGTAGGTGGGCATTGGCTTTCGGGCAACCCTCCGCCGACACTGAACATTGGGTGCGTTCGTTTACCTTGACCGGATCGACTCAGGTAAAGGCAGACGGGTCAGCCACGACAGCCGGGCTAATTGAACACTCAACCGCTGGCCATCACGATCTATAACGTGACGCCCGTAGCATAGCAACGGTCGTCATGGCCGTTGCCACTGACAAAAACGCCCGTTGGTTTTGGTATGAGATTTACTTCTTTTCAGTCATTTGCAAAACTCAAAAAAGAAGTTGGGCTGGAATTATAATGTAGCCACAATAGTGGCAATGAACTCAATAAATGAGACTTCAAATAAAGTTACTTTTTTAAAGTCCACTTGATATTTCCCGGCGCTGTCCGGCCGCCATATTTGTCCGTTTCTTGGAATATGAACAAAACATGCGTGTGATGTATTTCAACGAGCAGGGTCTGTGGTGGCTCAGACCCGGGTGAGCCCAGAAAATGACGTCAGAGCTAATCGAGCGGCACGGGCTTGACCCGTGTTGACCCGGGTGAACTAAACGAACACACCCAAAGAAACCACTTGAAAAATATCTATTTAATATACATGTATAAGCCTACTAACAGCCATATGGTTGCGAAGGCAAAGCGTCGGTCGTTGTCAAGGAAAGCTAATCCGATTACGTTCTTAAACGCTGTAACAGAGCATTGAAATTCGTGAACCCCAAAAACATTGTCTATGTTGAACGTTGTGTTTCTCAGTAAATATGCTCGGTATGATTCAAATGTTACATTCCAACTGAAGAAGAAATTCTAAACTTCATGTCAGTGAAAAAATCGTCGTCATCGATGCCGAAACGTCAATACTGCATGGTTACTGTCAAAGCTGACCTTCAAGTCTGGAAGAAATAGTTCGAAAACTTCCCCAAACGTATGTATTTATCGCAATCAGAATTTACCCAAGTTGTTATTATTTAACGAGTAGTTGAACACTTATATCATCTAAGTATATTCCGAATTAAGTTGTTGCGGACGCTATATGCCGTACAAGTTGTTTGGGGAAATTTTCAAAACCTCGCTTCTTTAAAGGGTGCAGACCAGTAAATCGGTCCGAAATTGCCCACGCTGGCCCCCAAATTATTTTAGCACATTGTGGGCCATGAACTTGAGGGTTTGTGGAAGCCGTGCAGATGACAGTTTGAGCTGGTATTTCCGTGAAATGTGGATGATTGGGCCCTAAAATTGCCCTATTTTGCCCAGGAGCGTATAGGCGCCAGTTTTCAAAAGTGGCGATGGGCTTCAGGACTGCTTTTAGAGGTGCTCATCTTTGGATGAATTTCTCCCAAAAGTTATTGGCTACCCCCCAGAAAATTGAACAGAAAATGAAAGATGATGAAATAAGCTTTAATTTGATGTATCTTGAACACCTCAGAATGTGAGTATTTTTCCTGAATTTCTGAAGTGGGGGCATTTATCATTAGGGTCTATGGAAACTTAATTACTTGTCTGCAACCATAGACTAGGGCTAGACCAGCGCCGGCCGGCCGCGCTAGTATTTTTTTCCATACCAAACGATGGGGCCCTATATTGATCGATCACTGCTGTAGTGTCCGATGGTGCGAGTTCGATTCCCATTGGATGCTTTTTGTGGTTTGGAGGATTTGGAGGGAAAATACAGTCCGAGAACCTGAATTGCAACTTTATCTCTCAACTTCGAAATACGCCCATGCGCATAGAGGCCTACGCATATGTGTACAGAAAAAAGGCGTATACCGTACGGAAAAAATAGCGCTCCCTCGACCCCAGCGCGGTGGCCCATCAATAGAGGGCGGGTTGTATAAAGTGGGTGACGTACATAGAGGGCGCTCTTTGGAACACATTCGGCCGGAGTAAAGTGGCGTGAAAAGGTAATATCCAATTTGTTTTCTATGTTTCTCAGTAATTTCATGGTAATAGATACCATTATTTCATTGATTGGTTGTCCTGCCAAGTTTTCAAGATTATTGAAAGCACTGCTAGTGCTACTTTATGATTTTCAAAGCGAAGTGAGTTCTGCAAATGTAACCGGCATGACCGGCAATGACCGGCGAATTTTGTCACAACTGAACTGGTTAACAGGTTAAGGACTAGGCCTAGGCCTAGTCCGAGTAACTTGGACCTAGCCCGACTGCGTCTGGCCGCACAGTACTATCGCAAGCTCTGTAGTACGGCCAGACGCCCGATGCTTCCACAGAGACTGAATTTTGTTGGCCGCCGATGTAGCGATTTTGCTACATCTTTCGATCGCGATTATCTTTTCATCCAGGACACAAATTTCCAAAGTTAAGGTTCGTAGTCGTAGAGCAACTCATACCTTTTCGAAAAAAGGTTGTTTGGTCTCAATATTTTCATCCATCTGGCCACAAGACGAATTTCAGTCATCAGATTCCACAAATATCGTCCCCCATGCGATCCCCCATGCGATTTCAAAATGGCGGCCACGCTGTAATGTATGCAATATGCAGGCGCGCCCGCGCAAACTCATGAATATGCATAAACAGTCTGTGACGTAATGACCTCGTGTTTTTGGACGTGCGTGCGGCGGGGCCGTACGTCCAAAAACACGAGGTCATACGTCACAGACTGTTATGCATATTCATGAGTTTGCGCGGGCGCGCCTGCATATTGCACCATTACAGCGCGGCCGCCATTTTGAAATCGCATGGGGGATCGCATGGGGGGACGATATTTGTGGAATCTGATGACTGAAATTCGTCTTGTGGCCAGATGGATGAAAATATTGAGATCAAACAACGTTTTTTTCGAAAAGGTATGAGTTGCTCTACGACTACGAACCTTAACTTTAGAAATTTGTGTCCTGGATGAAAAGATAATTGCGATCAAAAGATGTAGCAAAATCGCTACATCGGCGGCCAACAAAATTCAGTCTCTGTGGAAGCATCGGGCGTCTGGCCGTACTACAGAGCTTGCGATAGTACTGTACGGCCAGACGCAGTCGGGCTAACTTGGACCCAACTTATCGCCTTTTTTAACATTTGGACATGGTCTGGCGATAGTGGGGTCCAAGCTAATACCGCGACCTGGACAACATCACCCTGTCACGTCACGTCACTGTCCCAAAAACCAACATTTTCCAAGAAACTTCAGATTTCACCTTCAAAACGGCCTCCAAATGACTAGATATGCCACCTGAGGTACAAGTACTAGAGTAGACATCGATAATTAAGATGGTTTTACTGAAGTTTACTTACGATCTGGAAAAAAGTGAATTTCGTTCATTTTGGAGAGCTCCCCTCGCGATCTTGAACACGTAAAATTTCCGATCGTGTTTAATGTTTGAACGACGCGATTTCTTCTACATGCCAAGCGTACATTCGATGGTCCCAGTATCCCGAGTGCGATTCCATTACCGAGCGCGCGCTATGCATCGATTATAATAATGAGTCACGTTTGTAAACACATACACTGTACCTGTGCATTTCGAACAGTAAAAGGGAATCGGGAACCAGCTTAAACTTGTACCCGCCATAAAAGCTGCGCTAGTTCCCGACTCCCTATTATCGTTTGAAATGCACATGTGTTTACAAACGTGATCCAGTCTACTCATTATCATAATAGTCCTACTCCTACTTCCTAGCTTGAGTAACTCCAGCTGACATGCATGCTCCATATTCATTCACATGTAACGCTGGAGGCATAACCTGTTCGTTAGAATGTAGTACTGGTATGAGTGGTAGCAAGAGACCCTAAAAAAAGCAAGTAGCTTGAGTAACTCCAGCTGCATGCTCATTCATTCACATATAGCGCTGGAGGAATAACCTGTTCGTTAGAATGTGGTAGCAAGAGACCCTAAAAAAATGGCCGCTCAACAATTGTTCATTTTCACCTCTAATATCCCAACCCAGAGTTCATTTACATACCTCATACATTCAGCAGTTATTTACGAAGCCTAATGATCGACTTGAAACAGACCACAAAAAAAAAATGTGAAAAATCCCGACGATTTCGGTGGCTTGTCCGAAAAAAACGCCAGTTCCAATGGCTGTCGTCCATTTTGTTTTGCTATTTATTATGTATGCATCACATGATGACATAAACAAAATCTGTGCGCGCGATGTATGTCATGTATGTGGGTACCACACCGCTTTCAGGCGCCACAAGTGAGTTCAATTTTCGTCTGGTGCGTTGTCGTGGAGAGCATTCTCGTTGTCTTGCTTTCCGCGACAACGCACCAGACGAAAATTGAACTCACCTGCTCATTATCATTTACGTATCATTTTCGTTTACAGGTCTACATGTACATTGATGATTTCGATATAATTATAAATTAAGTATGATGGAAAAAGGGTATGTTATGAGAAAAATATTTGGCTGTAGGGCCTTCGCAGATTCGTCCTTTGAAAAAATATAGGTACAATAACAAGCAATTTTCAAAATGTTCAAAATGGCTGCCATTGCTTGTTATTCCACCTATATGTTTCAAAAGAACAAATCTGCGATGGCCCTATAGCCACATATCTTTCTTATTAAAGACATACTCTGACTGTGTGCGAAATGCCATGCTTGTATCATCAAAGGCACAATCCCATCACCAAATTGCCGCACTATAGGTGCTGGGGTTAACTTCACTGCTTATCAACTGAATATTTGTCAATTATTGACTTTCCATCCTCTTCAGATCCAACCATGTTGCAGCAGGTTTTGAGACTGGGCCCCCAGGCCCACAACACCCTCTGTCTTGTCCTGAGGAGGAACATCGCCATGTCAACCGTCGTCATGGCAAATGACAAGTCCATGACCCCCGTGCAGAAGCTCTATCTAGACAAGATCAAGGAGTACGCTAAGAAAAGCAAGTAAGTGGCTTTGCAAAAGGTTAAGGAGTAACTCGGTTTATATCAAATCGACATTGGCACCACGAACTGACACTAACGCGCAAGTGGATGTCAGTTCGTGAAAACCACGTAAATAATGAAAGGTTTGCAGAAACACCATGTGCGAATAATTTCTCAACTGAGAGAATGGTTCTGAAAAGAACCAGAGGTATAAACTTGACTGTCTTCAGGAGAGCCAGTCAGAGCTAGCCCCGTAAATGTGGCCTATTTACTGGACTGCCTCCGTAAACATAGGCCACATATCCACATGTACAAAAAACGTGTCGACTTTGCCAAATTTTGATTTTCACATTTAGGCTTACTTTTTAGATTTTTTTTTGCTTTAGAAGCATTCTCACCCTCTATATAAGCTAATCAGAAAGTGCTGCCTTTTTCAGATGTTTAATTTTTGTGAAATTTCATGTTGAAATTTTTGATACGCAAATGTGTGCAAATGTATCTGGAAATTTCACGAAAAATGGACATCTGAAAAAGGCAGCACTTTCTGATTAGCCTATATAGAGGGTGAGAATGCTTCTAAAGCAAAAAAAAACGTAAAAAGTAAGCCTAAATGTGAAAATCAAAATTTGGCAAAGTCGACACGTTTTTTGTACATGTGGATGTGTGGCCTATGTTTACGGAGAAAGTCAGAGCATACTGACCGGAGCGTCGAGTTTATACCTCTGGTTCTTTTCAGAACCGTTCTCTTAGTTTTAGAAATTATTCCCACATGGTGTTTCCGCAAACCTTTCATTATTTAGTATCTCCACCATGCAAAGCCTCAAATCTTACTTAAAACCACGTAATCAACAATTTCTATATCACGAACTGACACTTGGTAGTGCGCGCACATCGACACTGATGCAAAGTAGGAAGAGTTTCGTTTTCATGAAGTGACACCCAAGCATGATGCGGCAATACAGAGCAGAGAAAAACAGTTTGAAAGGTTTTTCACAAATTTAATCCATCCGTATACTTGTGTGCATGTACTTACACAAAAAAAATAATTAAAAAGTGTTTTAATTGGTAAAATTAAGGTTAGTGTCAGTTCATGAAACCGAAAACAACCCGGTTCTGTAAATACGCGTGCGTTCAGCGCAACTGAGTGTCAGTTCGTGGTGCCTATGATGAATTATTCCTGTTATAAATTTCCTGAACTTTTTCGCGAGCCATCCTACCGATATTCTGCACGTACAGTGGCCTTTTGTTGGCATTTTTGTTCTCTTTAGACTTAAATTCAAGTGGATATTCAGTCCTTCTGATTTGAAAATCACAGGCGGGTAGAAAAAGGCTCACAGATTTCTAGGTGTGTGTTTTTTCTAGGTGTGTGGTTTTCTAGGTGTATGATCTGTGGTCCAGGGAAATTCAGGCGTGCAATTATTCACACTTCTCAGGAAGCTTTTAGGTGTGTTTTTTCTAGGTGTGTGATTTTCTAGGTGTGTGATCTGTGGTCCAGGGAAATTCAGGCGTGCAATTATTCACACTTCTCAGGAAGCTTTTAGGTGTGTTTTTTCTAGGTGTGTGATTTTCTAGGTGTGTGATCTGCGGTCCAGGGAAATTCAGGCGTGCAATTATTCACACTTCTCAGGAAGCTTTTAGGTGTGTTTTTTCTAGGTGTGTGATTTTCTAGGTGTGTGATCTGCGGTCCAGGGAAATTCAGGCGTGCAATTATTCACACTTCTCAGGAAGCTTTTAGGTGTGTTTTTTCTAGGTGTGTGATTTTCTAGGTGTGTGATCTGTGGTCCAGGGAAATTCAGGCGTGCAATTATTCACACTTCTCAGGAAGCTTTTAGGTGTGTGATGGTGTGGGGGTGCGATTGCACGCCTCAAAACAGAAGGACTGGGTATTTGGCCGGGTTTTGGTCGCCCACTGTAGGCTGGACAGATACCACATACCATTCCTAGTCTCATTCTCAACGTACATGTACATGTACATGTAGTGTGCAGTAAATCACTATTAAACACACAGGGATTTATACATGTACATGTACGTAAACGTTTGCATATGTTCAAGCGTACATGTACATGTAGTGTGCAGTAAATCACTATTAAACACACAGGGATGTATACATGTGCATGTGCGTAAACGTTTGCATGTTCAAGCGTACATGTACATGTAGTGTGCAGTAAATCACTATTAAACACACAGGGATGTATACATGTGCATGTGCGTAAACGTTTGCATGTTCAAGCGTACATGTACATGTAGTGTGCAGTAAATCACTATTAAACACACAGGGATTTATACATGTACATGTGCGTAAACGTTTGCATGTTCAAGCGTATATGTACATGTAGTGTGCAGTAAATCACTATTAAACACACAGGGAGTTATACATGTGCATGTGCGTAAACGTTTGCATGTTCAAGCGTACATGTACATGTAGTGTGCAGTAAATCACTATTAAACACACAGGGATGTATACATGTACATACATGTGTAAACGTTGGCATGTTCAAGCGTACATGTACATGTAGTGTGCAGTAAATCACTATTAAACACACAGGGATGTATACATACTATGTACATGTGCGTAAAGGTTTGCATGTTCAAGCGTACATACATGTAGTGTGCAGTAAATCACTATTAAACACACAGGGATTTATACATGTACATGTGCATAAAGGTTTGCATGTTCAAGCCGTGAATATAGCTATAGCAAGCACAATTTTTCTTTCTTTTAACTGTGGAGCGTCGTGGTCCAATGCTTACAGTGCCCGACTCATGAGCCGTGGTACATGTAGGTGTGTTTGAACCCTGACAGAGAGCATGGCGCAGTGTTCTTGGGCAGGACACTTGTCTACAATTACCTCCCTCAACCCAGGATCATAAATGAGTACCTGTGAAGGTGGAGACCAGCTTGTGCAGATCTCAAGCTGCTGCACAAAAATTGTCTCTCAGCTCCAAGGCCGCTGTTAAAAAAAGTGCCGTATAAGGCCAAAAAATAAAAGTCTCCAGTTTCTGGTATGGAGCTTGCCCAAAAAGTGATGCGGCGAAGCGGCTGTTTTTTTTGGGGGGGGGGGGGGTTTACCGGTTTTTTTTCTTCAAATGTCGGTTGATGACTGAAAATGGTGCCTGACTAAACTTAGTGCAAATATATGGGGGTCCAGAGAGGCCACATAAAGCTTATACTCGATCGTAACCCCATCTAAAAACACGTTAAAATTGTGCAGCAGCAGGATTCCAGTCAAACCAGTGAGTTTGGCGGTTTTGGCACATCATCTTTCATAGAAAAAAATTAATTTTCATTTTGGCGACGCGCATGGCTACCGGGACGCGCGCGCATACCAGAAACCGAAGACTTTTTTTTTGGCCTAAGCATAACAAACTTTGAAAGATCCCACACACACAAAATTGCCTTCCCCCTTGCAGGGCTCTTGGTGGCAAGCTTGTAGATCCAGACCCAGTTATAGAGAAGGACCTGGACACCGAGGCGTCGCGACTAAACAAGCTCTACGGTGGTGGAGACCTGACGCAATTCCCAACGTTTGAGTTTAAAGGTGAGAGTGTTGTTAAAAAAAAATTGCGTAGATATCAGCATCAGTTCGCAGTAACAGAAAGTTACCACAGAAAGGCATTCCAAAAGACGTAAGCAGATCTAATTCACATTAGCAGTCAGTCAGTCCATCGTTCAGGCTCAAAGCAGACTATATGGCTCTTTCATGAACCGGCCAACATTTAGAATGAAATGAGTTGTGCGTACTTCGCGCTATGCGCGTGCTAACCAGTACGCACATGCGTTGTGTTCCGTCCACGGGGCTCTCAAAAGTGGTATAAAAGCGCCCTCTCCTGCAAGGGGGGGGGGGGGTGTTTGCCCCCCCCCCCAGAAAAGCAAAATAAAAACAAAAGAGAAAAAAGGGGAAAAGAAAGAAAGAAAAAGAGGCGTGAAATATTCCTGTTAATTTAATGGGTTGGGGGGCATTATAATTATCATTATGAAAAATGATAAATGGAAAATATGCTGGAAAAGTACAGGGATTTCGGGGGGATATTGTGCTTGGCCCACCTCTAGAAAAAATCCTGGCGCCGCCCATGCCTGTTGGTGCACGAAGCCCATAGGTTCGCATCTCAGGGACCAGCAAATACTAGCATTCTACGGTAACTGAAATCTTACACTTTTTTTTCATTTCATTCTCTTTGCTGCAGAAATTGACTTCGATGCACCTGCTGACAAGAAGTAGTCCACGTAACCGGCCTTTTTATCTTTTGCTGTGATTCGTTGATTCTCCAGATTCAGACTGGAGTATTTATATTAGGATTGAATGATTTATTTGGAGTTTTTACGAGAGCAATACATGAATGGATAGGAGTTGTACATGTACAGTGGACTGAAATGCATGTCTGGATGTTTGTCAACCCAGAACTGATCAGAAAGTGTTTTCAGTACGGGATGTTAATTGATTTCATAATCGCAGTCAGTTTTGAAGTCTGGTAGATGCATGTCATCCAGCAGATCCAATTTGAAAGTTCCAACTTGGGCTCCCGAACTTAAATTATAAAAGAACTTTGACAGAAATTAAGTCTTGGCCAAGATTTGGGTTGTTTTCCGCTAAAACAGCCGGTACCTGGCATCCAGCTAACTTTAATGCACTAGCTTGAATGCAGCACGTGTGAGGTACCGGTATGCTCGGAATGTTGTGGGTAGCGCTGCCAATGTTACCAACACTGGAGTTGTTTCATCTCATTGATTGCAACCTCTACAACCTCCGAAGCTTCTACATGTAAATCAAAATCAAGTCTGGCGCCAAGAATAACAGAAAACTAGGACAGAGGAAACATTTCCTTAGAAAGTGAATTGTAACGCACAATACCACTTTACCAAATGGTTGTGGACCCGCCATTCACATATTTCATAACAGCAGTGTATTTGACACAAGACTTAAAAAGCTCATCTTTGAAAAGTATTCTGATGAGATTGGCTGACAGCGTTGTCGGTAACTTTGAAGTTCATGTCCCATGCAGCAAAAAACAGTCTGGGAAATCTTTGGTTTGCTTTAAACTTCACCCCAGGGTATAGTCGAGAGGTAGTTGTGCAAATCACAAGTTATTAACCAAGTGGTTATTGTGGACCCGCCATTCACAGGTCGTAACAGCAGTGTGCCTGATACAGACTTAAAATACTCATCTTTGAAACCTCGAAAGTATTCCGAGTTCGGTTGCTGTGTAACTTTGAAGATGTCCAGTGCAGGCAGCAAATCTGTCTGGGAAATATTTGGTTCATTTGAAATGTCATCCCTTGTTACAGTTGAGAGTCAGTTGTTCAAATCGCAAGTTCTTTTACATGTACATTACTGGCAAAGTATATCACAAATAAAAAATGAATAAATTAGGACTATAATTTGGAGCATTGTACAGTGTACAATTTGTAGGGACCTCTTAACGCCTTGCATGAGTTTTTAAAATAGATGCATCATTGCAAGTACATTTCAACACTTGTGCACAACCACAGCTTCTGATTGCTTTGTTTTCCATTGAGTTGTTACTGATGTTTGTGATCATTAAAACAGGTTTGAAAAAGTTATATTTGAAACAGGGTTTTTTGGTGTCTTTTTTTTCCAGCTTGTTCCCGTGTAGTTGTAATCAGTGGCGTAACCACGGGGGGCGTAGGGGGGCGACAGCCCCCCCATGAAACCTTGTCGCCCCCCCCTAGTTGCCCCCCTCCCCCTCCCCCTCCCCCCCCCCCCCCCCCCCACTGAGATGAGATTCATTGAGATGATGTATGAAGACAAAAGTGGCGTCAGGTTGTAACATTTTTTGCCTGATGTCAACACACACACGTAAGTTATGCGCGTGAACTAGAATACGCAGCCTCACTTTGGTTCTCTATAGACCGAACCAATAGGCCCCGCCCACTGCGCCGTGGGCAACCAGAACACGTGCACCTAGCCTCTTCAATGCCACACTGTTCCAGCCATGCGCGTCATACGTGCTTGCACGCGTGTCAGACTTATGTGCACGTATGTCGGAGATACACGTAATAGTCAACCCAACCCTCAATCCTCCAAAATCCTCCAGGCGGTTTTGGAGGATTGAGGCTGAATGGAAAAAACAAATGTCGGTTGATTTTGGAGGATGCATTGTGTCCAGATTATAGGCTGTACCCAGCATTGTTTATATTTGTTTTCATGCATAAATGAGCCCAGCATTATGCTCAATATCATCCATGGGAACATGGTGCTTGTGCTCTTGAGCAAGGCACTTTACCATTATTGCTTCGTCCTTCGGATGGGACGTAAAGCCGTAGGTCCCGTGTGTTGTGTAATATGCACGTTGAAGAACCCAGGAACACATCGCTAAGAGAAGGGGTTTGCCCCGGTGTTTCTGGCAGTGGCTGCAATATGCGCCGCATCACCTTGTAAACCCTTATAAGGTGCTACATATTGGGTCTCATATTTCTCATAAACTTTATTTACCTGTCTTTAATAATAGACATATCTCCAGCGCCTCGAGTACCTAATAGTTGGTAGATACGTGTGCTACAGTCGAATCTCGTTAGTACAAACTCTGTTAATACAAAATTCTGGTTATAACAAACATAAAGCCTTAGTCCCGACTGTGCATTTATGTGCACAATGAATGGAACTGATGTTCCTCTGAATACAAAATTCTGGTATAACAAACAATTTGGCTAGGTCCCAACGAGTTTGTATTAACGAGACTCGACTGTATATAAGACTCCGATATTATTATTATCCGCACTGCTTCTGAATGTCACAGGCATGTCATCGGCACTGCCTCAACCCATTAACAGTGATTATCACCTGTATAACCCCTCCACTGAACAACAAAAAATAACAGATGATTTTGGAGGATTGAGGCTGAATTCAGGATTTTGCAGGATTGAGGATGATTCCTAGCCAAAAGAGCCGAGGGGCTAGGGTTACCATTCTCTTCCCAAAGATGCAGCCCAACACAAGTGACATACTCAACACTTCAACACAAAGACGACAAAAGAAACACAAAGATGAAACTTGCCAGAATTCTCATTGTCAACAATCCAAAGCTGGATTTTTATTTCTTCTTCATTTCAATCAAAGTTCTTTAAAAGCGCTTGATGTTGACATGGATATTAAAAACGACGTGGTGGCTTAAACACATGGACTACAGGGTGACGCCATAATTATTGGAGTGAAGTAGTCTGGTGACAATCCTGTTTTTGAGTTGTAAACACTGGCTTATGGAAACTTCATGTAGCCAGAGCAGTTACCAAGCGCAAAATGGTAATCGTAAGCAAGACATCCGTTGTGAGCAGACCATTAAATTGGGGGCAGAGTACTCAACACCTAGTCTGAATTTTCAATTTTTTTTCATTTTTTTTTTACAAAATATACATGAATGTAGCATATTACATGCAGATAGATGCTAAAGCAGTGAAAAAAAAAGCGCCAAACTTGAAATTTAGGATTCCATTAAAAATGGTTACAACAGCCTGAAAGATGCTCGCATAACTAACGAGGTACAATCTGTGATTTTTTTGAGTTTTAACGCATGATATTGAAAGGAAGGTCTCTGGCTCGTTCCCATCGCCCTATCCATAAAGTCCGAAGTTTGAAGAATTGAGATATTTATCTGGACATGTTTTTTTCAAGCAAACTTGAATCCCCGATCCTGATTGGTCGATCCATGGCAACAAACCGCGCTACATTATCCCGAATACCACGGTCCATGCAGTACCAAAGTCTGTGGTAATCAGTCTTTGTTCTTGTTCACGCATTGGTTCACGCGATGATGTATTCACACACTTAGCTATGTGCGTGAACCAGACTACGCAGCACACTTCAGTACGAAAGCTTGAATTGCCTTCCTCGATACCGCGTTACCGTGATAAGTTATCACAGAAATTCGGAATTCAAAGATAAATCATTCCTCGATACCGCGTTACCGCGATAACTTATCACGGAAATCCGGAATTCAAAGATAAATCCTTCCTCGATACCGCGTTACCGTGATATTTTATCACAGAAATCCGGAATTCAAAGATAAATCCTTCCTCGTTACCGATTTGTCTTTGAATTCCGGATTTCTGCGATAAATTATCACAAGTAACGCGGTATCGAGGAATAGGTATCTCTGAATTCCGGATTTCGGCGATAAATTATCACGGTAACGCGGTATCGAGGAAGGAATTATCTTTGAATTCCGGATTTCTGTGATAAATTATCGCAGTAACGCGGTATCGAGGAAGGCAATTCAAGCTTCCGTACTTCGGTACTCTATACTGCACGTGCTATTCCAAGACCCGCGCACCATTACCACTGCACATGTACATTGTACAGCGTGCGTGCTCCATCTGGGTTCTCCCCACGTACAAACGTGCGATCGGCCCGATACGCTGGAATTGCGGCCCGATATAACGACAAAAATGCCGATCACATTTTTCAGCCCCGGATACGCACAATATAATTATTATACAAGCCACTAAAATGCACAACTTAATCGTTTCATACGCCATTATTTCATCTTGACATGCAAAATCTTGACAAAAATCCCGTATTTTTGATGCATGTGTGATCAAAATGCACACAATAACGGGTCTTTCGTGTCGACCGCCAGCACCCAGCTAGCTATATATTAGCGCATACAGCATGGTACACTGGTTCCCTTCGCGTGCTAACAGTATCAATGCTATGATGAAGGACCGGAACCAGTGACTAATGCCTCGTGCGTGCATACATAAGTAGTGTGCATCAAGTTTACTTGAAGATAAATTTGTTATCCCACTCGCGCTGGTGGAACAAGGAATAGTGTAGTGCGTCTGCGTCTCACGTATTCTGCCTCATGGCATTAAAACCCTCCAAGCAGCGAAGCGGTGATAAAATATTCCACATTTTCCAAATATGGGCATATTTTTTTTTTTCAATGGGCCAATTAGGCCAAGCTTCCATATAATCCTCACCCCTACTATACACCACAAGCCTGTAGACTCCCAATTGGCCAGGCCCTAGCCACTCCAGAGTAAGGAGTGTTGAAAGACAGAAGCCAAGATGGCGGCTCATGCCTTTGTGCAGTAATTGGAGAAAGAGGTGGCCAAACCCTTTGTTTCGCCGATCTCTTTGTGTCAACCCCTCGTGCCGCCCAGAGCTCAGACAGGTTGTAAACAATCCCTGACGATGTGAATGACCTATATCTTGTGCATGTACAGGCATGCGGGGGTTATTGACCTAGAAACACATGTGGTGATAAAATTCTCCACGTGGCAACTCTGTGTGATTTTTTTTGCTAAGCTGCTCGGAGGGTTTTAAACAAACGACACGGCCCTATTACAATTATAAACATCTGACTTGAAACTTTAACAACTTCCACTCTCTGCTAAAGGAAATCCCAATAGATAAGAAGGCATTAAGAATCTACTGAAAAGACAAACTTTACAACAAATTTCGTTTTGGTTTATCTGATAAATAGAAATCATCTCTGAATAATACCGTTAATATTTGTTTTAACCAATATAGCGGTTCACAACCATATTTACACAATATATTAATAAACTTCATCGAAACGTTTGTTTAAGCAAGAAAACGTAATGGATTTTTTGACAAATCTAAACCAAAGAAATTTATGACCCATTTGAAGAAAATAATGTGGAAAAGCCCAAAATTTCTGTGACTGAAAATATATGAATATCCTAGATTTCCCGAAGATCAATCTCAAAAATGGCCAAATTTGGCAAACATCGAACAACATGACGTATCTAGCAAATTGAGTTATGATCAGCATGTACATGTGTCCATAATTCTTTTGTTTTCAGTAACTGAACAACCCATTGGCCATTATGTTTTCACGGTCAAACATGCCTGTCTGTAGCATTTTCACAATATACAATATATACATGTTCATGGTTACATCCGAGGACATTCCTTGTTAAACATGAATCACCAGGAAAACAATTCCTGCACTAAAAATTCATGCCCATGATTTTTCCTTTAATAGTTTTTTCCATGACTAAGCATTGGTGCCCCTGGCTTATCCATGATCATACATCTGTGCCCATGGCTTCTCCATGAGTGCATACACAGTGCCCATAACTTTTCCATGATCAAGCATCAGTGCTCATAATTTTTCCATGATCATGCATCAGTGCCCATAACTTTTCCATGATCAAGCCTAACTTTTCCATGACTACAGCTAAGTATCAGTGCCCATGGCTTTTCAATGACTATGCATCAGTGCCCATGGCATTCCCATCATCAAGCACCTATGGGTCATGGCTTCTCCGTTATCGTGTATCCAAAACCTATAATTCAATCAAGCATCCAAGCCCATAATTGTCTACAATGAGAAGCATCTGCATTAAATGCCTTTTGCTTTTCCATGATTAAGCACCTATGCCCATGGATATCCCATATCCCATATCCAGGGCTGTTCCATGGCTTTTCCATGACCACTATTGTTTGTCACCTTGATGCTGACACCTTTTCCTGAATCCAGGTGTGAATTCAAGTAACTTCTTCCATGGACAATCATGAATGGCAACATTTCCATAATCAAAGCCGAATGCCCCTGGCTTCTCCACTTCTACCAATGGCATTTCCATGAACGCACACACATGCCTTGATTTTTGGGCTTTCCCATCATTAACCACAAATGCCCATTACTTTTCCTGGGCCAACAAAATTATTTGTTTTTTCCACTGAAGGATCCTGATTCTTACAAACACAACTCGTGTGCAAGGGGAAAAAGGGTCTACATTAACCCCAACTCCACAGCCTAATTAACTAGGAACCATACCCATCCTGGCAAATTCCAACACCCACATGGAAAATTGTACACACACACTGTTGGACTTCGTTTCTGGAGGTATGCCAACTCCAGTGTAAAAGACCATCAGTTTAGGGGTACTGTACCTATCCCAACAGATTTAAACAAAACCTGCTGTTGAACTTTGATGGGTTGGGTTTGGTTAGGGTTAATCATGATAATATTCTTAAAGATACGTAGGATCATTTGCAGTTACCTGGAAACGTACTTATCAATGACCAAAACTTTACTCAAAGTGACGATAGGACTGGTATCAAATACCCTGTGAAATTACTCCACCTTGTTAGGAAGAAAACTATCATTGAAGATGGTTTTTAAAAAAGTGTGCCTGCAGGCACACTTTTTTGTAATCTGTTTAATACTGCCCTCATTAGTCACAGTTAGTTAATCTGTAAATGGGCACGAGTCTATTCCACCGAGTAAGTAAGTGTCAATGTTTGTCGTTTCAGTATCGCCGGAATTCTTATCGCCTGAACTAACTATTGTTATATGCACCCTTCTTCAGATTTCAGCAATAATCCTACGTACCTTAAAACAACCTTCTCACAAACATTTCACACCAAAACAAAAAAAACTTTTACTTTATAAACGTTTCTATGAACTACAAATTTGATTTGCTGATCATAATAATAATTTGTAAATACATTAATAAAATACACTTATTTTTAATTTTTTTTTCAATATTAACCAAAAATCTTTGCAACTATTAACAATGATTTATATTTTCTTTTGCATTAAATTAGGAAATTGAAATACTTGCCAGACATGTTTCAAAACTCTCATGCCAAAATCATAACATGTCCAAACTGTTGTGAGGGTTTCATTAGTGTTTTCTATTTTTTTTACGGCAATAAGAAGGCAAAACAGCAGAAGAAAGCTCATTCCAAAAACAATTATTCAATTAAGTGTCATATTTCACGTGAGCTGAAAAAAAAATTGTTAATTCATATTTATACTGAATCGCTATGATACAATATTAGGAGACCATTCTCTTTGACTTATCCAAAATATCGTTTTTGCTTATCATTTAAAAACCTTTGTCTTTTTTTTCCCATTAATTTTATGATAAGTCAGGAAGATTCCAACAACCATTGATGAGGCTATATGCAGATCTGCTGTGTTTGTAGATTGCTAGTTTTTACAGGCTATTTTTTTTTCGTGTTTGTCCAAGACTGAATTTAGACTCCCTAAATTCTGCCAGCCCTGAAAAGTGCACACCCCAGCTGCTGTGGCGGTAGCGGCAGCTATCAACGAGACGATTCAAATCAAGTTCTCGGGAGCGTTGGCACCCCAACCCAGGAAATTCTGAGCATACCTTACATGTACATGTGCCATATTAGCTTGAAATCAGTGCGTATATGCTGAGAATTTCTTGTGTCCAGTGCCGAGACCAGATTTGATTCTTTTTGTCACGGTGCCCGCTACCACCACAGTGGCTTGACCAAGGAACGCCCCCACTAGAGCAAAATGCGAATCAGTCTCGGACAAAAACTACAGGCTTATTACAAAATGAGATTGGAGACGCACCATTGGTGTTTGATTATGTACAAATGTGTGTATGTTCCTCAAGCCCAGTTCCCGTTCCATTCAAACGTACTTTTAAGTAACACTATTTTACGACTGCAGAAACAGTTTTTGTACTCGTACCTTTGGAAAAAAGGTCCTATTCACAACCAGAGCTGTAGTCTAAGTCCTTTTCCTAGTCCTCACGAATATACTGATACAAAAGTTAGTATACAGTTGTACACAAGAACATGATGCCTGAGTAACACAATGAGTGTCTGGACACAACTGACATAGATATTTGTAAACACTACAGGGCGAGTCAAAAAAAAAAGAAACCCAAACGTTGGGACTATTGTTTCATTGAAGTTCGGCATGTAGCATTTTCAAAATCTAGGATATGAAAGCCCAATTCATAAGCTTTGTTTTACTACAAGAATCATTCAAATCACTCATGTACTTTTCAAGTTACGGAATTTTAAACACAACCACCGTTTTCAGTTTCTGTCCACGGATCACAACAGAGTTCAGTGTTCTTTCAGCAAAACGAAAACAAATCACATAGGGATGTGTGTGAATTGTTTTCGTTTTGGTGAAAGAACGCACCTTTTTTTGTGATCCGTGGACAGAACCTTAAAACGTTGGTTGTGTTTAAAATTGTTGAAAAGTACGTGAGTGATTTGAATGATTCTTGTACTAAAACAAAGCTTATGAATTGAGCTTTCATATCCTAGATTTTGAAAATGCTACACGCAGAACTGCCCTAAAACAATGGTCCCAACATTTGGGTTTTGTTTTTTTTTACTCACCCTGTATGAGGCCCTAAGACATGAAAACCTACTGTTGGAACGAAAAACATGACAATGGAACAATCTGCACCTTCTTTCACGTATCAAAAAACTTTTAAACCAAACCCCCTAATAAGGGCTCTTTTAGGGGTCAAGTACCCAATACCACAGAATACTATAAGTGTTGTGCACACTTGTATGGAAAGAAATGCATACTACAGGTTACTACTCAGTAGTATTTTGTAGCTTTAGGTGAGGTTTGAGCTAACGTAGGTCAAAATATCACTTATTTTTCAGGCCAACCTGTTGCTAGGGTTTCTCTTTCACGTACATGTTTGACAATGTTAGCTTTATCTTGTCCAAACACTCAAGTACCTTTCCATAACCTTTCCAAGAAACATCCACCACTGCAACAGTAATACCAAGTCCATTGCGTATCAGACACTAGTCAGACCAAGGCTAGAATATTGTTCCGCCATTTGGGATCCTCATCATGCGTCGGATAAAAAGAAATTAGAAAGCATTCAAACACAGAGCAGCTAGATTTGTTATGCAAGACTACAGCAGGGAGTCAAACATCTCAGCAATGATGAATAAACTCAAATGGGACACTCTTCAAGATCGACGGATCAAAGCTCGATTAGTCACACTCTACAAAGAAACCCATGGGCTTACACCGAGTAATATGAAAGATTACTTGAACATCGTCAACTCATCAAGGGGGGTTTCTACTGGACAGACCGGACCTTTCTCATATAGAGTCATCACCACAAATAAGGACTGCTTTCGTTACTCAATGTACCCAAAGACCATCCTAGAATGGAATCAACTTCACCCTAACACCCGCTCTTCACCTGACATTAAGACTTTCAAACTGGCACTGGACAACATCAACATTCAAGACCTGGCTTCCAAAACCCAATCAAGAATTTAGTTGCTGCACACCTGACCTTGACCAACGTACGTCGACAACCTTCTAGGTGTTTGTACGTTTATGGAACAGAAACAGAAACTGAAACAGAAACATAACCACAAGACCAAAATGCTCGGACCACTCTGTCTCGTTTAATTCCTAATATACCAGCTTATACATGAATTTCAGTACACTTCTCAGACACGTCGGACCTATTAGAAAAGGACTTGCCTACGACACTGTTCACAACAAAAGTACATTTTTTTTGTAAAATTTACTGGTACTCATTCTCACAGCGTGACAAAAATCTTCATTACTTACTAACGACGCGAGTAAATTCTTAATTTGTACTTGTACTCACGGCAATGTAGTTGTACTCGCAAACAGTACTTGTACACTATGTATCCTTTATCGCGTGATATTTCTTAGGACGGGGCGCACTGCGAGCGTTCGTGAGGGGGCCCTCCGTCACCGTCCTCGTCATCGCTGGAATCGGAGTCGGAGCTGGACGAGTCGCTGTCCATTTCTCCGGCCTCTCTGGCCTGGAGGGGGGGGGGGGGGGGGGGAGGAGGGGGGGGGAACAAAAGTACAATGGTTAGCATACTTGGATCTAACTGCACGGTAGTGGTTTCGAATACACTGTCATTAGAGGCATATAGGATCATTTGCTTTTCGTGCATTTTGTTCATTTCCAATAATGACGCGACTCAAAATGCAAAGAAGAATGTTCAAAACCTAACCTGTTGAAGTTTCAGCTCAGTGGATATTACACTTTTCGAGGAAACCATGAAAAAACCATGCACAACCTTTTGATCACGAAACACGATTTCGTCAAGCACTCTTAATTCCAAACATCAGTCTCACTGGAAATCACCTACATTTCTTAATTTCTTCGAAATGACAGCACGCCAGATGGAACAATTTCACGGGGTGTTTAGTACCAGTATGATCTTTAACCAAGTACCGGTAAGCCGTTTGACAAGGGGAGTCAGATTAGTGTAGCGGTACTTTCCTCGCCTACCACCGCTGTGACCCGGGTTCGAATCCCGCCTGGGCCAATATGTGGATTGGGTTTTCAGTCCCTACCTGATTCTGTGGGTTTTCCCCCAGAATATTCTTCTGGGGTTTTCCTCCCACCTCTAAAACTGTAATTTCTTCTCATCGTCTTCTCTCAGGTTTCTTCAGGCTTGCGAGCTACAGTGCCTAGGGCGCTCTTGAGGATTCCTTGTTTTCATTACCAGAAATAAAATGATGATAATAATAATAATTTGGTGGGTTACTTTTGGGATGAACGCAAATGATCCCATTTGCCTTTGAGGTCCCACTTTAAAGTTAAAGCTGTGAAACAGTCTCTCACCCGTCTGGAAACTCTGCGCTTAAGAGCATCTGGCTCAGCAGTATGTGTATTTCAGTCATATCTTCTTGCATTATTTGTATCAGCTTGTCTTTCAGCCCGTTTGTCACCCTATCTGTCACCCTACTTGCCTCCCTATCTGTCTCTCACCTGTCTGCGAGCTCTACATCTCAGATGGTGCATCAGAAACATCAGCATGTGTCCATCAATCATACATGTGTCTATCAGTGTATCCGTCACCCTATCTGTCACCCTATCTGTCTCTCACCTGTCTGCGAGCTCTACGTCTCAGGTGGTGCATCAGGAACATCAGCATGTGTCCATCAATCATACATGTGTCTATCAGTGTATCCGTCACCCTATCTGTCACCCTATCTGTCTCTCACCTGTCTACGAGCTCTACGTCTCAGATGGTGCTCAGGAACATCAGCATGTGTCCATCAATCACACATGTGTCTATCAGTGTATCCGTCACCCTATCTGTCACCCTATCTGTCTCTCACCTGTCTGCGAGCTCTACGTCTCAGATGGTGCATCAGGAACATCAGCATGTGTCCATTAATCACACATGTGTCTATCAGTGTATCCGTCACCCTATCTGTCACCCTATCTGTCTCTCACCTGTCTGCGAGCTCTACGTCTCAGATGGTGCATCAGGAACATCAGCATGTGTCCGTCAATCATACATGTGTCTGTCAGTGTATCTGTCAGCCTGCCTGTCACCCTATCTGTCACCCTATCTGTCTCTCACCTGTCTGCGAGCTCTACGTCTCAGATGGTGCATCAGGAACATCAGCATGTGTCCATCAATCATACATGTGTCTATCAGTGTATCCGTCACCCTATCTGTCACCCTATCTGTCTCTCACCTGTCTACGAGCTCTACGTCTCAGGTGGTGCATCAAGAACATGTGCATGTGTCCATCAATCATACATGTGTCTATCAGTGTATGCGTCACCCTATCTGTCACCCTATCTGTCTCTCACCTGTCTACGAGCTCTACGTCTCAGATGGTGCATCAGGAACATCAGCATGTGTCCATCAATCATACATGTGTCTCTCAGTGTATCCGTCACCCTATCTGTCACCCTATCTGTCTCTCACCTGTCTACGAGCTCTACGTCTCAGATGTTGCATCAGGAACATCAGCATGTGTCCATCAATCATACATGTGTCTCTCAGTGTATCCGTCACCCTATCTGTCACCCTATCTGTCTCTCACCTGTCTACGAGCTCTACGTCTCAGATGGTGCATCAGGAACATCGGCATGTGTCCATCAATCATACATGTGTCTATCAGTGTATCCGTCACCCTATCTGTCACCCTATCTGTCTCTCACCTGTCTGCGAGCTCTACGTCTCAGATGGTGCATCAGGAACATCAGCATGTGTCCATCAATCATACATGTGTCTATCAGTGTATCCGTCACCCTATCTGTCACCCTATCTGTCTCTCACCTGTCTGCGAGCTCTACGTCTCAGATGGTGCATCAGGAACATCAGCATGTGTCCATCAATCATACATGTGTCTATCAGTGTATATGTCACCCTATCTGTCACCCTATCTGTCTCTCACCTGTCTGCGAGCTCTACGTCTCAGATGGTGCATCAGGAACATCAGCATGTGTTCATCAATCATACATGTGTCTATCAGTGTATATGTCACCCTATCTGTCACCCTATCTGTCTCTCACCTGTCTAAGAGCTCTACGTCTCAGATGGTGCATCAGGAACATCAGCATGTGTCCATCAATCATACATGTGTCTATCAGTGTATATGTCACCCTATCTGTCACCCTATCTGTCTCTCACCTGTCTAAGAGCTCTACGTCTCAGATGGTGCATCAGGAACATCAGCATGTGTCCATCAATCATACATGTGTCTATCAGTGTATCCGTCACCCTATCTGTCACCCTATCTGTCTCTCACCTGTCTAAGAGCTCTACGTCTCAGATGGTGCATCAGGAACATCAGCATGTGTCCATCAATCATACATGTGTCTATCAGTGTATATGTCACCCTATCTGTCACCCTATCTGTCTCTCACCTGTCTACGAGCTCTACGTCTCAGATGGTGCATCAGGAACATCAGCATGTGTCCATCAATCATACATGTGTCTATCAGTGTATCCATCACCCTATCTGTCACCCTATCTGTCTCTCACCTGTCTGCGAGCTCTACGTCTCAGGTGGTGCATCAGGAACATCAGCATGTGTCCATCAATCATACATGTGTCTATCAGTGTATATGTCACCCTATCTGTCACCCTATCTGTCTCTCACCTGTCTACGAGCTCTACGTCTCAGATGGTGCATCAGAAACATCAGCATGTGTCCATCAATCATACATGTGTCTATCAGTGTATCCGTCACCCTATCTGTCACCCTATCTGTCTCTCACCTGTCTGCGAGCTCTACGTCTCAGGTGGTGCATCAGGAACATCAGCATGTGTCCATCAATCATACATGTGTCTATCAGTGTATCCGTCACCCTATCTGTCACCCTATCTGTCTCTCACCTGTCTACGAGCTCTACGTCTCAGATGGTGCATCAGGAACATCAGCATGTGTCCGTCAATCACACATGTGTCTATCAGTGTATCCGTCACCCTATCTGTCACCCTATCTGTCTCTCACCTGTCTGCGAGCTCTACGTCTCAGATGGTGCATCAGGAACATCGGCATGTGTCCATCAATCATACATGTGTCTATCAGTGTATCTGTCACCCTATCTGTCACCCTATCCGTCACCCTATCTGTCTCTCACCTGTCTGCGAGCTCTACGTCTCAGATGGTGCATCAGGAACATCAGCATGTGTCCATCAATCATACATGTGTCTATCAGTGTATCTGTCACCCTATCTGTCACCCTATCTGTCACCCTATCTGTCTCTCACCTGTCTGCGAGCTCTACGTCTCAGATGGTGCATCAGGAACATCAGCATGTGTCCATCAATCACACATGTATCTGTCAGTGTATCCGTCACCCTATCTGTCACCCTATCTGTCTCTCACCTGTCTGCGAGCTCTACGTCTCAGATGGTGCATCAGGAACATCAGCATGTGTCCATCAATCATACATGTGTCTATCAGTGTATCCATCACCCTATCTGTCACCCTATCTGTCTCTCACCTGTCTGCGAGCTCTACGTCTCAGATGGTGCATCAGGAACATCAGCATGTGTCCATCAATCATACATGTGTCTATCAGTGTACCCGTCACCCTATCTGTCACCCTATCTGTCACCCTATCTGTCTCTCACCTGTCTGCGAGCTCTACGTCTCAGATGGTGCATCAGGAACATCAGCATGTGTCCATCAATCACACATGTGTCTGTCAGTGTATCCATCACCCTATCTGTCACCCTATCTGTCACCCTATCTGTCTCTCACCTGTCTGCGAGCTCTACGTCTCAGATGGTGCATCAGGAACATCAGCATGTGTCCATCAATCACACATGTGTCTGTCAGTGTATCCATCACCCTATCTGTCACCCTATCTGTCACCCTATCTGTCTCTCACCTGTCTGCGAGCTCTACGTCTCAGATGGTGCATCAGGAACATCAGCATGTGTCCGTCAATCATACATGTGTCTATCAGTGTATCCATCACCCTATCTGTCACCCTATCTGTCTCTCACCTGTCTGCGAGCTCTACGTCTCAGATGGTGCATCAGGAACATCAGCATGTGTCCATCAATCATACATGTGTCTATCAGTGTACCCGTCACCCTATCTGTCACCCTATCTGTCACCCTATCTGTCTCTCACCTGTCTGCGAGCTCTACGTCTCAGATGGTGCATCAGGAACATCAGCATGTGTCCATCAATCATACATGTGTCTATCAGTGTATCCATCACCCTATCTGTCACCCTATCTGTCTCTCACCTGTCTGCGAGCTCTACGTCTCAGATGGTGCATCAGGAACATCAGCATGTGTCCATCAATCACACATGTGTCTATCAGTGTATCCATCACCCTATCTGTCACCCTATCTGTCACCCTATCTGTCTCTCACCTGTCTGCGAGCTCTACGTCTCAGATGGTGCATCAGGAACATCAGCATGTGTCCATCAATCATACATGTGTCTATCAGTGTATCCGTCACCCTATCTGTCACCCTATCTGTCACCCTATCTGTCTCTCACCTGTCTGCGAGCTCTACGTCTCAGATGGTGCATCAGGAACATCAGCATGTGTCCATCAATCATACATGTGTCTGTCAGTGTATCCGTCATCCTATCTGTCATCCTATCTGTCTCTCACCTGTCTGCGAGCTCTACGTCTCAGATGGTGCATCAGGAACATCAGCATGTGTCCATCAATCATACATGTGTCTGTCAGTGTATCCATCACCCTATCTGTCACCCTATCTGTCTCTCACCTGTCTGCGAGCTCTACGTCTCAGATGGTGCATCAGGAACATCAGCATGTGTCCATCAATCATACATGTGTCTATCAGTGTATCCGTCACCCTATCTGTCACCCTATCTGTCACCCTATCTGTCTCTCACCTGTCTGCGAGCTCTACGTCTCAGATGGTGCATCAGGAACATCAGCATGTGTCCATCAATCATACATGTGTCTGTCAGTGTATCCGTCATCCTATCTGTCATCCTATCTGTCTCTCACCTGTCTGCGAGCTCTACGTCTCAGATGGTGCATCAGGAACATCAGCATGTGTCCATCAATCATACATGTGTCTATCAGTGTATCTGTCAGCCTGCCTGTCACCCTATCTGTCACCCTATCTGTCTCTCACCTGTCTACGAGCTCTACGTCTCAGATGGTGCATCAGGAACATCAGCATGTGTCCATCAATCATACATGTGTCTGTCAGTGTATCCGTCATCCTATCTGTCATCCTATCTGTCTCTCACCTGTCTGCGAGCTCTACGTCTCAGATGGTGCATCAGGAACATCAGCATGTGTCCATCAATCATACATGTGTCTATCAGTGTATCCGTCACCCTATCTGTCACCCTATCTGTCACCCTATCTGTCTCTCACCTGTCTGCGAGCTCTACGTCTCAGATGGTGCATCAGGAACATCAGCATGTGTCCATCAATCATACATGTGTCTGTCAGTGTATCCGTCATCCTATCTGTCATCCTATCTGTCTCTCACCTGTCTACGAGCTCTACGTCTCAGATGGTGCATCAGGAACATCAGCATGTGTCCATCAATCATACATGTGTCTATCAGTGTATCCGTCACCCTATCTGTCACCCTATCTGTCACCCTATCTGTCTCTCACCTGTCTGCGAGCTCTACGTCTCAGATGGTGCATCAGGAACATCAGCATGTGTCCATCAATCATACATGTGTCTGTCAGTGTATCCGTCATCCTATCTGTCATCCTATCTGTCTCTCACCTGTCTGCGAGCTCTACGTCTCAGATGGTGCATCAGGAACATCAGCATGTGTCCATCAATCATACATGTGTCTATCAGTGTATCTGTCAGCCTGCCTGTCACCCTATCTGTCACCCTATCTGTCTCTCACCTGTCTACGAGCTCTACGTCTCAGATGGTGCATCAGGAACATCAGCATGTGTCCATCAATCATACATGTGTCTATCAGTGTATCTGTCAGCCTGCCTGTCACCCTATCTGTCACCCTATCTGTCTCTCACCTGTCTACGAGCTCTACGTCTCAGATGGTGCATCAGGAACATCAGCATGTGTCCATCAATCATACATGTGTCTATCAGTGTATCTGTCAGCCTGCCTGTCACCCTATCTGTCACCCTATCTGTCTCTCACCTGTCTGCGAGCTCTACGTCTCAGATGGTGCATCAGGAACATCAGCATGTGTCCATCAATCATACATGTGTCTGTCAGTGTATCCGTCATCCTATCTGTCACCCTATCTGTCTCTCACCTGTCTGCGAGCTCTACGTCTCAGATGGTGCATCAGGAACATCAGCATGTGTCCATCAATCATACATGTGTCTATCAGTGTATCCGTCACCCTATCTGTCACCCTATCTGTCACCCTATCTGTCTCTCACCTGTCTGCGAGCTCTACGTCTCAGATGGTGCATCAGGAACATCAGCATGTGTCCATCAATCATACATGTGTCTGTCAGTGTATCCGTCATCCTATCTGTCACCCTATCTGTCTCTCACCTGTCTACGAGCTCTACGTCTCAGATGGTGCATCAGGAACATCAGCATGTGTCCATCAATCATACATGTGTCTATCAGTGTATCTGTCACCCTATCTGTCACCCTATCTGTCTCTCACCTGTCTGCGAGCTCTACGTCTCAGATGGTGCATCAGGAACATCAGCATGTGTCCATCAATCATACATGTGTCTATTAGTGTGTTTATCAGTGTATCTGTCACCCTATCTGTCACCCTATCTGTCTCTCACCTGTCTGCGAGCTCTACGTCTCAGGTGGTGCATCAGGAACATCAGCATGTGTCCATCAATCATACATGTGTCTATCAGTGTATCTGTCACCCTATCTGTCACCCTATCTGTCTCTCACCTGTCTGCGAGCTCTACGTCTCAGATGGTGCATCAGGAACATCAGCATGTGTCCATCAATCATACATGTGTCTATTAGTGTGTTTATCAGTGTATCTGTCACCCTATCTGTCACCCTATCTGTCTCTCACCTGTCTGCGAGCTCTACGTCTCAGGTGGTGCATCAGGAACATCAGCATGTGTCCATCAATCATATCTGGTTCCCTGCTTTTCTCTTCCTCCCTCTCACGCCGGTTGCTGTACATAGTCTGGAAAAAAAAAACTTTATGCTGAAGACCGCTAGTCTATTCATGATATGCGAGCAGATTCAGCGATTAATTATGCAAAAAAGAATGCGTCTTGACCTCGAGATTCTGACCATTTAGCAGGCGCAATTTATATATTGGATCTTTGGTTATACCCATTTCCGTCCTAGAAATCTATAAATAATACCTAGACATAACATGTATTATTTTGTTACATTGTAAATTGAGCAAACAAAGGCTGCGGTCACGTACTCTGTAACGATGTTACGCGATGCGCTAAGCTTAGAGCCAACGTCGTGTCAAGGTTTCATAGATCTCTATGCCCGGCCGTTGTTGTATTATAAAACACTGCTTCCAAATTGACCAATCAACGACTTAGTCCAGATTTCGGAATGAAATGACGTCACAATTGAGTACAGTCTACACCGATTGACTGGCGTGCGGGGGTCGCATGAATTTGCATGCTTAGATAATTATCAGACGTTGGACCGGAGACAGGCTACGTGACGAACAGGTGATGCTCAGACTTGAAGACTGCTTGCAATGTCATGTTTTTCTTTCCCAATAGACTTCAGACCTGATGACGTCACACTTTGTTTACATGTGCATTTTTTTATGACAGCCAGATGGGACGTGTCCCATCTGGCTGTCATAGGAAAGCTGGATGGACTCACACACTAGACTACAAAACTGCCAAAAGCACTGCCCAATGTGACAACATGCAAGACTTGTCACAGCGAGAAGCCTAGGCCTGCCCAGTGTGTAACAGATCCAACAGGTCAGGCATCCCCACTGGCGCTGGTGTTGATTGCCCGATGCCACAAGATCCAAAACAGTTAAACCCGTTGGACTCTGTTGCATGTGGTAAGGTTACTGATAAGGGTCAAATTTTGAAATCTTTTGACAGAATTCGGAAAAGATTTGTTTAAAAAGTCCTGCTCACCCGTTTCAGTCCTTCCAGCAGCGAGGGTTCCTTGGCAGTGGGCATCCAGATCTTGACATCGTGGTCCAGCCCGCTGGTGGCCAGCACGGCGCTGGACGGGTGTGACTCCAGGCAGTTGACCACACCCTGGACGTCGCCCCGCATGTACTGGACGATGCGCTCCGTGGTTTTCTCCCACAGGAAGATGTTGCCGCAGTCGCTGCCACTGACCACGAACTGGCTCTGGGGGCCGTAGAAATTGACTCCTTTTACTGGAAGCCGAAAAGACACAAATTATGTCATCAGTCTTGAAATAAGTTATTTATTACTTCATAAGTCTTGAGAGAGTTTATAATGTACTTAATAATTCTTGAAAGTGGTTATAAAGTCCTTCATATGTCTTGAAAGAGGCTACGAATTACTTAAAAATCATTAAAAAAAAGCATATGAATTATATTTTATAATTCTTGAAAGAGGTTATAAATTACTTCAGAAGTCTTGAAAGAGACTACTTATTACATAATAAGTCTTGAAAGAGGCTATTAAGTACTTCATAACTCTTGAAAGAGGTTATGTATTATTTCATTAGTTTTGAAAGAAGCTAATTAATTCAGAAGTCTCGAAGAGGTAATATTAACTTACCTCATAATTCTTGAAAGAGTTTATATGTAATATTCCATAAGTCTTGAAAGAGGTTATCTATTAATTCATCAGTCTTGAAAGAGGCTACAAATAAAGTCTTGAGTGTTGCAGACCAGTAAATAGACTGCCATAGACTTCAGTGATAATTACGCACACTTCCCAAAATTAAATTATTTCATCTTTCATCATCTTTCATTTTCCGTTCAATTTTTTTGGGGTTAACCAATGACTTTTGGGAGAAAATTCCATCCAAAGATGCTCACCCCTAAAAGCCAACCTCGTTTCCATGGGTACGATCTTGCTGCACCATGTTGTTTTCCATCATGCCTTGCGCGATCTTCACCCCTGGAATTGTCTAATTTAAATGTGTCAAATAGTGGCACATTTAAATTAGGACTGCAGTTGATGTATCTAACGCGCGACGCAGTGCTTAAAATGTTGACAGTTGTTTTTTGGAAGAATCCTCCTTTCAATCATGAGGTTTCAACGTCGCGTTATTTAGAAAGGATTGTGGAAAGTTCACATCCATCTTTTAAAATCTTTTTAACAATCTTTCAAACTCTCATTGTTTGGTGGTAAACATGTTTTTGAGCCAAAAAAAATGGGTACTACCTCTTGAAAGTGTCGCTTTATAAGACCACAATATACTCACCAGTCTGGTTGTTACGATGGCCTTTGTAGCAGTGGATGAACTCAGCACCGTCACTGTGCGTGCTGTCAAACAGGTAGATGTCCTCATCGTTGTAGCTGGCCAAGATTTCTGAAGCCAAAACAAAAAATGACAAGGACAAATAAGTAAAAACCCTTTGGTAGTAGTGGTACTGAATGGCCAGTCATTTGGCCTCCGACGTACTAAGCCACCGACTGACTGACTGAGTCACTGACTTTAAAATAATGTCCTATTGGCTCAGTGTGTGAACAAGAGAGGGCGCTTTTTTACCACTTTCGAAAGCCCCATGGATGAGACACACTGCGTGCGTGTACTGGTTCACGTACAGGCTTGAATTAGGACGTGCTGGAAGGATTTAGGGCTTTGTAGGCTATGGTTTGGCAAAGTACAAAAACAATTATATTTGTGGTGCAAAGCAGTGTTGTAGTACTTGTACCAGTGTTGTAGCCGAGTTCTTTTGTCCGAGTACCGAGTACTGCCGAGTACTTACATGTAGGTTACCGAGTACGAATACGAGTATGAGTACTTGTACTTCTGAGTACAAGGACAGGTCTCCGAGTACTAGTACTTCCGTGTACGAGTACGAGTACTGGTATTACGTGTACAATTGGCCCATGCCCAGTCAGACCAATATACAGACCCACTCACGGCTAGCTGTTAACCCTGCGCTTACGGGAAGCGGTCATGGCCGCGGCCGCTAATCCTCATTGGAATGCAGTTGCCAGCTGTGGTATGCCGTGGCACAGGGCTAGTGGGTAGTTCCACAGCTGCTGCTTTTGTGCAGTCCCGCTACCACACAAAGGCTGTGCAGTCATGCGGGCCACTTGCTCTATGTGTGGAGGAATGTCCCCATTACACCCTGTCCTTAAGGGGTTAAATGCATTTGTCCGGAGGTGCACAGAGGAAAATCAGGAAACTTTGATTTCTCCGCAAGCCAATCAACCATTTCAAACTGAAAGTATTTTAACAAGGCTGTGGTAAGTGCTATACCTTTCCTTATTTTTCTCAGTGCGCGTCCAGACAAACACATTTAACAGCTAGCCGTGAGTGGGTCTGTATATTGGTCTGACTGGCCTGGGCCAATTACGCACAATGAACCATTTGCTGTATGGCCGTATTCGTAAATACAAGTACTCGTACTTGTACTCATACTCGTACTACAAGAACTCGTACTCGGAAGTACAAATACTCGTACTCGTACTCCGAAGTACAAGTACTCATACTCAGAGACCTATGCTTGTACTCAGAAGTACAAGTACTCGAACTCGGTAATCTAAGTACTCAGCAGTACTCGGAAAAAAGAACTGGACTACAACACTGCAACACATACCCATTGAAATTTGATCCTAATTGTGGAACACACTTGTGCTCATACTTGAGTACATGTTTTGGCACTTGTAATCGTACTCAAGGAAAAAAGTGCCTTGTTCTCATACTCATACTCATGACAAAGTATTCATACTCATACTCATGCAAGTTTACTTGAATACAACGCTGGACTGCAAGGTGGCACCACTTTGGCCGGTCACGGGTTGAGAAATGTACATGAAGAATGCCATACCTCTGCCATTGTAGGAGTACACGCAGCAAGTGACGTTGGCCCTCGTTTCGCTGCTCATCAAGTGATGCGGGCAGAACTTCTTGACGGGGCTCTCGCTCTCCGGCGACAGCTTTCTGCGGTCGTAGATGCGCACGAAGTGGTCGCGGCCGCCGACGCAGAATTCGTGGGTGTTCATGGGGTTCAGGAAGATGGTGTAGAGGGGGATCTTGCGAACCTCCTCCTTCACGGTCAGCAACCTGGGGCAATTGAAATTGACCATGTTACCTTGAAATGAATAATGGATTGAATGTCTACCCATGTAAATGTTTCAAGATAAATACAAATTTACCCAAACATCAAAGCCAGGCCTGTTGGCAGGGGTTGATAAGAAGGGGGAGGGGGGAGGCGAATGGTTGAAAGACCATCTCCATATTTCACACTGGTCCATTTTTAGCTGTCCACTTTAAAGGTACAGTCCATCATTTGCAGCTATCCAAAAACTAACTGACAAAATTATTGTTAAAAAATCATACTTGGTTTAAAGATAGTAACGGGACTAAACTCCCTGTGAAATGATTCTTTCTGGCAAGCTGTCGTTTTGAAGAAATCAATGAAAGAAGGCTTTTTTCAACGATGCATCTAAAGACGCATTGTTGGAAATTTCCGTTAGTACAATGTATTTGGGTTTTTTATTCAGCGAAGCGTGCGCAAGCGTTGACACGACGCACACGGGCGTGCGGTTGCTATAATTCGTCGGTTCAGTGAGCAACATAGCAGCTGCAATCGGCTCAGTGAAAACGTGTCTCAGACGCTGAATTCAGGCCCAATTCAAAACATGACTCAGCAACTTTTGTTTTGAAATCGAGATCCTAGAAATATTGTTTTCTCGGAATATACAGCATTCACTGAGCTAAAATTTCAGCAGGTTAGTTGTTCAGCATCCTTCTTTAGATTTTGAACCCTTTTGTTGCTTCAAACGAACATAATGCACAAATTACAAATGATGGACGCTACCTTTAAATATTACAATGTAATTCATAAAATACCTAAGACAGTTTACCATTCCTATTGGTCGAGAGCCCGTCACGTGGGTGATCACATCGGCGATGTTTTAAACCGGTCGTGAGACGCTGCACTCTGCGATAAATGTGCGCAGTACACACTATACGCGCTTACAACCTGGTGCTCAAGAATCACTGTTATGATCTCCAATATAAGGAGCATTTGTAGTCGAGCAAACCACGCACCAAAGCAGCATATTAGTGACCTGAACATGCACAAAATTTGGAAAGAATGTTGCATCCTGATGACGCCACTTCAGCGGTTGTGTACAAAGTCTATGGAGAGTCAGGAAAATTTGCTAAGAATTTCCTAACAAAATTGGAAATGTTTCTCAGTCCCAGATTCATACCATATCATCATTTTTGCAATGACTGACCCTTATTGAGATGCGTATGAAGAAAAAAAGTGGCGTCAGGTTGCAACATTCTTTCCCAAAACTTCAGCAGGATTTTACCAATTATTCGACTTTTTCTTGTTAAGTTTTTGACCAAAAAGGTATGAATGGGAATAATAGAGTGGTAGAGCAGTTTTAAAATAACACTTTTTAAATACTCTAACTGTCTCATGGTTTAACTTTAAAGGGAAAATACAACATTTGCAAACATCAAAAAATAAAACTACCAAATCATTTTGAAATACCTTGCTGGACTGTTAGTGAATGACAGTGTAAAGCATCCTGTAAAATCATGGCACCTGGTATACTGTCATTTTCAAGAAAAGTGGTATTTTTGTATCAATTTCCAACGCTGATCGGCCGATCAGCGTTGGAAAAAACTGGCTTTTTTTCAAATACTGGCCCAAGTTGACCATCGCACTTGTTTGCAATCGATTACACACATATGAACGGGTACAAGCCAGCTAGACTGGTTCCCTGACCTTACAATTCCCCAATATATGTAAACTGCTCTGTTTCTTCTTAAATGGAGTCAGGGAACCAGACTACAGGAAAATGATTGTTTTTCTTGGTTTTTATAGCATTTTCGAACCCAAAACCTCAAAAAAGTCAGTGTAACTATAGGCCTATTTGCTATATATTTCCAACCCCCCAATTCCATCCATTTCTGAAAATTACAGCAAACGCAAATGATGTATATTCCCTTTAAATCTATGCCTTGTCCGTTACCACTTCCAACAATAGCGCTCGTGGGACCTTACAATAACAGAGTAACAGTCTGGCTTACGTACTTGTTGGCTTTAGCAGTGCGCAGATCAATGTTGTAGACGACTGCATCCTCCCCACAGGTCAGAAACACAACAGGAGAGTCTGGCTCCAGACCAAGCTGTAGCATAATCAAATATAATGGATCATCTTCGTAAGGCCAAAAAATTATGTGTGTTTACGGTAACCCCCTATCCAGGAAAATAGGTACATGTACATGTAGGTGACGAATTAATTTTATTTTGTAACTTTTTGTAATGTTTGTCTGTTCAATTTTGCATCAATCCTGCAAAATCCTCCAGCAATCACTCTCAATATGTTGAGGCAGAGCCAGTGACATCCTGGAGCAGCGCAGAGGATTTAAAGAAAAATGTAGGCCTAACTTTATGCACGGCTGAGCATAAACAACACAAGGTCCGGCCCAAGACCTTGACACAGTGCATCCTCCAAAATCAGCCGCATATTTTTGCCATATAGCCTCAATCCTGCAAAATCCTCCATTTTGCAAAGAGGATTTTGGAGGATTTGGGAAGGTTAGGGTTAAAATACGAATACCACCACCATTTCCTATGCTGAGTCCAATCCATACTGCTCTATGTGCAGCATGTACCTACCTTGTGAGCAGCTTCCTTGTGTTGAACCAGTTTCTTTGTCCCTTTGCAGATTCCAGTACTGGACAGTTCACCCACGCGCACCTGCCCGTCCCTGGCACAACTGACGATGGTCGTGTCTCCACTGAACGGCATAAACTTGGCCTGCCAGAAAAACACACAGAACAATTCCCTTTGGTCAAAATTATGTAGGCATTCACAACCAAAATACACACAATTTGATACAAGTAACGAACACAGGGTTAGTTGACTATGCAATAGGTGTAAATATCTGTGGGACCTTGTTGAAAGATGACAAAAATATCCTTTTGTCATTGTTCCTTCCCTTTTACTTGTGACTGGACTTGTGACGTACATGTACATGTACTTGTGACCGGACTTGTGATGGACTTTTGATTTTCTGACTTGGTTTGTGATGGACTTGTGATTTACTTCTGATCAGATTCGAGAGTTGTGATGGACTTGTGATTTACTTGTGACCGGACTTGTGATGGACTTTTGATTTTGTGACTTGACTTGTGATGGATTTGTGATTTGTTTATGATCAGAGTCTAGAGTTGTGATGGAATTGTGATTTAGTTGTGAACAGACTTATAATCAACTTGTGATGGACTTTTGATTCTGTGACATACTTGTGATGGACTTGTGATTTACTTGTGATGGACTTGTGACCAGGCTTGTGACCAGGCTTAAGATGGCCTTTTGATTCTGTGACATGACTTGTGATGGAATTGTGATGGACTTTGTGATTTACTTGTGACTGGACTTGTGATTTACTTGTGATGGACTTTTGATTTTGTGACTTGACTTGTGATGGACTTGTGATTTACTTCTGATCAGAGTCAAGAGTTGTGATGAAATTGTGATTTACTTGTGACCGGGCTTGTGACGGCCTTTTGATTCTGTGACATGAGTTGTGATGGACTTGTGATTTACATGTCCTTGTGTCTGGGACCTGGCTGCATGGTGGGAATCAAATCCAAACGCAGTCTTGGATTTGGATTTGGAGTCCTTTTCGAGGTCACTTTTGTAACAATAAATAATGATAAATGCCACATTAACGAAAAAAGTTTGGTTTCGAGGGAAAATAAAACTCTTACCTGAAAAACATTACTTCTGTGGCCGCTGGGGTAAACCAGCGTCGTCTTCTGCCGGGCCCAATCCCAGAGCACAATGTTGAGGTCATCGCTCCCCGATGCCAGGAGTTGTCCCGACTGGTTGAAGTGCAGTGTATTGACGCACCCGTCGTGGTGCTTGAGTTCGCAGTACTTCTCGAAACGTGACACCATGTGCACGCTGCCGATGGACTTGGAGCAGAAGCTCAGTTGCTCCTTCCGGGAGCCGATCTCTCGAGAGCGCAGCATGGGCAAGGCTCTCCAGGTGGGCTTGGGCAGGAGCTTTGCGAGGAGTTCATCTTCCAGGTCGCTGCAGAGCTCCGTGCCGCCGGTTTTGTTTTCGGGATCCTCCTCCCCGTCCTCGTCGTGCTCCTCGTTGACCTCACGCTCCATGTCCGACTCCGTCTCGCTGCTGTCGCTGTGCGATCGCTGGCTCCGTGTGCCGGAGTCCGTGTCATGTCTCTCGTCTTCGTCGCTGCTGTCTGACTGCTCACCATCCCCAGCCTCCAGATTCCGCAGGCGATAGGATCGTCTTGAAGGCCGCGACTTCCGGTCCTTCGAAAACAGTTTGAGCGACTTGCCCGGGCTCTTGGTAGCTGCATTGTTGGGGTCATCAGTAGTCATTCTTTCTTCTGCGTCTCCACCCTCTGTTGATTTGCCAGCCTTGTCTGCAGCCGTGCCGTCCTCTGTGCTGGACTGCTTCTCGCCCTTGGCTGTTTCATCCTCTACACCCTCTCCCTCTGCGCGTTCACTTGAATCTCCAGTCGCCATTTTGTCCACGTGTACATCTTCCGACTTGGTAGCGTTCTTAGCGTCGGGGATTATTCCGTCTTTCGAGCCCCCGCCCTCTGTGTGTTTGGCACCATCTCCCGACGGGATCACACTGTTTTCGGTGCAATTCTCACCCACTTCCTCAGCGTCTTTGCGCCCCGGTTTGTCACCCTGTCCGGCACGTTTGGCCGCATTTTCTGTGAGCTCACTTTCGGCAGTTCTGTCGTTCCCGTGGTTGAGACCCTTGTCATCAGTGTCCATGTGGTTTGACACTTCTTTGTCATTGTCCATGTCCATGTCTTCATCTGCCATTGTGTTTCTGTCTCAGTGCAGGACCTTCATCTGTGACTGAGAAATCAAAACACATATTGGGTCGGTGATTATAGTGTTCATTTTACACACCAGTTATACCGTGCAATAATATGCATCATCTTTTTCTTACAGAGTTAAAAAACAAATGCATAATTGGCAGACAATTATTCCTACGTGCTTGAAGGGGAAATACATGTCCTACATGGTAACACCCTCTTGAATAACCACATGTTCGGAGTGTTTAACCCTAATTCCCCAGGCCTTTTTGCTAGGATGTAGCCTCAATCCTGCAAAATCCTCCAATTGGCCTCATGGATATAGCGCCTCAATCCTGCAAATTCCTCCACTATTTCTTGAATATGGTCCATGGAGGGGTGACCACTGCCTGAATCCTGCAAAATCCTACAGCAGTGACTGTCAATATGCTGAGGCTTGGCCAGTGACATCCTGGAGCAGTACGGAGGATTTCAAGCATAATCCAGGCCTGTATTTATGCATGGCTGAGCAAAAACAACACAAGGTCCGGCCCAAGACCTTGACAAAGTGCATCCTACGAAATCAGTAACGCACTTTTGCCATGTAACCTCAATCCTCCAAATTCCTCCACTTAGGCAAAGAGGATTTTGAAGGATTCAGGGCGGTTAGGGTTAAATGTAGTTGACTTCATCACAAGTCCAACAAGGTCCTCCAGTCACAAGCTATTCCAATGAACCGTGACAAAAGCATTCCTTTGTTATTGTTCATCAACTGTTACTTGTGAATGTACATGTACTTGCGATGAACATGACTACAACACTTAATCATGAGAGCCAACATTAAACTACCGGTACACGTAAACTTACAAATTCAGCTTACATGTACCTGTACGAACATGTACATGTAGGCTAATTTAGCCTTTGTTTTTAAAGGCCAAAAAAAAAGTTCTGCTTCCAGTTTCCCTACCTACTGTATTCTGACAGCCCCTACCCTAATTTTTTTTATGGGGAAAATGAATAAAAAGCACCCAAAACCATAAATTTCTACCTTTTACCCTTAACTACATGCAGACGCCTCCGTATGATCGAACAACAAAAATTGGCCTACCGGTACCGACCCTATTTTCAAATGCTATGTAATCGGAAGCAGAAATATATGTATTCTTTAGGCCTTACTTGTGTTTTATACTGTACATAGTACAAATGTTGATGCGAGTGGTATTACATCAGCAAAGACAATCATTTTTTCATTTGCATGCCAGATTTCAGGTGTAGTTATGTGTTACAATGTGCTGTTATGCCCGAACTATGGCATCATCCAACTATAGTTAGGAATCGGCCAGTGTTCTCCAACCTGTCAATATAACCTGGTGCCCCACCAAGCTTTCTGAGGCACCCGCCAAGCTTCAAAAGCTGCCGCCATGCTTAAAAAAAAATAATGATAATAACAAAAAAGTGTGACTACCCTTACCCTCCAGGGTATACTTGGCCAGAAACTCTGCCAAAAGCAACATGCAACACTTGTCAAACTGACAAGCCTGCCCATTGTAGCAATCCATCAGATCAAAAGTCTCAAGGCCAAACTGCCTCAGAGTCCCTGGTCACTGATGAGTTAAAAAAGTTGATGCTGAGCCAGTACTGTACTTATAAGTTACTGTGTTAGAAATGGCCTAAAAGCTGTTATCCATACATAATTTCATGTTCATAGATAAATAGCACCCCCTAGCATAAAGAAATGTACGACTGCAAAAAGCGCCCCTAACATAATTATAGCGCCCCCTCCACTTTTTGACGGCGCACTGACCTTTAATTTTCAAAGTTGGAGAACACTGGAATCCCCCAACTATTGTTAAGGCTGTCCCATCCAAGGGTACAGACCTTTATCATGCTGCCACCATTTCAGTCATGTTCCCTGTATCCAATAACAGTAGGACTAGGTCCCACTACTGAATGATGTTTTTTTTGTGCAAAGAGGAACCAGACTATTTTTCCTTCCAGCCTCGCTTTGGTTACGTTGATTTGAAATGGGAAAAAAAATCACAATGGCCGCAACATGATAATGGTCTATTACAGAATTTCATGCCATTATCTGTTCCAACTTTTACTTTTGACAGACTTACATTTTACATGTATAATGTTGAAATTATATAGCTATAGTTTCAGGCCTAATCGTACTTTTTTGGCGATTGTGTAGTGTAGGGCCCTGTTCCCCATATTTAGAGAACAAAATCCACTTTAAACTATTTGATTTACCAAACTAGTTGACGCATTAAAAACAAACAGTTATGACGTAGATAATGTAGTAGCAGGGTTTTGATTTTGAAGCAAATTTGGGAGTAAGAATGACTATGATAACAAAACGCAACAGGAAAAGGGCCCAAGAAACTGATCGAAATTACAAAAAAAGTGTCATTAGAATTGCAGGAAGTCTGTTTTAGGTTCAAAAGGTCATTTTGAAATGATAAAACATCCTCAAGTTTACTCTAATTTGACCAAAACTAAAATGGAGGCCCTACATACACAGTCTACACTCATGACACTACACAATAGAAAATATTTCAATAATTAATCCAACACTACTGATAGTACAATGTACCTCAAGGAATTAATAAAATTACAGAAAGCAGAAAGAATGTTGCAACCTGATGCCATGTTTTTCTTCATAAAAGGCCTATCAGTATCATCTCAATACAAATTACGGGTCAGTCATTGCAAATATGTTGAATATGAATCAAATGTGGGACTGAGAAACATTTCCAATTTTGTTAGAAAATACTTAGACAATTTTCTTGACTCTCCATAGACTTTGTACACAAACCGCTGAAAGTAGCGTTAGGTTGCAACATTCTTTCAACATGCAGCGTAGGACCCCCCCCCCCCAAGTAGACAGTCTCCACCCCCATTTCGAGCAATTGCGTACACAAACGACACAACTAGTAACATTAATGTAAACATAAAATCAGGTGATACATGACAAACTTTGTTGTCCTTTTTTCATGTAATTTAAAGCGAGAATACACATCTAATAAGCACAAAATACAACTTCAATTTATACAGAGGAGACTCCTTATCATACAGAAACATTCTGGATTCAAACAAAAAAGTACCGTAGAGCATAAAACACTTACACGAAATCAAAATAAATATCAGGGTCGGAGGACGGGACTTTTGCTGGAGTTTCTAAAAATGACGAGAGCGCCCTCTGTTGAACCACATCATCGCAACACATTTTTGGAGTGCGACCTCTGGCGGTTTGTAGCAGTTCATTCAAGATGGCGGCGCCCAGGCGGCAGAAAGTTCAAGATTTGATGAACGAAAAGGACGCCATAGAACAAGAAATTAAGGAGTTTCATGAAGTTTTGGAGTCGGTAATTATATCATGCATTTAATTAGCCTCATCAATGCGTCTTATAAACTAGGCTTCCTCCGTATCAAAAATAAAGTGATGCAACTTTTGGCGCTTGAAAATTAATGGAAAAAAGTGGTGGCCCAGTCATGCCAGTGCCAGTAGCAGTACGGAATTTTTTCCCGGCTTGTCTAGCTTACTCTTACTCTTAGAAGTTAGAATAGTGATGAAAAATAAGTTGAAGCAGTGCTCACCAGGAATATTGGAGCTAAATTTTCGGCCTGACTAGGCCTTCATCGGAGCTCCAATGAACATGATGAAGGCCAATTGAAGGCCAAGTCAGGCATGTCAGGCATGTCAGGCATGAAGGCCTAGTCAGGTCAAAAATTTCAGCTCCAATATTCCTGGCACTAGTGAGCATTGCTTTAACTTGTTTTCATCATATGAATATGATATAATACTTATCTTCAGTACTACATATGTATGCAGTTCTGCTTCATTTTATCTTAGGGGCTATACATAATTTTCAGTGTTTTTTAAATTTGGATTTTTTTTCTAAATTGTGGATGAGTGGGGTCAAGGTAAATAGTCTGATAGTTGAAAATCGAAATTCACTTTTCATAGAAAAAGCAAAGAAAAAGCCACACAAAAAAAGCTGGATCTTGTGACTTGCCGGAACTACGCACCAGCATTCCGATGCGCGTTTCTTTTCAACTCTTCTCTTCCCCATTTACAGACAGAATGACCTGTACAGTCATGACAGTACAGAAAGTTAGCAGGGTACCAGGTGTGCTCGTGTGGCTTACATACCGCGGGCGACGATTACCAGTCGCTACACCCACTTGAATTCAAAATTGAATTTATTGGCCCATCAATTCAAGACTATAGCACTCTAGTTTTGCAATCAATTTACGGGAACTCAACAACAGACATTTGGGGGGGGGGGTTTCTTGAAATGTATCTCAGACAAAATATTTCTTGGGGGGGATTGGTGAATTTTATAATCATTCAGCTTTCAGCTTGTCGTTGCAAAATGTTAAACTCACTAACTTTGGGTATTCAGCATTAACAACATCACTACAAAGTTTTGTGTGATTGGCACATTCCTCTTGTTTCAACTTCAAAGTTGCATGCTGCATGGAAGCCTGGAAAAGCCATTGAAAACTCCTGAGCTGGGAGAGCATTTACCTAAAAATCTGGCTCATTTGAAGCACTACTTTGTTCCTCGGTGTATAGGATATGACTAGCAGTTCGACATTTAAAAAGCGAAATTTGGGGTGGGTGAGTGGCTTAAACCAAGTATGGAAAAAAAGTACACATTGAACATTTTGAATGGCCCCTTAGAATAGCTTGATATGCAGAGTGTGATACGGACCATCAAACTGTTGCCGCCATGGATCAACCAATCAGGATCGAGGATTCAAGTTTGCTTGACTCCTGTTTCTTTATCTTTAGCAAGGCAATGTTGGGATGCATGGCCCACTCATAGACAAGGAGGGATATCCACGCAGCGACATTGATCTCTACAGTGTCAGAACGGCAAGGCACAGGATTATCTGTAAGTACAAGATGCAAAACACTCAGAAAGATTTTACAATCATACCGATGTTACGCCCAAACCATAGCATCATCTCAACTGTAATTGGGCCATCTCAACTATATTTGGGACTGTCCCAAGTATAGTTGTGGGTAGTATTTCATGTATTTATAAAACAAAATATGTTTGATTCATAAACTCTGGATGAGACGCAACATCTGATTTTTTTTAAATTGTGGCTGAGTTTTTAAACAGTTGGTTGCATCAGTTGATGTCATTTTACTTTTCATTAATATAATTCTGGTAATAAAACCAAGGAATCCTCAAGAGTGCCCTAGGTGCTGTAGCTCGCAAGCTTGTTGAGAGAAGACAAGAAATACTCAGTTTTAGAGGTGGGAGGAAAACCGAGGGGTGGGGGGGGGGATCCGGGGAAAACCGTTGCAATCAGATAAGGGCTGAAAACCAAATCCACATGTGGACCTAGGGCAGGAATTGAACCCGGACCAGAGAGGTTCTAGACCAGGAAAAATCACTGCACCAACCTGACTCTCAGATGGTTCGGGGTACAGTCATGTGGCATTGAACATTAACCTCAAATGTTTCACTTACAGCTCACCTGTTTCCAATTTCATGTTAAGATGTCTGTTTTCATTATCTTGTGTTGCTTTAGCACCATGATGTAGATGGAATGGCGCTTTATAAATCCTGTTATTATTATTATTATTATTATTATTATTTGTAACTGTAAGTATTGGCCCATCAGACCGGCGTTTACCTGTATCTCCGGTTTCAGTGGTATGAAGCAACTGAGAATATTTCTATTCCCCCTGGATGGGATGCGAGTCCATCGCAGATTACTCCCCAGCTAATGCCGGGACCCATTGATACTCCTGGGTGGAGAGAGGCAAGTGGAGGTGAAGTGGCTTTCCCAAGGACACAACATATTACCAGCAGCTGGATTCAAACTCCTGAGTGACCCTCTGATCATGAGTCATGAACCCTAACCACTAGGTCACACTCCCTCTATTTTCTGACAAATGGTCATTTTGTTTTATAACAAATGGTTATTTTATTGCTTCTCCCTCAGGTCTGCAGAATGACCACAAGGCCCTCATGGCCAACATTGAGAACAGCCTGCATGACCTCCACGCCTTTGAGAGACAGGAGAGAGAACACGGTGCGAGCCTGCCCACCAACGGGGCCGTCAGCGCGGCCGCGGCCCTCGTACCGTTCGCTCGGATCGATCTCGTCTCGGAGGGTTCCCCAGCTGCAAAAGCGGTGAGTAGGCCTCGTAACAATTACAATAGAATGCCATTATGGAATTTGGTGTCAGAGAGACCAGTCCCATTGTTTCGTGCACATATGGCATGGAGTACACTAGCCCCATAAATGTGGCCTATTTACTGGACTGCCTCCGTAAACATAGGCCACACATCCACATGTACAAAAACGTGTCGCACTTTGCCAAATTATGGTTTTCGCATTTAGGCTTAGTTTGTAGGTTTTTTTGCTTTAGAAGCATACTCACCCTCTTTATAAGCTAATCAGAAAGTGCTGCCTTTTTCAGATGTATATTTTTCGTGAAATTTCCAGATTCATTTGTACACGTTTGCGTATCAAAATTTCAACATGAAATTTCACAAAAATTAGACATCTGAAAAAGGCAGCACTTTCTGACTAGCCTATAAAGAGGGTGAGTATGCTTCTAAAGCACAAAAATCCTACAAACTAAGCCTAAATGTGAAAATCAAAATTTGTCAAAGTGCGACACGTTTTTGTACATGTGGATGTGTGGCCTATGTTCACAGAGGCAGTCCAGTAAATAGGCCACATTTATGGGGCTAGGAGTACACCTGATTATCCCTCCTAGTGAAAAACCAACATTCAAAGCAATATGTAAAACCTTTTAAAACCCTGCAGGTCAGTTTCAGTTGAAGGGATATGAAGTGTTAAAAGTCACTGTGGAGAGCAGTAAAGCTTGACCCAATCTGCCTGCTTGCTCTGAGCTTAACCACATGAAAGAATTGTACAGGGATTTGAAGTGTTATCCATACTCCAAAAGTGGTTTTGCAAAACTTGATGACGAGCAGAGCATACTGTTCGAAGCATGGAGTTAAACCAACTGGTTCTTCTCAGAACCACACAACTCACTTAGAGATATCATTCACATGGTGTTATCACAAACCTCACATTTATTAAAACTTAAAGGGTCGTGAAGTTTAGAAGACTACATGTAGGACGCTTAAAAGAGCATGTTCTTAGAGAATACATCCAATTATGCCTAAAAGAATTAATTTACCACAAAGTAATAGTTGAAAAGAGTGTTAAAAAGCTTTACTAGTAGGCCTGGGTGAGTACCTGATTTTTCAACTGGAGTAATTGAAGAGAATTTACTCGTGAGTAGTCCAGTACTCATAAGTAGTTAATTGCATTCCTGAAAAAGCAGAAAAATGACCTTTACACGTGCATGCAAGTCACAACACATTCTGCACCGAGTCATTTCTTGTTGACTATTAAAAGGTCAATGCTCCTGAAAACAAATTGCCACTCGTGAGTACCTGCTTCTGCTTGTGCCATGACGAGTACTCAAGTACATTTTGAGGTACTTGGCTCAGCAGTATTTACTAGGCTTGCCCTGTCTTGTTTTCATGTAGACCTCACATCTTATTGTTTATACAGGGATTACTGGAAGGGGATGAGATCATTGAGTTTGGCTACGTCGACACCTCCAACTTCCAAACAATGCAGGACATCGCTGCAGTGGTACAAGAGAGTCAAGGGGTAAGAAGGCAGAAGGGGGAGAACTAGCGTCAACTTGAATTTCATAAAAATTTAATGCAACTCTCGAGGCAAATTACAAGTCATAAGTCAAATCACAAGTCAAAATATAGACTCAGTCACAAGTACAATGTTATAGGGGATTACCCATCACTTGAGCAGCTTGTGATTTGTGATTGAATGATTTGTGATTGAAGGATTTGTGATTGAATGATTTGTGATTGAACGATTTGTGATTGAATGATTTGTGATTGAACGATTTGTGATTGAATGATTTGTGATTGAACGATTTGTGATTGAATGATTTGTGATTGAATAATTTGTGATTGAATGATTTGTGACGGACTTGTGATTGACTTGTGATTGACTTATGATTGCCTGGAGATTGCCTTGCGACTGAGTTACGATGGATTTGTGATTGACTGGTCTTTGACTCGTTGTTGACTGGTCATTGACTCGTCGTTGACTCATCTTTGACTCGTTGACTCGTCTTTAACTCATTGTTGACTGGTCATTGACTCGTCTTTGACTCGTTGAATCGTCTTTGACTCATCGTTGACTTGTCGTTGACTCGTTGTTGACTCGTCATTGACTCGTCTTTGACTCATCATTGAATTGTCATTGACTCGTCATTGACTCGTCTTTGACTCATCATTGAATTGTCATTGACTCGTCATTGACTCGTCTTTGACTCATCATTGAATTGTCATTGACTCGTCATTGACTCGTCTTTGACTCATCATTGAATTGTCATTGACTCGTCATTGACTCGTCATTGACTCATCTTTGACTCATCATTGAATTGTCATTGACTCGTCATTGACTCGTCATTGACTCGTCTTTGACTCATCATTGAATTGTCATTGACTCGTCATTGATTCGTCTTTGACTCATTGACTGTCATTGACTCGTCATTGACTCATCTTTGACTTGTCATTGACATGGCATTGACTCTTCTTTGACTCGTCTTTGACTCATTATTGAATTGTCATTGACTCGTTTTTGTAAAAGTTATCAAAGCTCTATTTTATTTCTATTTTCAGGACCTAATATCCAAACTTGTTTTGGTCAGATTAAGGGGAATCGTTGATCTCTTTTAAAAAAAAAAATAGGCAGAAGCCAATGCTCCCAAGAAGCTGCACCTGGCGTTCTTGCTGTGTTGCGTCAAGTCCATTAATTATATATTTTCACTGTTACAGAAATCTTTAAGAATCCTGACGCTACGAGAAGGAAAAGGTGTGCCTGTTTCTCTGAAGCCCCAGACGTGGAGCGGTAGGGGGCTGTTGGGGTAAGAATACATTAGTTCCTCTGGCTTTTTGTAATGTTCAATCTTTCTGGCTCTTTTCTAGAATTGTTTTCCGTGGTTGTTTGGAATGTTTACCAAATGCTGCATCATCTTTTGTTGATAGTGTTTTTGTTTTTTTACTGGTTCAAATTTGAAAGTGCATACTCCATATTGGCAAGATGAACTTCTTCTAATGGTGGAATTATTGAATATAATACGGTCGACTCGTTTTTACGACCTCGGCTAGGACGAGATTCTGGTTATGACTAGCATATTGTTGATGTACCCTAACGTGGCGCGGCCCCTAACGTGGCGCACTTTGATTTTTTTGCCTGTAGTGCCTAGCTAGAGCAAAAGTTTTAACTGAAATTTCACAGAAAGTGAAATTTCATCAAGTTCTAAACACTCCCGTTCATAAATCGCGAGTTTATTTACCCATTACAGAGTTAACAGAAAAAATTATTTTGGCGTGATTTTCCGATTTTATTTTCAAGTGCAAAGTGAACCCTTTGAAAATGCCCCGAAAAATAAGAAAATAATTTTCTGACAAACATCTGGCTGGGTTTGTAAGTAAAGATAATAATGATTTATCAGAATTTAGCAAGTTTACAGAAATTCTTAAATGTTAATTTGGAATTTTCTGAGATTTATTCAAGTGCGCCACGTTAGGGCACACTCCGCCAATTTGTGCCCAATTTCCGGACACGACCGTTTTTGCATTTCGGATTAAATTTTATGAAACCGAAATTGTTCACAGAGGTTAAATAGCAAGCATTAAAAAGGTAAAAGTACCAGCATTTCACTGCCTGAATTTGAGGTTTATCAACAAAGAGGTTTGGCAACACTACACGAGGAAAGTTGGGTAAGATTCAAAGTGCGCCACGTTAGGGAACACGACTATATTTGGCCAGTCCCAACCTAAGTGTGCACATTCCTAAGAGAAAACAGTTCGATCGAATCCTCGGAAACTGCAGGCCAACGTCAAAATTTGTGTTTACTTTATTTTGACCTTTGACCCCATAGCTGTGGGGTCAGATGAAAAGGTCACCATGGTACTTTTTTAATGTTTGACCAAGGCCAAAATGTTTAATGATTGACCAAGGCCAACATATTAACAGCGCTACTTTTGTCATTTGAGCTTATGATACTTTTGACAAAGTTTAGTTGAAATTGGTCAAACTATGTAGGAGCAATTGACAATGTCAACGCTTGTTACTAACAAACTAATGCACGGACTAACGGAGAGACACAATGATTTGTCTTCGCTATGATAATGCTCGCTACTCCTGCGCTGCAGTTTCCATGCTTCAACGAATGCACCAACGTTATTTGCATCCCGATGATGCTGGAACTTTCAAAAGATGGACCGAATGTATTTGTGGTTGTCTTGCCGCTAACTGGTTTCTTTATGGCAGCTGTCGTGCTGCGAGAGAGCGTCATGATGTTTATAATAAAAAGAAAATTGTTTCTGAAAGTGATGGCAATAAATAAACCCTTAACCCACATTGTCATCCGGAGTTAAATAATATGTACAAGTATCCGTAAGTACAATATGTAGATTGTAATTACTGATCTGTTTTTTGTTTGTTTAACTTTTCTTGATCAAAGGTGCAACATGATTCCAATCAAGAAGTGAACTAATTAGCCAACAGGAGATTCAAATAAATCAAACGGATTTGCGCGAGACAAAACTCTCATCAAGAAATCTTTGGACAAAAGAGAACCAAAAGCTGCTTTGGGATGAAAACAAAAGTTGAAGTGTCTCAGCTGGTTACCAGAAAGGAGTTCTGATGAAAGGGAAGGTTACCTAAAACAAGAAAACATTGTTTCAGAGGTAGGCGAGGAAAGTTTCTTTATTCCATAGAAAGGAATTCAACATGAAAATTCTGTGTTCATGGACTCCGTGCATGAGCAGGAGAGGGCGCTGTTGTGCCACTTTGGAGAGCTGCAGTGGAGGGACACATCGGCCAAGTTCGGGCGGTCTGCTCATGACACGGGTACGCACTCGAACGGCGGGAACACGACCCACGAACACTGCACTCGGGACAGGATCACACACCACCTTTCCGTCAGGAGCTTGCACGAACAATTTACCCGTGTCAAGAACAGACCGCCCGAATTCCACCACAGAGTGTGCGTACTGGTTTGCGCGCATATTGCGCGAAGTACGCATGACTAAACTATTCTGAATCTGCACAAGCCCGTAATGTCTTCGCGTGATCGTCAGTTGCCGTCAGCAATTCGTTCAAGAGATCTTGTGTGTGGTGTCCCCCAACTCTGCCTTCGTAACCGTTGAGGGCGTACTTGTGCACGGAGTCCATGGTAGTGCGACTTTGCATTAAACCTATTAGCATGTGCTACATTGTATTACACTGTGTTTATTCACTGAAGAACCGATAACATCACTGAGTGCTCGGGAGGTTTCGGGTGCTGCAGGGAGAAATGGGTTAATTTCCGACAAGTCTAAACCCATATTGCGGACCGTTTAAATGGAACTGTAGCATCATAACGCAGAGCCCATAGTGATGTGACTCTGCTAAACCGTAGCATCTGTGTACATGTACATCTATGGCCAAGTTCGCGCAAGGACTATAGTTGACCAATGGTTAACTAACGTTTGCTCGAACTCTGTCTAGTCAACGGTGGTTGACTATGCTAGTCGACTATTTGGAACCAGCCTACCGGGGTTGGTTGCTTCGCTGGTAACCAATAGCCGCGCGCATTCATAACGCTAGCAGAGAGCCAGGATCCAGAAGTTATGCGATGACATTTTGACCAGCGTTTGACTAGAGACGTTCGCACGTTGCTATCAGTGCGCAGGCGTAAGGTACGTCACAAATCAACCACTAGTCGACTAATGGTCCTTGCCCGAACTTGGCCTATTATGTATTTAGAATAGTCTAAAGTGACTGGTTTATATTACATTGTGATGCATACAGATCCAAGTAAACAAAAATTATACTGCAGTGATCTGATTTATTTCATGCAAACCTAGGGAGTTACAAACCTTTCAATTTTTTTTTTACTTATTGGCATGATATAACAAAACAATTGTTGACTGCTGTTATGTGGGATATGCTATTTTTAAAGGGAAAATACAACATTTGCAAACATCAAAAAATAAAACTACCAAATCGTTTTGAAATATCTTGCTGGACTGTTAGTGAATGACAGTGTAAAGCATCCTGTAAAATCATGGCACCTGGTATACTGTCATTTTTAAGAAAAGTGGTATTTTTGTATCAATTTCCAACGCTGATCGGTCGACCAGCGTTGGAAAAAACTGGCTTTTTTCAAATACTGGCCCCAGTTGACCATCGCACTTGTTTGCAATCGATTACACACCTATGAACGGGTACAAGCCAGCTAGACTGGTTCCCTGACCTTACAATTCCCCAATGTATGTAAACTCATCTGTTTCTTCTTAAATGGAGTCAGGGAACCAGACTACAGGAAAATGATTGTTTTTCTTGGTTTTTATAGCATTTTCGAACCCAAAACCTCAAAAAAGTCAGTGTAACTATATTTGCTATATATTTCCAACCCCCCAATTCCATCCATTTCTGAAAATTACAGCAAAAGCAAATGATGTATATTCCCTTTAACCGCCCCGGGGGGCACAGTATGCGCTTCTCAGGTGTTAAAAGCAGCGTATACCAAACCATGGCAGTCAACAATTGTTCAACGTGTCTTAATTTTCTACCCTCTGACAAAAACAACACATAAAGAAATTTGTTCACTTTTTTCACATCACTGTGATGTCATTTTAGTGTAAATATGCTCAGTTTTAATCTCATTAAAAACACACCTCATTTCAGATTTTATTTCAAAAAGCTTCAATTTTAACTTTAAAGGGCCTGTGAAATGATTTTTCTGAGGGACAAAATTATTTTGTGCGACTTTCTACTCCTCTTAAATGTACATGTATAAAAACTATTTGACATCCCTTTTTGGTTTATTTTATTAAAAAGTGCACTTCTTAAACACTTAAAATGTCTCATGCTTTTCCTGACAATTGAGGGCGCTGTTGCTGTGACGTCATTCCAGGAAGACACTGTTCAGTTTAGGGGTTTTCTGTTCAAATTGAGAACCCAAAAATTTGCTCATTGAAAACATCTGTGAGAAAAGTTCGCTCATTGGCTCAATACTGCCATAACTGACAATTTTATCAAAAATTCTGGCAACTTTTTGTGCTGAAATAGCTGTAACATTGAGGTTTCTGCCTGAAATGACATTACAATGTTGCTCATGAATAAGGGAAATTTGCATTAGCATAAAAACCTAAAAGGCACTAAATACCCTTGAAAATGGCAAAACGAAAATTGAAAATAAGGTTGAATGTGATACAAAGGTGCATTTTCAAGGATTGCATAAAAAAAAATTACATTGCATTGTGCCCTTAAGATAATTGTAGTTCTTATAATAATGTATAATTGTCAAATTAGGTTTTTGCTCTTCACCGACGTTTAAACACTGTATACTCAGTGTGTTACCTTCCGAGTGAAAGATGGTAAAAATCACTCGGTTGGGACTCGAACCCACGACCTCCTGCTTTCTAGTGCAGATATCTTACCACTCGACCACCGAGCTAACGGAATCGGTTGGCTGGTTCGAATCTGATGTACATAGCAGCGGGTACCGCATAAACTATTATAAGATGGAATTTTGCGTCGGGGTAATATAAATCAAATTAGGTTTTTGCCCTTTACTGACGTTTCAACACTGTATACTCGGTATGTTACCTCCCGAGTGAAAGATGGGAAAAATCACTCGGGTGGTAAGACATCTGCACTAGAAAGCAGGAGGTCGTGGGTTCGAGTCCCATCCGAGTGATTTTTCCCATCTTTCACTCGGGAGGTAACACACTGAGTATACAGTCAACTCTCGTTAGTACAAACTCTGTTAATACAACATTCTGGTTATAACAAACATAAAGCCTTGGTACCGACTCTGCATTTTATGTGCACAATGAATGGGACTGATGTTCCTCTTAATACAAAATTCTGATATAACAAACAATTTGGCTAGGTCCGAACGAGTTTGTTATAATGAGACTCGACTGTACAGTGTTTAAACGTCGGTGAAGGGCAAAAACCTAATTTGATTTATATTACCCCGACGCAAAATTCCATCTTGTATAATTGTGGTAACACATCCTTACTCTCTTTGAAATACAGTTGTTATGCAGCACTCGATAAACAAAAATGTAAAACTTAACAGCATTGGGATGCTAGTATTACTTGAGTATTAAAGCATTTTTTAATAGGTATATGTAGGAGCAGGTTTATCAATCTGTTATGAAAGGATTTGGGTAAAAAAGCTATATTCAGCATTATCAATGATATTTATCCTTAAAATAACGTGCTCTACAAGCAAATCACACTTTGCCACTTGGTGACGGTGCTAGGCAACATAATTATGGGTCAGTCTATAACTTAGGCCCAAAAAAAGTCTCCGGTTTCTAGTATGCGCAAAATGAACATTTTTTTTTTCAATATTAGATGATGTCTCAAAACCGCCAAACTCACTGGTTTGACTGGAATCCTGCTGCTGCACAATTTTAACGTGTTTTTAGATGGGGTTATGATCGAGAATAAGCTTTATGTGGCCTCTCCGGACTCCCATATATTTGCACTAAGTTTAGTCGGGCACCATTTGCAGTCATCAGCCGACATTTGAAGCAAAAAAGACAGGTAAAAAAAATAAATAAGCCGCGTCGCCGCACCACTTTTTGGGCAAGCTCCATACCAGAAACCGGAGACTTTTTTTTTTTGGCCTTATCAATCTGTTATAGATTGAAATAACGTGCTCTACAAGCAAATCACACTTTGCCACTTGGTGGCGGTGCTAGGCAACATAATTATGGGTCAGTCTAAAAATCTTGGGTCCACATTTCTGGTCCCTGTTTCGCCTCACATCTATAATTTTGTAATTGATGCACTCTTTTAGGGGTGACTGCTCTATGTTCCGACACCCCTATGTTCCGACAACCTAGATTGTGTTACTCCCGGTTAGGGTTAGGGTTAGGGTTGGGGTTAGGGTTAGGGTTAGGGTTAGGAATAGGAATATGTGCAGTCGGAACATAGGGGTGTCGGAACATAGAGGTGTAACCCTTTTAGGCACTCCTCCAAGAGTGATTATGAATATCGAACTACCGTCACCTAAAAATAAATTGGAGGTGTGCCAACCCAATGCAAAAGACTGTCAGTTTAGGGGTACTGTTCCCATCCTGACAGATTCCAACAAAACATGCCGTTGGGGTTTGATGGATTGAGTTCTGTTAGGGTCAATGATACTCCAATGGCAAATTACAAAGTACCAAGATAACAGGGACAGGAAAAATGTCACACTTTGGACCCTATATTTATATAATAAGCTCTGTGAGCTTATTATCTGATTATAGATATTTCTCCATTCAGTATATATACAATTGTGAATTTATACAATGTATACATAGTTGCCAAAACGTGTATCATTATCACAGTAGATTTTCAAATCTCTTTCAGTATTAGACATGCATATTTAAATGTATGATACATATAGGTTAAATAGATGGGATTGGCATGTAGAATATATAATAGCTGATTTCAAGTATTGAGCAAAAGGCTGTACATGTACATATACAGTGCATTATAATCAGGGGATGAATACTCAAAGGGATTCATGGTTAAATAATTTGGGAACCCCCCCCCCCCACTCCCGCCCAAAAAAAAATCAAAGATGATCATCTTTTCTTAAAAGATATAGTTTTTAATATTAAAAAAGAGTTAAGGCTAACATCATGCTTGGCTATGTGTAAAAAGTTGTGTTATTTTATGTTTTTTTCAAATTTTGTTGTAAGGATTTTTTTTATTTTGAGGCACAATCAGAGTTTCACAATTTTGATTCTTGCGACTTCGTCAACAGAGGGCGTTTTCATCATCAGTGGGAGTGGACAGACCTGGTAACAGTGGTTTGCTCCACATGCACAATGGGCTGCGGTCCGCACTAAAGAAACACAAATGAATATTACATTATTATCACAAACAACTTGCTGGAGAGTGTGCCGGAAAAACAGAGACGGGGTATAATATACACGCCTCTGAAAATTTCATACGTACGAAAGCCCGTTAGTGCCATCGAATGTATAAATTGCTCTTTTGCAAGTATATGTTTGGTGAATCTTGTTTTTCGGATGTATATGTTTAGCAAATCTTGTTTTTTGGATGTATATGTTTAGCAAGTCTTGTTTTTTGGATGTATATGTTTGGCGAATCTTGTTTTTTGCAAGTATATGTTTCCCGAGTCTTGTTTTTTGCAAGTATATATTTCCCGAGTCTTGTTTTTTGCAAGTATATGTTTCCCGAGTCTTGTTTTTTGCAAGTATATGTTTCCCGAGTCTTGTTTTTTGCAAGTATGTTTCGCGAGTCTTGTTTTTGTGAAGTCTATTTTTAGTAACATTCTTGTTTTTTGCAAGTATGTTTCCCGAGTCTTGTTTTTTGCAAGTATATATTTCCCGAGTCTTGTTTTTTGCAAGTATATGTTTCCCGAGTCTTGTTTTTTGCAAGTATATGTTTCCCGAGTCTTGTTTTTTGCAAGTATGTTTCGCGAGTCTTGTTTTTGTGAAGTCTATTTTTAGTAACATTCTTGTTTTTTGCAAGTATGTTTCCCGAGTCTTGTTTTTTGCAAGTATATATTTCCCGAGTCTTGTTTTTTGCAAGTATATGTTTCCCGAGTCTTGTTTTTTGCAAGTATATGTTTCCCGAGTCTTGTTTTTTGCAAGTATGTTTCGCGAGTCTTGTTTTTGTGAAGTCTATTTTTAGTAACATTCTTGTTTTTTGCAAGTATATGTTTCCCGAGTCTTGTTTTTTGCAAGTATATATTTCCCGAGTCTTGTTTTTTGCAAGTATATGTTTCCCGAGTCTTGTTTTTTGCAAGTATGTTTCGCGAGTCTTGTTTTTGTGAAGTCTATTTTTAGTAACATTCTTGTTTTTTGCAAGTATATGTTTCCCGAGTCTTGTTTTTTGCATGTATATGTTTCCCAAGTCTTGTTTTTTGCAAGTATATGTTTGGCTAGTCTTGTTTTTTGCAAGTATAATGTTTGGCAAATCTTGGTTTTGTATGCCCCGCGGCGAAGCCGAAGGGGCATACTGTTTCCGCCTTGTCCTTCCGTGTGTGGGTATGGGTGAGCTTGTCTTACATACGCAGTGTGGACTTCCGAACAAAAGACGTCCACATAATGTAGGTAGCACCGACGTTGTGTGGACTTACCCCACGTCCACACAGTGTTTCCCCATTTCTGGAAAACAGGTTTAGAGACATTTTTGGGTTAGGTTTATCTGTAGCAGAATGAAGAGAAACACTAAAGGGAATCATAGAAAAAAAATTGGGTTGAAAGAGTTTTCACAGTTTGAGAAAAATGAGTTTTTTTCACTGGTTTTTCTTAACTACACGAAAGCAATGGAAAGTCCACACTAGTCATGTGAAACAAGTGTGGGGGTGTGTGTGTGTGGGGGGGGGGGGGTGTCCGGACAAATCTTGTCATCGCGATAACTTGAGAATTCCTTAACATATGAACTTCAAAAATCTTCTGAGATCATAGGGATTAGGGATTAGGGATTAATTCATATAAAACCTACAGAAGACACTAATGCTGTCAATGAACGTTCCTTGTGACCAAGGTACATGTAAGTTGATGTTAAAAGAGTGCTGTTATGTCATGGGAATAGTCACGGCGGGGCATTTGTGTTCGTAAACACACCTGACTTGTTTTAAGTCTGTTATAGCTGCTGTGTGCATCATGAGGGCGCTGTTGTTTGTGATGAAAGTATAGCCATGCCACCAATTAATTCGTTATTACTTCAATTTAGGCCTTAATTACGACGAAATAATTGCATCACTTCTCGCAAACAACAATATTATCATCAGCAAACGGCATCTTATCCGGAAACTGCGAGTTTTAGGTCTTTTTCGGCGAAAAAGTCACACCGATATTGTAGACGTCGCCACCTTTATTGAAGGAGAGTTGCAAACATCCGGGCAACTGCATGGCTAGGGCCTATAGGGTTCACTGAACTAATTCAAACGAGAATTTCTACACCAGCTGATTAGCATAAAAAGTGCCCCCCCCCCCAACAATTTCTTTTGAAAACGGAGACCGTTCGGCTTTAAAAACGGTGGAATTGTTTAAATATACCCAAGGATCAACTCCCTGGTTTTGGGGCTTCCATCTGAGGGCAGGCTTGATAAAATCACGGATGAAAAAATGGGTCCTATTTGCCTGTGAAAGTGGAAGGGTGCCACTTGTAAAATGGCTACATGCAGGCTCGGGAACTATCACTTTTTGGGAGGTGATTTTATTTGGGTGTGAATATTTAAAAATGTAATTGGCTAATGTACGTAAAATTGAAAAGAAATGAAAAGATGAAAGACAAGACAATAATTTAATTTTTGTTTCAGAAACCCCAGTGATGTTGGCTTGCATGTTACTTGGCCCTGAACTTTGTTGATTTTACACTGTTTTCAATGGGGCTTGAATTAGTACAGTGGCCCCCATTGATGAATGCACTTGCGATGCATTCAGAGTGGTATCAATATTGATAGAGAAACTATCAATATTGTCAAACTCGTTTTTTAACAAAAAGTTAGTCGAAAATCGGTTAAAACGGTCGCCATGAGTACTAGCTAGTAGGACTATTCCAAAAATAAAAATAGGGGTGCAACAATTTTGTGTGGGGAGAGGCAGATCGGGTCCCTAAATATGTACTTGCAAAAAACAAGACTCGCCAAAAATGTACTTGCCAAAAACAAGACTCGGGAAATATATACTTGCAAAAAACAAGACTCGGGAAACATATACTTGCAAAAAACAAGAATGTTACTAAAAATAGACTTCACAAAAACAAGACTCGCGAAACATACTTGCAAAAAACAAGACTCGGGAAACATATACTTGCAAAAAACAAGAATGTTACTAAAAATAGACTTCACAAAAACAAGACTCGCGAAACATACTTGCAAAAAACAAGACTCGGGAAACATATACTTGCAAAAAACAAGACTCGGGAAACATATACTTGCAAAAAACAAGACTCGGGAAATATATACTTGCAAAAAACAAGACTCGGGAAACATATACTTGCAAAAAACAAGAATGTTACTAAAAATAGACTTCACAAAAACAAGACTCGCGAAACATACTTGCAAAAAACAAGACTCGGGAAACATATACTTGCAAAAAACAAGACTCGGGAAACATATACTTGCAAAAAACAAGACTCGGGAAATATATACTTGCAAAAAACAAGACTCGGGAAACATATACTTGCAAAAAACAAGATTCGCCAAACATATACATCCAAAAAACAAGACTTGCTAAACATATACATCCAAAAAACAAGATTTGCTAAACATATACATCCGAAAAACAAGATTCACCAAACATATACTTGCAAAAGAGCAATTTATACATTCGATGGCACTAACGGGCTTTCGTACATACGTGTTTTCTTAATAAAGATATAAAGAAATCGTAAAGATTGTAACCGGACTTTTCATGTGATGGACTTGTGGGTGATGGACTAAATTACAGCTACAACTTTGCACAGAGCAGGTATCATACATTGTACGCCTGACTAGATACTTCGTGGATTAATCGTAATTGAATTTAAATAAAATAACCTGCCCACAGTGAGGGCGCTCTCCACAAGCTCCTTATTCAGTTAGCACAGTCTTGTGCTTTGGGCTTGATGTGATGCTTAAATTAGTACGCGCGAGCTCATTAATATTTTGTGATCCCACAGGTCATTTGAATATTGAGGTCCTTGCGGCCTATATTTGGGACATATTGTAGCAAATTGTCTGGAGATCAAGCATTTGTGACTGCTGGCTTTCAACTTGGGGGTGATTTCGTTCCCAAAAGCCTTATTTGTGGGCCTATTTTGCACAGGGGTGGGGGGCTACATTTAGATCTGGACCTAAAGATTGGCAACCATTTTAGGGGCGTTTTTGGGAAGGGAATATAATTTAAAAAATGGATGTGGCTACCTCTGGTAAAATTGAAAAGAAAAATGTCCTGAGGGTCATAATTAATTTCCAGCGAGAAAAAGCTTGCCGCCTTGCTCCTGAGCGTCACCAGGTGGCGCTTTCTCTGTCCAATTTTGTGTTTCTATGAGCACGTATTTGGTGTAGTGGAACCTGTAGGCTTTACACCAAAGTCTCAAAGCGCTCCACAATAATTATTACCTCCGGTCGTGGGACCAGTTCTCTGCAGCAGCTTGAGATAAGCCAAAGCTGGTCTCTACCATAGGCCTACCAATTATACCAGTCCAGGGTGGAAAGAGGCAATCAGTGTAAAGCGTCTTGCCCAAGCACCATGTTCCAATGTCAACATAGAAGTTATGTATTTACACGACTGACTACAACAAAACTTACCACCACGGTGGGAACCCACATGGCGGAGTTTTCCTTACGGACGAGGTCGGCTGGTTTCATCTCACCGTCCGCGTTCACGCCCACGTGCTGGTTGGGCGAGGCTACCGACTCCAAAGTGATGAAACCGTTCATGGTCTCATGGAGGCGGAACTTGCAGGAAGGATCACCGCTTCCCTGTGTTTCAAAAATGGCGAATTTGTGAGGTTTACGAAATACCGGCTTCGACTCTGATTTGGCTCCGGACTCCAGGATCAAGATTGTCTGTCCCAACGACGCAACTAGATGGCAAGCTTACGGCATCATGTGGAATTTTGTAGTCAATATTCCTTCCCGCAAAATGCTGTGCTCACAGGAGATTTCAACTGACTTATTGAATTATTTACTTTTATGGGCCCTTTGCATATTACAATAAAATCCAAATACTCACATTTCCAACAATTCTTCCTCCGTGGTTAGCGATGTACCAGGACGGATATATCGCACTCTGCAGGAGGACGACATTTTGGCCACAGTTCACCACTCTAAAATGACCTGGTGCAATGTTAGGAGCAAATCACAAAAAATATTAAGTCAAGAGCTAGATATTTATTCTAGTGCTGTTCAGCTTTGTAGTCGATTCCATCAAGTCTGGTCAGAGGTAAATCACTAGACCCTTTACAAGTCAAATTACAAGTAAGCGGATGTAAACTAAAGGAATGACAGTTCATTTGAATAGCTGGTGACTTAGTTGACTTGGGAAATGGATTACTTGTGATGGACGTTTGGAGACTTGTGATTGTCTTGTGAGGACTTGAGATGAACTTGTGAGGACTTTTGATGGTCTTATGAGGACTTGAGATGGACTTGTGATGGATGTGTCTCTTGTGAGGACTTGGGAGGGATGTTTGGAGATTTGTGAGGACTTGTGATGAACTTGTGAGGACTTGTGATGGTCTCGTGAGGACTTGTAAATTGCGATGGACTTGTGATGGACATGTCACTTGTGGGGACTTGTGATGGAATTGTGAGGACTTGTGAGTATTTGTTAGGACTTGTGATGGACTTGAGTGTATTTGTTAGGACTTGTGATGGACTAGTGATGAACTTGTAAGGACTTTTAAGGATACTTGTGATGGACTTGTGAGGGATAATACATATGTTTTGGTGCCTATAAGTGAACGTTTTCTATAAACGTCTTTTAAATAACAGTGATTATCAACTTTTTGACTATATGCTTTAGTTTGGAAGGATGGGTGCATACACGGCTATAGAATGGCATAGATTTTTAGAACAATTGTAAAGCTGAAGATTGATATCAGGCAAGATGATAATTTATCCGATTAATTATACCTGATTTGTCATGCTGAAGACCGTTGGCGCTCAGCACCCCACAACTGCTGACCTGCAAACAACGACTGGTTTCTCTGGACTGCAGCGACACGATGTTACCGTTATTAAACATTTCCTGATGGTCAAAACAAAACAAACAAATCAAAATAATAAAAAAGTTTGCCTAAAAATTATGACTTTGCACGACAGGGAAGCATGTTCAGTCATCTTGTCCGTAACGTGTTATTTCCTTTTCCTTTTTTAAACGGTTAAAACTTGGAAATTTAACGGCTGAGAGGGTCTTTTTTGGTAGGGAAGTTATAGGGGTAATCATTAGAAATATGTAACTTAATTTGTTATGTGAGGAAGTTGAACACGATGCTTACCAGATTTTCCGAGCTGACGTGACGGTCGACCTCACGCACAACGGTGTTTGCGGCACCTCCGACGGCCTTCTGGGCGGACTTGAACAACCCTCCCAGCGTACTCTGAAATCATATCAAGACAGTACCGGTATATGATGAACCTTAAACGAACCTTACATTGGCACTATAAGACGATGCAACCAGCGCCAAAACCCGGCCTTCACAGGGAAAATATTCTCATATTCAGGGATTGTTTTTTTAAAGACTACCCGTAAAAAGTTGAGATGACCATTTTTCAGCCTCCATTACATCAAAATGTAAAGTTTTGAATTGATAAAGATATTTTTTTTCTCTCATTTATTATTATGACAATTTTGCTGACAAAAAAAGATATACAAACTAAACTAACTTCATCAAAAAGTCCATTCGCGATGCCAGCCAGAAGTAATCATTACTCTAAATGTGTGTAGGTTTTTCCTGTTCGCGAGAATGTGCTTTTGTGCCTGGATTTTATACAAGTGTTTCACTAACAACTAGAAAGCACTCGGAGATCGCAAACGTCCGCCACAGCTAAACGATTTTCCGCCACATTGTTAGTACACCCAAAAGAAATACTCGCATAAATGGTGAAGAATCCTTTAAAAAAATGCTGGATCCAGACCCGGATCACTTCCAAAATCTAATCGATTTGTACTTGTACCTGCAAGGACCAACCCTAAAAAAAATTGTCATGCAAATCCGTTCATATCTGTCGAGTTATCTTGTTGACAAAACGACCAACCAGCAAAATCCGATGAAAACATTTATAGCTTCTTTGGTGGAGGTAATAATGAGCCCTCACTCACCCTTTGGGTTCTAGCAGGTTGCACGACGGTCTAAATGAAAGAGAAACAAATAAAAAATTTGTGGATATGACACTCGACTTGCAATAAATGTTTTTATGAAGTCTTTTCTGATAAACAAGCTCGCTCTTCCTGTTACACGGGGGGTTCCAACATAATGTAAATCTTTTGATTCTTTTCTATGGACTTGCACAGATTGGAAGTGATCAATCCTGTGAGCTCAAAATAGTTATGTTCGAAAGCGTTTTAAGAAAATAGGTTTCCGACAAACATCAAGTTAGTCATGTGAAATAAGGATAAGATAATGTTTAAAGGTAAGTTTAAACAGATTACATTTGCAGCTATCCAAAATAGTAACTGACAAAATTATTGTTAAAAAGCATCCTTGCCGTAAAAAAAAAATCAACCAACGATCATGTGACAGTACTTACCGTGCGCGTCTTCGTGACTGATGACGACTGTACGGAGCCGCAGGCTGGAGCTCCGTACGCGGGTTGTTGGGCGACTGGGTGCCCCTGATGGGGTACCATGGACCCTTGTTTGGGTGGTGGGTAGCCATGCTGGGGCGGAGGGCCACCTTGTGGTGCCGCTGCTGGGTACCCTTGCTGGGCTGCTGGGTAACTGGGCTGAGGTGATGGGGACCTGTAACTGTGCTGAGGTGATGGGGACCTCTGGACTGCCGAGTACTCCTGCTGTGTGGCTGCTGGATACCCCTGCTGTGTGGGTGCTAGGTAACCCTGATGTGCAGGTGCTGGGTACCCCTGATGAGTGGGTGCCGATGGGTTACCCTGCTGGGCTGGGTAGCTCCCCTGGGGTGCAGGCGGGTATCCTTGCTGTGCGGGGTAACCCTCTTTTGGTGGATATCCGGACTTTTGTGGGTAATCCTGTTGTGGTGGGTTCCCCGGCTGCTGTGGGTACCCAGTTGGCGGTGGGTTGCCTTGCTCAGGTGCTGGGTACCCAGCCTTTTGTGAGTAGTATGGCTGCGATGGATTCCCGGGCTGCGCTGGGTAACCTTGCTGTGATGGGTACCCCTGGGGTGCTGAAGGTGGGTCCCCTTGGTGAGCTGGGTATCCGGCCTTCTGTGGGTAACCCTGTTGTTGGGGCTGTGATGGGTAACCTTGTGACGGTGGGTTCCCCTCTTGTGGTGGGTTTCCTGGGTACACTGGCTGTGCTGGGCTACCTTGCTGGTGTGAGGTGTTCCCTGGCTGTGATGGGTACCCCTGCGGCGCTGGGTATCCTTGTTCAGCTGGGTATCCTTGTTCAGCTGGGTATCCGGCTTTCTCTGGGTACTCCTGGTTTGGGTTCCCTGTTGGCGCTGGGTACCCCTGCGTTGATGGGTTGCCCTGCTCGGCCGGGTTCCCCTGCTCGGCTGGGTACCCTGTCTTCTGTGGGTACTCCTGTGACGGTGGTGCTGGTGCTGGGTACCCCTGTTGGACTACTGGGTACCCTCCCTGTTGGGTGGGTGTACCTTGTGGATATTCCGGCGGGCTATACGGTGGCGGTGGCTCACCCATGTTGTCTCTTTAAAAAACACCTGCCTGATTTCTTCACAGAATGACTGCTGTTTCAATTTTGTTTCTATATGTGAAGCGTTGAATTTTGCCCTATGCGCTTTACATCCAATGGTATCTTATAATAAAGGGCTAAGAGTTGCCCAAAGATAGAAAAGAAAATCGTGTATGGACTTGCCAAACAAAATCGTAAGCAGACAGTATTAAGGTTGTTAACAGTACGCACCTCAATACTGTATGACCCAATACAGACAGCAGTCAAATGCAAAACTCAACTGGTAAATCAATATTTTTCAAAGTCAATTTATAGAGAGGCAAGTGGACGATTTCAAGTGTTTGATAAAAGTAGGCCTATAGTGATAGTAGACATCAAATCGTTATCTTGGCTTTTATAGAAGTAGGTCCACTTTACGGTTCAAACTCTTTACTGTTTTGTTTGCAAATTATATTTTTTCTTTTGCAATGTCAGTCCTCGTAAAGCCTGCATGTCTGCATTGTTACAATCAGTGGTCACCAATACGTTCAATGCATTTGTTATCAGTTTCCATGTTTTTTTTCTTCAGAATTGACGATGTTCGCCTTTACTCGTTTAGATCTATAACGGTTAAACTTTGGTCAACTTTTATGGGAAGATAAACTTTAGTATATCTGTAATGGCCTCTTGAACTTTAAAAGTTTAAAACAGTCCACTCATGTTATTTTAGTGCACCTTGTCTGCATTTTGGTGATTCTTAATCTCTGTGCTTTGTGTACCTAAGATAGAGACATCTCTTTTATTATTGAAAACAGGTCTGGTGACGTTAAAATGACGTAGACTGACGTAGACGTTGGCCGAAACATTTGAATTGGTCACATGCATGTCTATTTCAGGTATACAAATGACGTCAGTCCACATGCGTCAAACTTTGAGATCGGCAACATCGTTGAATTTAAAATACACTCATCCAAAAACGAGAGTCCCCCTCCCCTAATAATTTTTGGTATAACTCAAAAACTACTGAGCACGTACATGTACATGTATACCTCTTGGTCTCAGTACACTGCAGACGGTGTTGAGAAGTCATATGTAGCACGATGTGACAGAGGGTACCCCCGCTTTTGTGTTGATCATTGTGTAACCAGAATCTCAGGAATTCTTCTAGGGTGTGTTAGGTAGATTGGGAGTGGGGGGAGGGGGGAGGGGGTTACCCCTCTGTCACATGTCGTGCTTGGTATACGCGAAGTAATTGAACAACAAGTGGACCAACCCATTATTAAACATTGAATTTGAACATTTTATTTGTTCACTGAACCATGGACATGAACAGTAGGCGGTATTAAAAGGAAAGGGTGAAAAGACAACACAATTTTAAATTATTTTAAAGTTTTTTGTTGTTGCAAGATTGCGTTAGAAATGAAATGTTAACACACAAGGGCGGATCGGGGGGGGGGGCCAAAGGGGGTCATGCCCCCCCCCCCCAAAAAAAAACGAAACCAATTTTTTTTCTATGTGACGTCACAATAAAGGCAGGCAATGAGTACACCACCATCTTTTCCTCAAAAAACATTGGTTGAAGTGGTCAGAAATTGCCTCAGATCGCACCACAGAGCATCTAGAATCCAAAAAAATTCGGGGCCCTCGAGCCGGCCCCGAACCCCACGCCGTAATTTTTATTACCCACTTTTTGGGGGACCAATTTTTTTTTTGGCCCCCCCCCCCCCAAAAAAAATTGTGTTCTGGATCCGCCCTTGTTAACACACAACTTGCCCGTATACAAAAGTGGAACTTTATTTGTGGAACTTTTTTTCGGCATCATTTGTCATCAATTGCACAAACTGTGACGCCATCAGAAATGTGGACTAAGTTATTGATTGGTCAATTTGGATGCCATGTTTTTGTAATACAACGACGGGTTACTGAAGATCCGATGCAAGGCGCCTGCTAAATCGTCAGAATCTCCAGGCCAAGACGCAGTCTTGTTTTGCACAATTAATCACCAAATCTGCTCGCATGATAGACCCTTGCTGTGCACGTGGATATACCATAGGCTAGCTTCCCACATGTCCATAGAAACTATCATGAGACATACCGGGAAAAATACAATATCTGTGCTCACAGGAAAGCATCCATGGCAATGAGTTTCATAACAAAATTTACAAGACCTGAATTTGGGCAGATATATCAGCTTTTATACAACACCTGAATAAATCCCCGTCATCTGATTGGTGGATCGTTGATCACGTCATTGAATTATTCGTACCAATGCACGGCGCGGGCGTGGCGCGCAGCGCACAGTGCAATGGAAGTACTATTGCACTGTGATTAAAAGTACCATTGCACTGTCACTGCACATGTTGCCGAAGGTGGCGCTGTGGTGTTTAAATTGGCAATAAAAGTTCTGAACTTATTGAACTGTTTAAGTTCTAAACTTAACGAAAAGTTTTAAATTGAGATAAATTGAATATGATAGTTATCAACCTGTTGAACAGTTTGCATAAATTAAATATGATAACTCTGAACTTGTCAAACTTGTAAACAATTTTTAACTTGAATAAATTGGCTAATAAAAGTCAACCAATCAGATGACGAGGATTTATTCAGGTGTTATATAAAACAAATAATGAATGTTTCACGTTCGTGCAATAGAACGAATTATATAACTGACATACAGATCCTAGTCATTTGATTGGTGGAACTCACATCACGTGGCATTCGTTATTGCTCCCATTCATGCCACGGCTCAAAATACTATCCGCCCATGGGGAATGGGAAATACTATTCAACAGTTAGGATCATGACGCGGTATTTGTGTGCAAATGCATGCTTGTGTGCGCGTTCAGCGTTGTGCGTAGCGCGTATTGTTCCAAAGAGCCAGCGCTACAGCGTTGGGTTCAAACATTTTCGTGAAGGGGTGGTTTGGAAGAGACAAATACATTTTCCTCTAGGTTTGTATTGAAATAAAAGTTCAAATATATCAAATGACAAGGATCTATATGTCAGTTATATAAAACAAATATTGAGAGGCTTTAAATTGTGAAATGGGAGGAATATTATCGCTCGGTAAAATCTGGACTTTTCCATTGCACTCGGCTTCGCCTCGTGAAATGGAAAAGCCCAGATTTTACCTTGCGATAATATTCCTCCCATTCCACGCTGAGCCACTCAATATTTGTATATAATTTCATGAGGTGACAGACGAAATGTTCCATTCCACTCGGCTTCGCCTTGTGGAATGGAACATTTCATCTGTCACCTCATGAAATTATTCTTACCATTGCACGAACGTGAAACATTCATTATTTGTATAATATTTTATAAACAAGAATCAGCAAAAACCAAGAATATCTTTTCTAAGCAAGATAATCAAGAAATAAATATTCCATCAAAGCAGATTTGATGGGAGCTCGAGGAAGTTTGTTTCTGATAGAGGTTGGTAATCCATTCCACACAACAGTTCCAGCATAAGAAAAAGAAAATGTAGCCAAACTTGTACAAAGCAACGTCCCCGTGACGGATTTTGTTAACAATAGCTAGAACGGTGCTTTCGCCATTGAAGGGGGCCTTCGTGATGGAATTGATAGCGTGCTCATTTTGGTCTATACAAAAACCTTTGCTGCCATATCACTGCAGATATCATGATTACAAACTACTGCTGAAATAATTCAGTTGACTGTATGAAAACAAAGGGCGAAGAAATGAACTTTGGAGAAGGTTACTTTTATTGAAATACGGAAACAAAAGCAACCAAGAATAAACCCAACCCCTAAAATACCACCAATGTTAACATTGAAAGTATAAAACACTGGACATAAACCTGTTTTGTATATTACTGTATCGGTACTAGTAATATGCTATAAGTGATTTTTTTTAATCTCAAAATTTCAAGTCATTTAGCCTTTGAATGCAATGTCATTTATTAAAAAATAACTTATAGCCTTTTTATACAAAGTTAAAAACAAATCTACAAAATATACCTTTGAAGTGTTACATCAAAATAAATTTCACGGGCTAAAGAAAACTACTTTAGAAAACAAACAATATATGAGCATAAGCTAGTTCTTTGTTCCCCATTTTTTAATAGTTAACGCCATTATACATTAAGTGTTAGGAACAACAGCTTAAAAGTTTGACTTTTTAACACTGTTTAACAGTGGATATTTCAGTGAAATAGCAGTAGTTACATTCAGAGCACATTAATTACATAGATGTCAGCCAGAGGCCTACGCGCACTTCGCCATGTAGCGCCAGACTATTTGCACGCATTGTACGTGACGTGACGTGCGAAGCATGCGAGCACATTATGGGCGCGCCCGGCGTGCAATCTTCAAAATGCGCGCAGTACGCTCTGAATAGCCAGTCAGCATCGTTTATGTGTACATCACGGCCTGGGGTTAGTGAAGGAACGCGCACGCGCCCATGGAGTCGAGGCTGTACAGAAAACAAAGTTCTTCGTCAGTCAATGAAATAGTCTGGTGCCAACACTCTGTATGTAATGTGCCTTTACTGCAGCAGTTACAAGGACTACAACAACAGGCTGGTTCCGTAAAGATTAACATGGCACATACTACATGTCTACGAGGCGGGTTCCAGAGGGAACTTTTGGTTCTACCTGAAAAAATACCGCACGGCAGCGAGCTGGATACTCACCGGGATGACGTCACCTGGGCGCGTATCATTTTCACTTCCCGGACGCGCGGCGAGATCGCTCCCATTTGATCATGAATATTTATGAGGTGTAGTAATGATTTAATTCAGACTATTCTGTAATAAAAGTTTGATGATTGTCGGATTTGAATTGTGCCCCATTGAAAGTATGGTACGAGGCGCCCCCCCCCCCCCCCCCAACAACAACACCACACACCTCCATTAATACGAGTCTAAGTGTCCGGGGAAAAATACCTGTCTAAATTTCACCATTATTTTGCTGATGAAACCTTCCCTCTCCCTGCAAACATTCCTGGATCCGCCCCTGGAGAGGTTTTATTTCTACAGAATGCAAATTAGGTGTTGGTAACTCTAGAATAGTAACAAAAAACAGCTATTTATATAAAATTAAAAGTGACGTTAGATATATAAGTTGGTAAATTCTGACAAATTTCGTCAAATAATTATTCAATGCGTGATTATCCACTGGCAACGTCCTATAAAAACTGTCTTCTGCTTCATGATGGTGGTTACTTTTTGTAAATGATTAATAATTGAGTATACATTTTTTTTTTTTAATTAAAATGCACATACATGTATATATAATAGTTCTATGTTTCTACTTTAAAATATGTCGTATATTGAAAACGATACACACAACAAAAATCTTAAAACTATCACCAACAAGTTGTTACGTATTCTGTGAACAAGCAAGAAAAATGTGTGAAGCGTTCTTCCAAGGCAAACAAACCTGTCACCTTTCCACCAACAGAGGGCAGTCTACTTGGCCTTGTATGTTGTAGTTGTTGTCTGTTGAACATACATAGGTTGAGGCTGTGCAGTCGACTGCAAACAAGAGATGGAACGAAAACAATAATTCAAAAAATGATTATGTTTTGATAATTGCTTTCCTAATAGATGCAATCACTCCAGTGTCGTATGTAACCATCCACCAGCGATCGGGCGATTCAAAATGCAGTGCGCCACCAAGAGTTTGCCAAGGAGAGTCCATTTTTCATGTTTACGGTCGACAAAACATGGCCCATTTGAATGAAGGTCAGTAGACAACTTGATCTAATTTGTTATGGATAGTGGCATAACTTTGACAGAATTTTTGTTAAAAAACGAGTTTGACAGAAAATTTGAAAGAATGGATTTTTGGGCAGATTTCTGGCAGAATTCTGCAAAAATGGTTATTTGACAGAAAAACAGCAAATTTGAACAAAAAGTGTACATTTGTTAAAAAAAAGCTTCAATCTTTTCAAACAAACCCTTGCATAATGGGGCAGGTTGGCTGGTCTAGGTGCTGAGGTTCACTGGGAAACAGACTTCGTCGTGGCCGGATCCGCGTTTTGCCCGAAATTTACCAATAATTTCACAAAATCTTCATGTGACTAGATTGTTTATTATGTAATATGAATCTTAATTAAGGCAATACTACCAATCTGCATGTGATTTAAGTGTTTTTTGTGTATTTTAAGTAATTCTGGGGAATTTGGCAGATTTTTGATAAATCTGACAGATATTTGAAGTGCATTAAGCAGAATTTGGCCCCGACCTTACGGTCACCCTGAGCAGCTGCCATATAGAATTTTTGCTCGTAGTTTGCAACCCGAGAGAGAGCACTGTTCGCGGGTCAGCCAAGAACAGGGTTTTGAATACAACTACTGCTGAAGAGGCTCGGTCCTTATGCTAAACTGCTATCAGTTCGTGCAGATTCAGAATGAATTAGATGTGAGTGTTTCGCACCATACGCGCATCAACCAGTACGTGCACACAGTGTGCCCCTCCCACTGTTCACGCACGGATGTCTACACGCCTACTTACCACCAGCGAAGGGCAAAACATGGCCGAGTTGTCCTTGCGAGCGAGATGGGCTGGCTTGATGGCGCCCTCTGCTGTCACTCCGATGTGGTGATCTCTCGGGGTGATGGACTCAAAGGTGACAAAACCCCCCACGGTCTCATGGAGACGGAATCGGCAGGAAAGATCCCCATTACCCTGCGGTAACAAAAACAAACGCAGAAAAAAAGTGAAAGTCATTTTAAAGGGGATATTCAACATTTACTTTTGCTGTGATTTTCAGAAATGGATGGATTTGAGGGGTTAATATTTTATAGCAAATATTGTTACACTGACGTGTTTGAAGTTTTGTGTTCATTAAAAACTAAGAATAACAATCATGTTCCTGTAGTCTGGTTCCCTGACCCCACTTAAAATGAAACAGAGCAATTTATAGGCGTCAGGGAATTGTATGGTCAGGGAAACAGTCTAGCTGGCTTGTACCCGCTCACAGGTGAATAATCTATTGCAAACAAAATGTGGTCTAACTAAATATTGTAAATTGCGGGCAGTATTTGAAAAAAGGCAGTTTTTTTCAAATTAATACAAAAATATCGCTTTTCTTGAAAATGACAGCACACCAGGTGCCATGATTTTACAGGATGCTTTAGACTGTCAACAGTCCAGTAAGGTATTTCATAATAATTTGGTAGTTTTGTTTTTTGATGCTTGCAGATGTTGTATATTCGCTTTAAGCATTTTGACTATAACTTTAAAGTAGAACAAAGAAATTGACTGGAGTGGGGTTGAACCTGCGACCTCCAGATTGCCGTTCCAGTGCTTTATCAACTGAGCTATCCAACCCTATGTTGCCAGTTCCCCATTTAGTCAAAGTCTTTTTTTTAAGGGTCCATCATCAGAAGATGCATATGTTTATCTGCACTATTCCTGAGAAATTCATAAAACAGTTCCTGACAAACAGTCTCCTGACGATGACTAGAGTAGGCTAGTCGAAACGTTGAGATCAAAGACAAATTCTTTTTTAGAACCTAGCAGGACTGTTCTCATCAGAACTAAAACTACTTAGCGAAAGTTGACAATAAGCAGGACAAGTTCTTTTCTGAACTAAATATCTTCTGAGCGACAGTAGCAATTACCACATGGTGTTACCGCAAACCGAAACGATACTGATACTCCACCATGCAAAGCCTAAAATCTTATATCAGAGAAAATAAAAACAATATTTAATAAAAATGGCGGGTGGAGGTGATTCGACAGCTGTTTTGTGTTCATAAGATGGACTTTTGCAGGGTGATGTAAATCAAATGAGGTCTTTGTCCTTCACCAACGTATAAACACTGCATACTCAGTTTGTTACCTCCCGAGTGAAAGTTGGAAAAAAAATCACTCGGATGGGACTCGAACCCACGACCTCCTGCTTTCTAGTGCATGCGTCTCACCACTCGACCACCAAGCTAATGGGATCGGTTGGCTGGTTCGAATCTGATGTACATAGCAGCGGGTACTACATTAACTATTCATAATATGGAATTTTGCATCGGGGTGACGTAAATCAAATAAGGTTTTGCCCTTCACCGACGTATTAACACTATATACTCAGTGTGAAAGTTGGAAAAAATCACTCGGGTGGGACTCGAACCCACGACCTCTAGCTTTCTTGTGACCAAGTGGACATTACAAGAAACTAGCCCTTCTTTTCCTTGTTCATTAAAAAAGTTGCCCAGCTGGGCCAAGTTTCGTGAAATCGGTTGTACATTAAATGCAAGGTCTAAATCCTACGCACGGTGTAAGTTACGCACTGTTCGTGAAATGGACTTTCTGGACTCAAGCTACTGATTGAGAATGACCTGACTCAACTACTTCACAGAAGCCTCAGTGACTCATAACAACACTGGGTGAATGTAAAGAGAACTAAGCAACGCTCCCAAGTGATTGGCACGATTCAGGGTGGATAAGTTGTGAAGAAACGTACGTACATTTCCGACGATGTTGCCCCCGTGGTTTGCAATGTGGCACGTTGGATAGATGACACTGCGCAGGATGATATTGTTGTGACCGCAGTTCAGCACTGTGAAATGTGCTACACAGGAGAAAACAGAGACAAATTGAAAATTCCAGGGTTACAAAAGGAAATATAACGTCTGGGGCAGAGCCAATTCATTAAGATATCTAATAAATGATTCAGAGAAATGATCCAGAACTCCTAGTCTGTTATCTCCTGGACCATTACTAGATGATGGATGTACATGTATGAGATTTTAAAAATATATCTTCAGGTATATTCACTGAGCTCTTAAAAGCTCTGTCACGGACAATATACAGGGTAATGATGTGCAAACCCGACCTGAAACCGAAACCGAAACCGACCCGACCCAAAACCGACTTCAGGTCGGGTCGGTTTGTCCATCTTTTCAGTCGGGTCGGGTCGGTTTCGGTTTTGCATTTTCATTTTCGGGTCGGGTAGGGTCGGTTTAGCTATCTTTTGAAAAAAACGAAATAAACCAAAATAAACTGAAATAAACCGAAACAGTTGAGAAATTTAGGTGATGCAATATTATTGACAGTCACTGTGACCGCAGCCCTAGTGTGGTGTGGCCACCGAGCGCACTATCAAGTTCCCATGGCATTAATTTCTCCAGTATGGGACTGACAGTGAAATAGATACATTGTAACAGTTTTCTTGATACCGCGTGATGATACCATGCGTTTGTTCAATAAGCGGAGTTGCTCTCGATCAACCCACTGAGTATGACAGAGAGGGAGACGATGGTTTTGCAAAAGAATTCATGCCACAGGGGGTAAGGGCAGGCACAAAAAGTGATCACTTTGTCCAAGCAACGTATTCAGTTTTTTTCGTTTTTTTTCGGGTTCGGGTCGGTTTTACCTTATTTTTGTCGGGTCGGTTTGAGGGAATTAAGATCGGTTTCGGTTCGGATTCGGTTTATATCTCTAATGTTTCGGGTCGGTTTGGCCTGGTCAACCCGACCCGATGCACATCATTAATACAGGGCGAGGAAAAAAAAAAAAAAAACCCAAATGGCAGCCCCAATTTTTTTGAATGAAGTTTTGCTGTAGCACTTTCAAAATCTAGGACATGAAAGCCCAATCAATGAGCTTTCTTTTAGTACAAAAATCATTCAAATCACTTATGTACTTTTTCAGTTATGGAATTTTGAACACAAAAACCGCTTTAAAGTTTTGTCCACGGGTCGCAAAAAAAAGGTAAGTGTTCTTTCAGCAAAAGAAAAACAATTCACATGCATTCCTATGAGAATTGTTTGGTCACAGTGTTCGACTCACGTGCCGTGGTACGTGGGTTCGAACCCCGACGGGGAACATGGTGCTTGCGTTCTTGAGCAAGACACTTTACTACAATTGCCTCTCACCACCCAGGGGCATAAATGGGTACCTGTGAAGGTAGAGACCAGAATGCGCTAATCTCGAGCTGCTGCAAAAAAACTGGTCTAATCACCCTCAAATTTCTAGCAAAAATGGACAGAAAAAAGTTACCTAAGTCTTCTGTCCACTATTTGATGAAATGTTTAGGATAATGTCAAAAAGCAATATACATGTAAATAATCAACTCAAATTATCTTGAGCAAAAGGCTGCATTTCCATTCATGTGTTGAAATTCTTCTTTGGTGGTTTCAGGTATTTAACAAAAAATCACAACCATTGGAAAAACTGCTAACGTGACGGTCCCCTCTATAGTGTTTCTTGTCATATGCTAATTTTATACCTGATGGATCCTGCGGTGCTGCGTTGGCACCCAGCACTCCGGTGTTCAACACCTGCAAGAAGCGACTCGTCTCTCGGGATTGCAGCCGGACCACGTTACCATGATTGAACATCATCTGCAGATTAATATGGATACATCAAGGTTAGCTAGGGAATATGCTTGACTGAGACCAAGTATCACAGCTTTGGAATAGGCATGGCTAGTTCCTTCTGGTGACATGTGTCCTGTAAACCGACTCAGGCTGCCATATTCCCCATTCCTCCCCCCCCCCCCTCCATTTTCCCCCCACATCGTGGTGACAAACTGCATGTAAAAAGTTTTGTTGGTCTGTAAATAAGCCATTTCTTGTATGTTTTTCTCCCAACCTTTGTGCCAGGTATAGTTAACCTTTTTCCTGCGCAGGTATAGTTAAACCTTTTTTTCTGCACGGTATTGTTAACCTTTCTCCTCCGCGGTATAGTTAACCTTTCTCCTCCGCGATATAGTTGACCTTTCTCCTGCGCAGTATAGTTAACCTTTCTCCTCCGCGGTATAGCTAACCTTTCTCCTCCGCGGTATAGTTAACCTTTCCATCGGTATAGTAACCTTTTTTCTGCGCGGTATAGTTAAAGGGAATATACAACATTTGCAAACATCGAAAAATAAAACTACCAAGTTTTTGCGAAATACCTTAATAGGATGTTGGTAAATGACAGTCTAAAGCATCCTGTAAAATTATGGCACCTGGTATACTGTCATTTTCAAGAAAAGTGGTATTTTTGTATCAATTTCCAACGCTGATCGGCCGATCAGCGTTGGAAACAACTGGCTTTTTTTCAAATACTGGCCCCAATTGACCATTGCACTTGTTTGCAATCGATTACAAACCTATGAACGGGTACGAGCCAGCTAGACTGGTTCCCTGACCTTACAATTCCCCAATGTATGTAAACTGCTCTGTTTCTTCTTATATGAAGTCAGGGAACCAGACTACAGGAACATTATCGTTTTTCTTGGTTTTTATAGCATTTTCGAACCCAAAACCTCAAAAAAGTTAGTGTAACTATATTTGCTATATATTTCCAACCCCCCAATTCCATCCATTTCTAAAAATTACAGCAAAAGCAAATGATGTATATTCCCTTTAACCTTTCTCCTCTGCGGTATAGTTAACCTTTTTCCTGCGCGGTATAGTTCACCTTTCTCCTGCGCAGTATAGTTAACCTTTCTCCTCCGCGGTATAGTTAACCTTTCTCCTCCGCGGTATAGTTCACCTTTCTATCAGTATAGTAACCTTTTTTCTGCGCGGTATAGTTAACCTTTCTCCTCTGCGGTATAGTTAACCTTTTTTCTGCGCGGTATAGTTAACCTTTTTTCCTGCACAGGTATAATTAAATGTAGTAAGGCTGTTTTATTAACTCACAATTGTTGGAGAGTTTGCGTAGCGGTCAGCTTCATGTTGTACGGTTTTTCCAGCACTGACCACGGCCTTCTCTGCCGACTTGAAGAGGCTTCCAAGAGAAGTCTAGCAATAATCAAAACAAAAAATCACTTATTTCTTCCAGACTCGCATGCCACATTTTCCCACATCTAAAATGTACAATTTTTACTGGTGGCAATTTCATGTTAACCACTAACTAGAACGGCGAAGCCGCCATGGCTCGCTGTCCAAGGCAGGAAGGGAGGCTGAAGGTAGGGTTGAGGATGGGCATGATGGAAGGGGATCAGGATTCTTGTTGATGTGCCTAGGTGTAGGGGTCAGTTTTTAAATGTCAACATAAAAAGTCAACAGATTACCTAATAAATACATGTGTATATAGGTTAGCCGTCACTGTATTATGGGGGAGTTTTCCATTGTTAGGGTAATAAGGACCCAGTTATGGATTTTTGCAGCCTCAACAGTGTCTTCTGCTCCCCATACTTGTATTACCATGGGAAAACTCTTGTGTAGTCGCCACAAATGCAGAACAAGAATGGGTATACATGTACATGTAGACACAGCACCATCACCACCTCCCTCAAACCTTACCCCATCCCAAAACCTTACCCCATCCCCAACCCGCCCCCTCCCCCTCCCCCACCCAACCCCCTACCCACACCCATTCCATCCTCCCCTAATCATCCCCACCCTATCACCTACACATCCAAACCCCACCCAAACTCCAATCCCTATCTCCTTCCCCCTCCCCTGACCCGTACCCTCCCCTACCCCAACCCCCTACACCCACCTACCCTATCTTCCCCTATCTGTCCTTACCCACCCTACACATCCCCACCCTAACCCTTACTCAAATTCCAATATCCCGCCCACCCCATTCCCCCACCGATACATCCTCACCTGACCCCATGCAACCCCTACTCTGATCCCTATATACTGCCCCCTCCCCTTATCCAACCCCTACAACAACCCATCCCTACACATCCCCAACCCAACCCCTACTCCGATCCTATATCCCGCCCCCTGCCCAACCCCCTCCTACCCAACCCCTACATCCATGCCCATCCTCTCCCTACCTGTCTCCCCCTACCTGTCTCTCCCTACCTGTTCCCACCCCACCCCTACAAATCCCCACCCCACCCAAACTCAGTATTCCAACCCCTCTCCCCACCCCACCCCACCCCAACCCACCCCGCCCCACCCATCCTAGCTCCCCTACTCATCCTACTCACACAAACCCTAACTCCAACCTTATCCCCCACCCCACCCCACCCCACCCTCCCCTACCCCATCCCTACTCCAACCCCATAAACTAAAAAGATCAAACCAGAAGCTCATGCACATCCCCAAAATGCATAGTGTACATGTACATGTTATACCGGTATACACACATGTACATGTTATACCAGTATGGGTGTACATGTAAAAATTAAAAACTTTAACATTTCCCTGAATTAAAGTTCCTCAATAAAATCATAAAATTTACTGCAATGATATGAACCTAACTGAAGTTATAGGCCTAGAGATGATACATGACAACTGCATTTAATTTTTTTCCCCAACTTAACTGGAACCAAAAACTTCAACATTTTTATCTGAACGCGGACGGACGGACAGACGGACGGAAATTGGTATTACATAGGCTCGCATCTGCTTCGCAGCTCGCCAAAAATAGTTGCCTATCAAAAAAAACCAGGTTATTCATGTTATGAGCTTATTATTGGTTTTGACTAGTTACCACATTTTTACTACTCTTTTAAATAATTCAATAACTAAACGTCGGTGAATTTGTTCATTCCATGTCTCAATTCAAAAGTAAATAGGCTAACTTTTGCATTGCAAGGAAAATAGCAACTGAACAAACAAATCAATTTCTTTCGGGCTGAAACTCAAAATAACACAGGGAACCCATCTTTAATGTAGTCCTTGAAAACACACCTTTTAGCATTTAAGTATATTTTCTATCTTCATATTACCATTTTTAAGGGTCATCCCTTATTGTTTTTATGCAAATGGAATTTCCATATTCATGAGCAAAGCTGTGATGTCATTCAAGGCAGAAACCTCAGAGCTATGCTTCAGCACCAAAAGTTGTAAAAATTTGGAGTTTTTTTTTTTACTGCGGTAAAATTTTCTGTTTTTGGTCATCCATTGTTGCTTTAGTACACAACAGTATTAGTCAATGGTCAAACTGTATGTACAATGTTTTCAATGAGCATAATGTGCCATAGATGACATCACAGCAACAGCGCCCTCAATTGTCAGGACAAATTTGGAACATATTAAATTTTAAAAAAAGTGCATTTTTGGCCAAAAAAAATAAATATTCGGTCTCTGGTCAGACCAAAGTTCCGGAATTGACGCGGCGATGCAGCTTTTTTTTTTTTTTTTGCTTTTTTTTTTTTTCCTTCAAGCTTGGATTGTACAGACAAGGTGGGGTACTATTTTGCTTTTTTGGTGTCCTCATGTACATTGGTGTCCTCCATAATTTGCCTTGGTGCTTTCGATCATTTGCCTTGGTGCAATTTCCCATTCCTTGGTGCTCTTCGGTAAAACAAATTGAGGAGGTGCGGAAATAGAGGGCGCTGTTGGAGCTACCGCGGAACATTTTGGAAAAAAAAAAGATCGACGCGCATGATTAAAATCAACGCGCGCGCTGACCAGAGACCGACTTATTTTTTTGGGGGGCCTTTTTAACAAAACACGGTTTTCGCAAGTTTCAGAGGAATATAATTTGTACAAATATGGTTCCAGATAAAAATTATGTCCTGGTCCCTTTAAATTTACCCGTTCTATGAAATCGGACAATGTCGATTATTCATAATGAATGAAAAACACAAACACACACAAAAAAAGTGTGGAACCTTACCCCAAGTTGGCTTGTTCTAGCGGGTTGAACAACCACATTCTAACAGGGAAAACAATTAACAAGAATATGGATATGTTACAAGTTTTTTTTTACAAGTCAAAGATTTTTCAGTGTGGGGGGGGGGGGGCGGGGGTTGAAGTGAAACGCATAAAACTGCCAATGACCTAAGCAAGAATCAAGTTTTCCAATGTTAAGTCAAAATGTTATTCAGGGAACATTCCAAGGACATTTGGGATTTTTTTCTCCATCATACAATTGATTAACATTGGTCAGAAGTAGTGCCTTAACCCTAACTCCCTAGGGGTGTGCAAAATCATATTGAATTTGGAGGATTCAGGATCGTTAGGGCTACGAGTAAGGATTTTAGCCACCCTGAAAGTGACAACCTATGTCGGGGATAGGGTACCCCATGCAGGGTGTGGGGCAATTGAATTTTTAAGTACTTTTTAGTATATTTAAGAAATGTTGACTGCTGTGATGTGGGATATGACTTTTTAACACCCGGGGATCATCATTTTTCTGTGCAGCTTAAATACCTGTGAGAGTTCCGAGTATTTTTAAAAGAATTTTGAAGTATGGGCATTTAGCACTGGTGTCTATGGGAATATGAATACAGGGGTGATCCATGAGTGACTAAAATAGGGTTCTATTTCCCTTGACCTCTGACCTCACTAAATAGGAATGTCACTAGTGCGCATTCATGCATTAGTGACCTCACTGCAGGTCAATATGTGTGAACTATTTCCCGGTCTTACTGTCTGGTGTGTAGTATATGCTGCCTGCTGTGGGGGGTACCCCTGTTGTTGTGGCGGGTACCCCTGATGGGGTGGTGGATACCCCTGGGTAGTGTTCCCCTGGGGTGGTGGGTACCCCTGCTGTGCAGGGTAGCCTTGCTGTGGGGAAAACTGGGGGTTGTAGGGTGGGGGCTGTGCCATGCTGTGTCTGAAACAGGTAATCCAAATTTAAATTGTTTAATTGTTTCATTATGATTATTTGTTTCATGTTTAAAAACAACAAATTTATTTGTTATAGGCCTACATGCATAATGCACGTATCCAAAAAAATATTATCTCAACTTATTTCTTTAAATTACTGCATTCAACTCAATTCAGTTCAAAAACTGAGACAAAATAATTTCATTTTATAGGCGCATTAGTATTTCCGGACAAAATTGGAAATGTTTTCTCCCACATACCTAGACCCTAGTTCTAGGGGCGATCGGGTAGTGTAGGCCCCTGTTTTGTTTTGATCAAATTAGAGTCAAAATGTTTTTTATTACTCAAAAATCACCTTTACAATCAAAAGCAGACTTTTCTCAATTCTAATGACACCCGTTTGGGCAATTTTGAACAGTTTCTTGAGGTACAAATCACGATTTTCCTGCATGATTTGTGCCTTGCGATTCAGCGCGCCGTGCGTGCTCACAGTACATCGCGCGGTGATCGCCATCTTTATTTTCGGGTTGCGTATTGTAGCCGCGCTGTCATCGTCATTTTACTCCCAAATTTCCCTCAAAAAATCAAAACCCTGCCCTCTATGTATGACATAGGCCTACCTGTTTATTGAGAATGTCGCTAACTAGTTTGGTACTTTTTATGGATTGGTAGGTCTACCATGTCTACTAATTTTAAAGTGGATTTTGTTCCCTTATACAAGGAACTGGGCCCTACACTACACGATCGCCATTCTCATGGTTCTAGGGGAGGGGTATCTCCCAGATTCATGTCTTTTCAACATTTTTGCAATGATATGACTATGACTGACCTAATTGATTTATGAAGAAAAAAGTGGCGTCATGTTGAAAGATTTGTTCTTTCCAATAAAACAATCCAAAAGTCAAAACATAAAATTTTAGGGGATTTCATGCCGTATTGCTCCTTTAAGAAAGCCGATGGGATGCCTACCGTATACTCCGCACTGAGAAAAGTGACTATGGAGTTTGACTTTTTTTTTAGACAGCCGCCGCGCGGGGGCGGCCGCCGCATGGTTCACTGCACTGGATACAGCATGATGATCTGATGATCATGATGCAGCAGCTAAGCTAAGGCCGCTTAACACTTCTTCAATCACGGTTTAATACCATCTACAGACCTGAGTTTGGATATCGAGTGATTGGTATGATACATGTAAAGAATGATAACACTTTTAGTTTTACTGAGATACAGAGTATTTGCTTACCAAAATCACTGTGAAGTTTTTGGTCTCGGAGCCGACACTTTTCTGTCGACGTTGGTGCTGTGCGTGCAAGGGCGACTTGTGGCCAGTCTAGTCTAAAGTACTTCCGGGTTGGGTCAACAAACTTGCAGGTCGCGGGAAATACGTGGTTCGCGTAATTCACCGTGTGTTTGGGCCGGCCGCAGTTGTTTTGTTCGGGAAAATCAGCATTTGGGGAGTTTGTGTGCAAATTCAAGTGAAGAGGAAGCAGTGATGAGCTCTGAGACGAATACTGCGGCGATACCCGCGGCTCCTGAAGATGTGCAAGGTGATAAACGATGGATAAATATGGTAAGAATCGGCCAGAAAAAAATGGGCCGAGAGTGATTGAGCAGCTTCCCGTTTTGACCTTTACCAGTTACGATATGCTCTGTTCCATACTCTTCATGCTCTTTGGCTTTACATGTACCAAGTTACCTTGTTGTTTATTTATTAAAAGTTTAATATTTTTAACGACTGCACTTTCCTGGCCCAACTTTAATTTACCACATTATATACCCTTCAGGCTTCATCATTGATCATGTTGGGGCCGTATCATATTAAAGTCTGACGCCTCAGTCATAGGTTCGACGCCTAATATAAGTCCGAAATTTGTTTGAGCAAAATATGTCTTTCTTGTTGCGCGATCGATCAATCGCAACAAAAAGCGGATGTGTTGGTGAGCGATCTATTTATCTTTTGCGCAGCTATAGCTATCGGTTATTGTTTTAAATTGACTCCTAAATTTATTGCAGAGTATTTCATCTTCTCTTTCTGTTTCGTGGCTCTGGCTTGTCTGGAGGATTTTTTTTAAGGGGAATCAAGTCCAAAATTGTAATAGGCCTACATTGTACATGTAGGTCTGATTCCATCTCTTTAACACGAAGTCACAACGAAGTCACAAGTCCGAACAGAACAGTCACTGCGCATGTTCAGTGCTGTGCCTTTACAATACTAAAAACAATTAGTATAGGGACAGACTGGGACCGTGAGTGCATGAAAACGTGCAAAATTACTACTGACGTTTTTTAACTCACCATTCGGCTAATAAATGCCCACACAACACATACATCAAAATGCTATAGTTGTAAGCATGTCACCTGCGAAATTTGAGACCTTAAATCCAATTTTAAGGCAGGTTTTTGGCAGTTCAAAAACCACCCATGTCATTCTCCATGATCTGGAGATGTGCATGTGATTCACAAGGTATTCTGGGTAGATGCACTTAGTGCCTTGCAGCTTACTGGTTTTTTAATCGATGGCCAAAAGAACATAGCGCACTCTGTTAAAAAATGAAACATTCTGAATTCACTCTGATCAACAAGAGGGCGCTGTTTTATCTACACGATGAAAATGTTGTAGCTGAGGAGTCTTTTTGCACAATGCATTGCAGCACACATCAACATGATGTCTCACGTTTGGATTTTGATAACTCTCTGTAAAATTAGAATTAAAAACTGAATTTTTGGTGAGGCAATGCTCACAACAGCAACTTTGCGAGGCAAAATTTTCAGGGATTATTGAAGAAACTGTAGTGAGTAAGAAGCTTGCACATTTAATTCACACTGGTTTTATTATGCAGCACAAACTTTTGCACAATATGGATACCTTAAGTTTTGGGACTCTCATACACAGTATTGAGAGTCCCAAATTTTCGGACTAGTATAGGGACTGAGTCATGGTCAAATACCCACTGTAACCTGTAACTATTAGCCAGTGGAAAACAAGCCGTCCGCTTTAAAAAAAAAACAATTCATTTAAATTATGGACTGCTCAATGTTGCATTTTACAGTACCAACTAAACACCAAGCAATCTAAAATTCTAGAAAGTCTGGCTGATTGGTGGAATCCATAGCAGGACTGGTATCAAGTTAAACAAATTCATTTTTCGACCCACTGAATTAAACACACGGTTGACTCCAGTGTTGGAAGTCGAGTACTTTTTTCTGAGTATCAAGTACTGCCGAGTACTTAGGTCTCCGAGTACGAGTACTTGTATTCCGAGTACGAGTACTTCTATTTCCGAATAGGGCCATACCACAAGTGGATCATTGTGCATAGGCCCTAATGGGCCCAGGCCCAGTCAGACGGATATACACACCCACTCACGGCTAGCTGTTAAATGTGTTTGTGCAGACGTGCACAGAGGGAAATCAGGAAACTTTGATTTCTCCGCAAGCCAATCAACCATTTCCAACTGAAAGTATCGATAATAAAATAAGGCCGTGGTAAGTCAAGCTATACCAATTTTTTTTCGAGTACAGCTATTCGAGTACAAGTACTTTGATGATCGAGTACAATTTCGACATGTCGAGTACGAGTACTTTGCTGCCCGAGTACGAGTACCATCATTTAGAGTCGAGTACTTCGACATTCGAGTACGAGTATTAGTACTCCAAAAAAAGTAGTCATGTACTCATGTAGTACTCAAGTACGAGTACCGAGTACGAGCACTACAACACACGGTAGACTCTTTTATTGAAATGTTGCTTTCTTTCATTCACAGCATGAGCGTTATGTTAACGAGGCCAAGGAAAAGGAACCAGAAGTCCTTTTTGTGGGTGACTCCTTGATCCAGCTCATGACCCAGAATCAGGTAAACATCTAAACGGAGTTAACATACATACATGTAGTACAACTACAAAACCTTGCTGCCAAGTTCTGGCCAAGTTGCAATCCCAAGAGTTTTTGAAACCCTGGCTTTGCCCCTGGCTTCGGCTTAAAGGTACAGTCCATCATTTTGTAATGTGTGCATTATGTTCATTTGAAGCAGAAAAGTGCTCAAATGCTAAAGAAGGGTGCTGGACAACTAACCTGATGAAGTTTCAGCTCAGTGAAAGCTGTCAAAAAATGTCATATTTCACAGATTAGCAAGGAATTTGGGCTTTAGGTGCATAAGCCAAAATTCCTTGGCAAACCACAGGATGATGTGCTTACAGGGTTAGCACAGAAATTTTCTGCTATCGCTGTTAGCTCAGAATGGTTACTGTAAGCGCGAAATTCTGTGGTTAGCAGAGACGTGAAATAGGGCTCCGGACCCAATGTCATGGCGCTGCTAAGCACGAAATTTCTGCTAAAAGAGCATTGACCGATTGGACTAGCTCTCATTGTCTCAGAATCGGCAGTTTACTGTATGCACTGCTGTTAATATCCCAATGCAACAAGGTTCAACAAACTTTGATACCCCTGTTGCGCTGTGTTGTGTCTATGGCAAGATTAAGGATAATATTTATTATCTTCAAGTAAACTTGAATCCTCGATCCTGATTGGTCGATCCATGGCAACAAGCCGTGCTACATATAACCATGTAGCACGGCCATGGTCCATTCCATAGAAACAGGTACGTGTAATACACGTAGGATAAACGCTGAAAGGTTTGTGTACAGCGTGCGTGTTCAATCTTTTGAGTGCGTCATGTTTGCTTGAAGATAAATTTGTTATCGCGCTGTACGTCTGTGTCCCAAATACCACTCAGCCTTTGGCCTCGTGGTATGTGGGACACAGACGCACTACATTATTCCATGTTCCACTCGCGCCCGCGGGATATCTAATAATATATGATTTTCCAGATGAGATCTACTTGTTTGGCTCTTGCCGAAAGTATAATTTGAATATTTTTCTCTTCAGGTTTGGACGGATCTTTTTGAACCTCTTCACTCCCTCAACTTTGGCATCGGTGGAGACCAAACACAGCATGTTCTATGGCGCTTGCAGAACGGAGCACTGGATAACATTAAGCCAAAGGTATGATGTCTACTTGTGATAATAATGGTAATAATATGGATATTATAATTATCCCTAACTTTCTAGGCCTTTTTGCTAGGTTGTAGCCGCAATCCTGCAAAATCCTCCAATTGGCCTCATGGAAAAATAGCATTTAGCCTCAATCCTGCAAATTCCTCCATTATTTTTTGAATATGGTCTGTGGAGGGGTGACCACTGCCTGAATCCTGCAAAATCCTCCAGCAGTGACTGTCAATATGTTGAGGCTTGGCCAGTGACATCCTGGAGCAGTACGGAGGATTTCAAGCAGAATCCAGGCCTATAATTATGCATGGCTGAGCAAAAAGAACACAAGGTCCGGCCCAAGACCTTGACGTCCTACAAAATCAGTAGCGCACTTTTGCCATGTAACCTCAATCCCAAATTCTTCCACTTTGGCAAAGAGGATTTTGAAGGATTCAGGGCAGTTAGGGTTAATTATCATTATTATTAATTATTTCTGGTAATGAAACCAAGGATTCCTCAAAAGCGCCCTTGGCACTGTAGCTCGCAAGCCTGAAGAAACCTGTAGAGAGAAGACACTGAGAAGAAGTTACAGTTTTAGAGGTGGGAGGAAAACCCAGAAGAATGGTCTTGGAGAAACCCACAGATTCAGGCAGGGACTGAAAACCCAATCCACATATTGGCCCAGGCGGGAATCGAACCCGCGTCACACCAACGTGACTCCCCTTATACAGTGCACATACATGTATTGACCACACAGGTTGACACAGCGCGGTATTACCCCTGCTCTTCGGGCCAATGAGTACATTCCAAAGACCATCTCAGCTCCCTGGATAGTATACAGCTCGTTACTGCCATACATGCAGGTGCAGGCGGCTAAATCAACCATAACCATCTGTGCCCTAACAGGTACCCATTTACTCCTGGCTGGGGAGAAGCAATGAGTGACAAAGTGCCTTGCCCAAGAGAATAGAGCACACGTACCACACTCCCAGGCTGGACTCGAACCCACAACCGGCAGAATTACCTCCAAGATCATGAGTTCAATGCACCAGACCACAAGGTCTTGGCACTCCACTTTTTACACAGCCGTTTTTTACTTCAAAAGTTGGTCTTGTCCTTCACCGAGTCCGTAGTGTGTTCTTATGTCAATGTTTATATACATTTCTTCAACAGGTGATCGTTTTGCTAGTAGGCACCAACAATCACGACCACACGGCAGATCAGACATTTGAAGGCATTGAAACCATCATCAAGTACATTACGACAAAGATACCGGCGGCGCAACTAATTGTCATGGTAGGTTCTTATGTGAATTTGCCAGAGCTCCCTGTTGTTGAGTAATGGCTTGTAATTAAAGGCATATTGTTTCCAATAATAACACCAATCAAAATCCAAAGAAATTGTTCAAAATCTAACTTGTTCAAGTTTCAGCACAGTGGATATTACACTTTTCAAGAAAATAGTGCAAAATCATGTACAATCTTAATGTGACTAGTTTAAAAACCGGAGTTTTGTTTCTTTTATATCTCTGTTGCAGGCCATTCCGCCCAGGGGGCAGCACCCAAACAAACTACGCAACAAAATCAAATCCATCAACAGCTCCCTGGCAGAGCTGCTCGGCACCCATCCGTCAAAGTACCCCAAGGCCGAGTATTTCGACGCCAACAGTGACTTTGTGATCGACGACGGCACGATATGTCACAGCGACATGTACGACTATCTACATTTGACCAATCAGGGTTACCAGAAAATTTGTGAGCCTCTCAGGGAAAGGATAGACGAAGTGCTACAAGGAAAGTAGGTATGTATGTGTAGACCTCAATACTAACTGGCCAGTGCACCCTGAAGCCACTGATCCGCCATCTTGGATCCCCAAAATATCATGCTGAGACCACAGACATCTTAAAATCTGGACACAGATTCACAAATAATAATGCTATGTTACGCGAGGTGCAAACATGCATCTAAACCTTCTTATTGTTATGTTAAATAACTGGCGTAATGTAGACGCCCTCTTGCACATTCAAGTCACGCCCATGATGAGCGAGCGTTCGCGTAATTGACATATGCTATATATGCGCAGCATTTTGGTATCTGTTTTGAAAGCGAATGTTGTGTCTAGGTTTTTTAAGATTTCTTTAGCCGGGACGTGCATGTACATCGTTCTGCAGTTAAGGGTTTTTAGTTTTCGCTTAAAACAACCAATTCCTAATCCCCATCCTGTTAAACTCCAACACCAGGGTTTGTTGGAATCTGTTGGAATGAGTACTGCACTAGTAAACTGATTATGCTTTACACGGGGTTAAGCATACCACCAATAATCAGAGTCCAACAGTTTTTGTGTACAGTTTATTATATGGTGTTGGAATTTGCAGGAGTGAGGAAGATCCCTAGTAAATCACTCAAGGGGTTGGGGTTAAGAATCAAGTTTTCTTTGGATGTTGGCTCGGCCTTGGAATAGGAATGTTTCAGTCTCAAAAGCCGGTCAGAATGTACCATTCTTAGGGCATGTAGGAATCTCTTGCCTTGAGCTATTGTTTGAGGTCTTCACACCCATTATAACTATTTGGGATGATGCTGACAATATAGCGGCCGGTGGCTCTGGAAGCCTGTTTTGTACACGGCCTTATTTTCCCCGCCTTAACCCTGAAAAAGAAATCCAATAACAAGTACTGTACCCCAAAAAACCTCGCTTTTTCATGGGTGACCCAATATGGCGGACGGCGGCTTCATTTAGTGGGCATTGTCAGCCAGTCCAAATAGAATAGATGTTAGTGGTGCAGACCAAATACATAAATGGCCATCTTGGTCTTGCACCCTGGAAACTGCAGTGTATTACAAATGTATTTTGCCATAGTGCCATCGGCACCAGTCTATTACTGTCCAATTGACTTGTACAAATAAAAATGCTTGGGGAATGTACACGAAAAGTAACCGTTCCCAAATGTCCTAGCGGTATGTGAATAATGTCCATTCTTATTGTATCAAAGTGCTATGATGTTTGTGCGAAAACAGTTGTGCGTGTTGGTCAAATAATAAGTGAGCTGAGGGGTCAATTGTGCATATTATCCAATCATGTCTCGTGATGGCTAATACGCTAATTATTGAACAGTGTAGCTGTGAGAAAAATATTTGCGCCATGTGATGTTGGAAAGTACTGTCTATGTCTCCTTCAACTTTTCTTTGTTGTATTTTTGGATTCTTTTTTTAATTTATGTATACCTTTTTTATCAGCGGTTATCTTTTCTAAATATTCAAGGCTTGTAAGAAAAAGAAAGAGCAAAACTTAGAAATGTCTGCGCTTTTTTTTCTCTCCAAGAATACAGAATTACTGTATCTTGTGTATATAATTATATTGTAAAAAGCGCTTTATGATTGGCTGCTGGTTGTGTTTTCAGCCAGATTAGGCCAATCAACAAACCCGATGAATAGAACTATTGGAAGGGGCCTTACAGTGTATTACATGTAAAAGGGTAAGGGAACCATACCAGTCAGACTCAGTGTGACAAAGACCAAGTTCTTTGTTTAGACAAATTTTGCCTTTCATTTAACAATAACAATAAAATATATTAACATTTCACTTGTGTACAGTTCTTGGTATATTCTGTTAACATGGTTAAGGCCAAGGAAAAAAACCCTGCATTTCTGGTTTATACCCCAAACATTGACCAACATGGATCTATATCATGCAGAACCTACATCTTTTTATTTGAAAATGAAGAAAAGAATATAATAAAATGGTGCCGTCCCATTTTTATTATATTTTCTGTAGGTTGGTCGGCTCAACAAAGCCAATTAAAAGTGCAGCAAGCGCAGAATGCACAGTTGATTCACGTATTAACTGTTACAAATGCATGCAAAAATCCCCCCCAAAAATTTAAAATCATCCAACACTACTTTGTTTCTGGTTATAAAAATTAAGCGCAAAATGTTTTTTTTTTAAAGTACCCGCCCACACAACCTTTTTTCAATGTAATAGGAAACACACTTTTTTTTTGGCCTAATCATGATCTTGAAACAGAGTAGATTGGTTGACATGGTTTATTCTCAGGCTTAAGTTCAGAAAACCTTAAAGTCACTACATGTATGTGAATGGAAACTTGTATCAAAAGTACCTTGCCAATATATATGAAGAGCTCTAATAGTTGTGCTAGTTTAAAATGTGTAGATGATATGTGTATGGTGGCTTCTGCGAATGCGTACCGTTAGATGTAGTTCAGTGTTGTACAAAATGTAAACTGGTTTATCGTCAAAAAAATGCATTCAAAATGCACAAAGTGGCAATTTAGTATGAATGGAATTTACATAACTCACCTTTTTAAAGCTACAGTCCATCATTTGCAGCCATCCAAAAAGTAACTGACTTACTATTATTGTTGAAAAGCATATTTGGTTTAAAGATAGTAATAAGACTTTTTCCCTGTGAAATTATTCTTTCTGGTAAGCTGTCATTTTGGAGAAATCAATGAAAGAAGGCCTTTCCAATGATGCGTCTTAAGATGCATCGTTGGAAATTTTTGTTAATACTGGTGGTTGGTTTTTTTATTCGGCGAAGTGCGCGCAAGCGTTGACACGAAGCACATGTTTGCTTTAATTGCTATAATTCGTCAGGTTAGTGCGCGACATCGCGTATAGCTGCAATCTGCTCAGTGAGAACGTGTCTCAGACGCTGAATTCAGGCCCAATTCAGAACACGACTCAGCAACTTTTGATTTGAAATTGAGGTCCTAGAATATTGTTTTCGCGGAATATAAAGTGCACTGAGCTGAAACTTCATCAGGTTAGTTGTTCAGCACCCTTCTGTGGATTTTGAACACTTTCTTTGCCTCAAACGAACATAATGCACACATTACAAATGATGGACTGTACCTTTAAAACAGACTTCAGCTTTCAAAACAAAGTTGAGAGCAAACTTTGTTCAGACATTTTTAGTTAGCATCAATCAGTGAGAAATGTGAGGAAAAATGTCACATTTTGGACCCTAAATTCATAGCACATCATTTGATCTACACAGATACCTCAATATTAATTTTGCTACATGTAGTTCATTTAATTTCTTTAAACTTGCAACCATTTTATTGATAATCATAGCTAGCGAGATCCAGATGACCATAAAATGGCAATCAAATGTTTAGAACATTTATGTAACTCCTTTAAAAAAAAAAACAGGGCTAAAATGTGTATTTGTTACCTGTCTTGATTTTTTTTGTATAAATTTGTAAATACAGGTATATTTTGGGTTTTTCTGAAGCCGCTTTGTCTCTAAACTGGAGGCCGGGATTTATTGTCAAAATGACAAACGAGCTCTTTTGGTTGATTTAAGGTTTTGTAAAAATCTTCCAATTTGGAAAGTTTTTCTTTTCTTCAGACTTCAGATCTTCGTACACGTAACTTGCCAAAGCACCTAGAGGTGCCTTTTCATAATTCCAATGCAAAACTTGATCCACAGATATGTCACATTCCAACTTAACTTTTGGCTGTCTGCAAATTTTACAGACTTACAAAAATTAATTCTGTAGTTGGGTCCAAAACATAAGTTCCGTGACCATTCTCTGGCTAGGATGGTTTGACGATGGATTTGACTTCTATGGACCATTTATAAAGAAATTAGCCCCCCGGTCCCTCCCAAAAATCCCGGCATTTTTCGCTAGGGGGCCAAATCCAAGATGGCCGCCGGCGCCATCTTGAAAAATTAACTTTTGAACCAGAGCACCTAGAATCATGTATGAAGACACTTTTTCAGGTAAGTCGACCATGAGGATTCCGATTCCGACATCAGTTTGACGCTATGGCATCATTTTGACCCAGAAATCCAAGATAACCCCCATTTGATAGAGCAAAAACATAACTTTTGAACGGGAGCACATAGGATCATAAATGAACACATTATTTTGACAAAATCGTTGCGCTGATGCAATTTAAGAAGGTCCTGGACCCATCCAACATAAGATGCAAGGTCCTAATGGGATCGAGGACCATATCGGCTGGATTTTGTATAAACTTGTTTAGCACAACGACGTTCTGAGTTGTTTTAACAAAGCGCACTTCCTTTTTTAGGTTGTGTCCCTAATGAGGCTACGGCAATCATCATAATCATCATCATCATCATAATCACTACATATATGTTGGCACCAAATTATTCTTTTTTTATATATTTTATATCACAAAACACTTCCGATACTTCTTACTGTTATACGTTTCCTGGAATTGTTACGCGTACTGCAATGATGCTGTAGTTTCGGTGGTTTGAGATGAATTGGGAACGTGCATGTATCTTACGACAATGTCCATCGTTCCATGTGTCCTCCAGTGTGGTAGGCTTTGCGACAAGGCCACCGATTCTATGACCTCAAATGAGAGGTTGGACAATGTCAAGAAAAAGGCCCTGTAATGGAGCGGTCTGGACAAGTTTGGAGATGTCCACGCAACTGACAATTCGGATAAAAGCCCTGTCGGACAATATGTGTCCGTGATGCATGTAGCTTGACCTTATGAAATACCAAGAAACTTGAACAGGCCAACAAAAGACAAGAAAAACAAGAGGGTGATGAATGCCAATTTCAGTCTTTGTCTATGTCTGTTGTCTAGTTCTGTTGCCCAGCTGCGGCTTCAGCTGCCAAGGAGCTGCAATCGAGTTTGGGGGCAATACATCATAAAACAAAGTGCCAATGGTGCTGTTAGACAGATTCAGCAAAGCACCCAGAATCAAAGCCAATCCTGATTTCGTACGATCACGCCAGCTTTCAAGAGACAGAGTGGCCTTGGAAGATCAGAGCCTGCAAGATAGAATCAACTGTCTGATCGATCCTGCAGCTGATCAGCCCTACGCGCTTGAAATCAGATATCACCTCAAATGTCGTTTGAAATAATGCGTTGCTATCAGAAAATAAGTGAAGATGACAAACTCCCACGCATGCTCAATGTAACTCTCTATAAGGTTCAGACCACCTTCTTTGGTTATGTAAGAACAGTAACCCTAACCCTAACCCTAATCCCAGCATCCAGGGTCAAGTCATCCTATATAAAAGATATCCTAAGCCAGGAGTTTGAGGGCACGATCGGCTTTCGCTCCAACCCTCGGAGGAACCTGAGTGATCTAATCCATGACACGTCTGGGGGGGGTCTTGTAGAAGTAGCTCTGTCCTCTATCGGTGTCGGCATAGTAGTAAGCAATTGGTGCGCAATGTGGCTGAGCGGCTCAAAGATGTCATCAGTTCAATCCAACTCGTCCCAGAGCTGGAAAAGGGGAGCAACTCTCGCTTCTCATGGTGCAGCAGATATCTGCTTTGCGTGGGAAGAGGGGGTAGATCTGTCCCCAAGCACACTCTCTCTCACCTCTCTCATCACACAGTACGTCATAAAGTGACCAACCACATCCGCCATCAATGCCACCGTCACCCTTCGCGGGATGACTTACATGCAGCAATGAGCGTGTCGGCTCTTAGTAGAAGCTGGTCATGGGGTTCAGCTACCCAAGCGTGCTTCTCCTGCAAGACGTCTGAACCATGTATGACCTGGAGCGGTGCTCGGTCTATCCCAAGGAAATCGCTGATGAAGAACCAATCATCAGTGACATTGACACTGATGACTTTCTCAACAACAACTTTATAGGAGGAGGAAACGCACCGCTGTAACTTGATGTTTCTGCAGCGTCTAGAACCTCTTGTACATGAGAAAAAGGCAAATATCCAGGATGAGCTTTTGCGCATCAAAGACGCAAAGACTGTCTCACAAATACTGGCTGATGAGGAGGCTGAGATGAAAGCAGGTACGTCATTAAGGACCACACGGCGCTGTGAGCCGCCCATCCACCCTAATCATGCAACAAAGAGCCATGCGCTTAGTGCCGATGATTAAGACAGCTTGTCTTTGACATGATTCACAACTGACTTGTTGAGCAGTCAGTGTAAGCCTTGCGCTTCCCCTGCTCCATATTCAAGCCATCATGACACCGAATAGTTTGCTCGGCTGCATCAGGTTGCCATTCACTGATGATTAGTTCTCCTTCAGCGATCTCCTCAGGAGAGACCGAGCACCGCTCCAGGTCATGCATGGTCTAAAGGCCGCGGAGGAGAAGCACATTTAGGTAGCTGATCCCCATGCCCAGCTTGTAGTAAGAGTCTAGTATAAGCTCCTTGCTGTAAGTCATCCCGAGAAGGGTGATGGTGGCACTTCTGGCAGATGTGGTTGGTAGCTTTATGACATACTGTGTGATGAGAGAGGTGAGAGGGGGAGTGCTCGGGGACAGATCTACCCCCTCTTCCAAAGCAAAGCAGATTGCAAGCAGAACTCCTTCTCCTCCTGCTCTAGCACCTTGACCCTCGGTGCCTACGGAACGAGTTTGATTATTCATTCCTAAGCCAATCAGCCACATTGTGCACCAGTTGCTATCTGCTATGCTGACACCGATGGAGGACACAGCTGCTTCGACATAAGAACCACCCTCCCCCCCCCCCCCCCCACAGACGCGTCACAGTCTAGGTCGCTATGTCTCCTTCGAGGATGGGAGTGGAAGGTAATCTTGCCCTCGCATGAATAGGGTGACTTGACCCTGGATGTTGGGAAGCCATATACACAGAGAAGGTTTATCCTGTCATCTCTGAGGAGGCTCTAAAGTGCCCTTAGCTTATGTTCCTCAAAGATAACTGTTCTGATGTGGTCAAAGAAGATCGTTTGATCCTCATGGAGAAAGGCATAGTGCATTCGGGAGAGTTTGTCATCTTCACTTATTTTCTGATAGCTACGCACATAAATTCAACCGGCATTTGAGGGTGATATCTGATCTCAAGCGCATAGGGGTGATCATAATGCAGGATCGATCAGACAGTCGATTTTGTCTTGCAGGCTCTGAACTTCCATGGTTAATGTGTGTCTCTTGAAATCTGGCCATGCGTGATCATACAAAATCAGGATTGGCTTTGATTCTGGGTGCTTTGCTTAATTCATGTTACAGCTCCATTAACATTTTGTTTTATGATGCATTAAACCCAGACTCGATTGCAGCTCCTTGGCAGCTGAAGCCGCAGCTGGGCAACAGAACTAGACAACAGACATAGACAAAGACTGAGATCGGCATTCGTCAACCTCTCTTTTTCTTTTTTTGTAGGTCTGTTTTAAGTTTCTTGTCTCGTTTCTTGGTGTTTCAAAGGGTCAACCTAAATGTATCACAGACACACTGTCCGACAGGACATTTATTGCAAATGACAGTTTTGTGGACATCTCAAAACTTGTTCTGACCGCTCCATTACAGGGCCTTTTTCTTGATTTTCCCACATCTCAATTGAGGTAATGGGGTCGGTGGCCTTGTCGCAAAGCCTACCACACTGGAGGACACATGGAACAGTGGACATTGTCGTAAGCTATGTTCTCAATTCACATCACAAACCAGGGAAACCACAGCATCATTACAGTGCGCGTACCAATCCGAGGAAACAATAACAGTAAGAAGTAGCAGAAGTGTTTGTGATATCAAATATATAAAAAGCGAATAATTTGGTGCCAACATACATGTAATATGCAGTGTGATGATTATGATGATTGCCGTAGTCAGTAGGGACAAAACCTGAAAATGAAGTGTGCTTTGTTAAAACAAGACAGAACTTCATTGTGCTAATCATTTTTAAAACCAGCTGATATGGCCCTCGATCCCATTCGGACCTCACTCCTTAAGAACCATTGGCCATCATGTCTGGCTGCGGGTTCTCGCTCCATTTATGCTGGATGGGTCCAGGACCTTCTTAAATTGCATCAGCTCAACGATTTTGCCAAAATAATGTGTTCATTCATGATTCTAGGTGCTCCCGTAAGAAATTTATGTTTTTGCTCTATCGAATGGGGGTCATCTTGGATTTCTGGGTCAAAATGACGTCATAGCGTCAAACTGATGTCGGAATCGGAATTCTCATGGTCGACTTACCTGGAAAAGTGTCTTCATACGTGATTCTAGGTGCTCTGGTTCAAAAGTTAATTTTTCAAGATGGCGCCGGCGGCCATCTTGGATTTGGCCCCCTAGCGAAAAATGCCGGGATTTTTGGGAGGGACCGGGGGGCTAATTTCTTTATAAATGGTCCATAGAAGTCAAATCCATCGTCAAACCATCCTAGCCAGAGAATGGTCACGGAACTTATGTTTTGGACCCAACTACTGTACCAGTGTATAATCAGACTCCATGTATGTATGTAATCATGTATGTAACGCTGCTCTTCAGGCTAGTCAATAATACAGGGCTGTGCATTTCTGAATAATGTACATGTAGTGTTTGATCATTCCAACTTGGTCTGGATTGAATTTCAATTTTGAAATGCACTGATCAAATTGAAAAAGAGCTTAATAAAATATTAAGAACAGGTGGCATAATGCCTGATGTTTGAGCAATTTTCAAGGGGCCATGCGATGAATTTTTCTTAGGAATGCATTTTGTGCAACTTTCTACTCCTCTTAAATGTATGAAAACTACTTGGTTACTTTTATTGAGAATTGCACTTCTTTAAACATTTGAAATTGTCCATGCTTTTCCGGACAGCTGAGGGCACTGTTGCTGTGATGTCATTCCAGGAAGACACTATTCAGTTTAGGGGTTTTCTGTTCAAACTGTGAACCCAAAATTTGCTCATTGAATACATTTGTTAGAAAGGGTTGCTAATACTACCATGTACTTACACAACAACGAAACACCAAAGAAAACTTACGACAGCAAAGTATCCAAATTTTTAGCAACTTTAATTTTGTGCTTAAATAGCTGTAACATTGAGGTTTAATAAGGAAATTCACATTAGCATAAAAACCAAAAAGGCACCAAAATACCCTTGAAAATGGCAAAACAAAAATGGAAAATAAGGTTAAATGGGACACAATGGTGCATTTTCAAGGAATGCATTAAAAAACTTACATTGCATGGGCCCTTTAAAAAAAGAGAAATTTGATGAAATGGGAGCTCTCAAATCATGCAAATCAAGAAAAGTGGCATATGTATACATGTAAAAAACAATAAAACCATGCAACTTAATACGATTTAAACAAAAATCGTGGACGTTTTTTTAATCATCTCCTCGAGACCACTCGCTATTCGGTTGATGATCAAATATTATCTGTATATTAGGCACAGCCTTACTAGCATGACTAGTCAAGTCAAGCAATTATGTTCTTGTACATGATGTGCAATCATGCCTCATAAAGAGTTGTCAGCAACCAGTATTAAAAAATGAATGCAAACAGTGGTGATGGTGGAAATTATAATGAATACGAACTGCTGTTTCATTTCATTATATTAGTGTGGTCTGTTTCTACTCACAAGCGGTTATACAACATTTGGTGGTCATACAGGGTGGTCCAATAAAAAGTTTACACTTATTCAGACGCAGATTTCTCAAAATTTGGGAGACGTGGAAATTGTTTTAAGATATTCCTAAACTACACGATCTTGGTGGTATATATGGTGAAAGTGGTGTTGAAAATAAAGCGTAAATTAAGAAATGGTGGCCATTTACAGCAAAATGGTAAAAAAACAGTCTGTCCACATGCAAGGCTGTCATGTCTATGAGACAGATCAAAACAAAAGCACTGCGTGCACAAAGAACTACATGTACATGTACAATAATAATGGCCATATCTCATGCATGTGTGTGGACAAACTGGTTTCTGACCGTTTTTCTTTAAGTGGCTCCCATTTCTTATACTTAGGCTTTATTTTCAACACCATTTTACCACCAAGATCTTAGTATTATCTTAAAGCAATTTCAATTTTGTTCCCCAATTTTGAGAAATCTGCATCTGAAAAAGTGTAAAATTATTAAGTACCACCCTATAGACGGCAAGCCACGTGTCCTCTATGTAGCTGACTGACTGACTGACAGGCTCACTCCCCGTCACTTGTGAACCGGGCAGTGCTATCATATAGGATTACCCCATAACACCAATGAATGTGCTAACTCATGTATGGTCCATCGTGTACCCATTGAATAGAATTAGTCGTGGGAGCTTTGGTAGGCTTGCCCAATCTGTTGCAGTTGCGAACATTTTTCGACAAAAATAAATAAAATTGAAACAGGAATTCTCAAATCAATTTAATTTAAATTCCAAATATTTTGGAACAATATAACTTTAACTTAATATGTTAAAACTCTTCAACAGTTACATTTTAAAAAACAACACATTCACTATTTCTATATAGAGTAAACCTGGGAATAAAATTAGAGGCCATTTTTGAGGCGCCGGAATGACATCCGCGTGCACACGGATGTCATTCCGGACACGTTCTTAAAGACAAGATGCGCGCGCATTTTTTACCCCTATTGGTCAATTCGGGCGATTCACAATGCAGTGCCCCACCAAGAGTTTGCCACAGAGAGTTCATTTTTCCCAGTGCATTGTGGGAGATGGTCGGCAAATTCGCAGCGCGGGACATTTGAAATTGTTAATTTTTCCGGTCAGTAGTTTCGTAAGCGTATGATTCGAGGATCTGTTTGCCCTTTTCTTTTCTTATTATTAATATGGTGTTTTTTGTAAGGCGGCAGAACGCTATGCTCCAATTCATAACATATTAGATCAAGTTGTCTACTGACACTCATTCAAATGGGCCATGTTTTGTCGACCGTAAACTTGAAAAATGGACTCTCCATGGCAAACTCTTGGTGGCGCACTGCATTGTGAATCGCCCGAATTGGAGTGCGTACGTACATGTACTACTTGAGCGCGAACCTGGTTCCACCTCAGAAATGGATTCTACTTTGCCAGATTTGACCGTAAACATTTTTTCAAGCTAGTTGTGAATGTTGGATCTAAAGATTGTTGTGAAGAAAAGAAAGAAGTCGGTTAAAAACAAGATGGCAAGATTTTGCAAGAATTTACATGTCATACACATTGATTGCACGCTTATGAATGCACTGTCAGTCAACCCTCACTTACTGTGGAAAAAAGACCCGTTTCTGATGACACGACATAAGTGAACGTGAATTTTTCAACATTAATGTGTGGGTTTTTCACCTGGTCACTACATTATTCATCCTCATTCTTTTCGTCAACTTCCCCTGTCTCTGCAGGAGTTTCCACTTCCTCCTCTGTTGCCATGGCCACTTGATCAGTGGTGTCTTCTATACCTGCAAGATATAGAGAATTTTTTCACAAACCCGGCATGGCAGCTTTGCGGTCGGGTCTATCACAAGTCCTTACAAGACATCACAAGTCCATCACAAGTCCATCACAAGTCCATCACAAGTCCATCACAAGTCCATCACAAGTCAGTCACAAGTTAATCACAAATCCATCACAAGTTAATCACAAGTCCATCACAAGTCCATCACAAGTCCATCACAAGTCAGTCACAAGTCCATCACAAGTCCATCACAAGTCCATCACAAGTCCATCACAAGTCTATCACAAGTCCATCACAAGTCCATCACAAGTCCATCACAAGTCCATCACAAGTCCATCACAAGTCCGTCACAAGTCCGTCACAAGTCCGTCACAAGTCCGTCACAAGTCCGTCACAAGTCCGTCACAAGTCCATCACAAGTCCGTCACAAGTCTGTCACAAGTCCCAAAAGAAGGAAAAAAAAGTGAGATTTGAAAGAAGAAAAAGGAAATTCTTTGGTAACAAAATGAGAATAATTTAATATGTTTTGAAGCAAAGTCCTTTCTTTCTGGCTACATGTTCATTTCCTCCTCCCCCCCAAAAAAAAACCCCCGGATGATCTTCCATTTCTACCTTCATCTTGTCCCTCCAGATTTTCACCCTCCTCTTTTTGAGTGGTATCTTCCGCACTCCCCACCGCTTGCTCATCATCAGGTGCTGCTTCTGGTTGCTCGGCGACAGCTTCTGGTTGCTCGGTAACCAGATGCGGCTCATCCACCATTTCTGAAAAATTTATCAGTGTTGCATGTCAAGGGCATTACTTTGAGTAGGACTGTTGTATGCAAATACAACATGGTCGGAGGGAGGAAACATGAAAAACATTCGCTGCAAAATTTGCCGCAGCTTTTGAAAGTTCGCAGCACGAAAACGTGCGGTGACATCACAAATTTACATTCGCTTTCGCACCGAGTACGAACCGGCCTTCATATTATAGTATAATAAATTGCAGTTTATATTGCGTGAGGATCTGTAATTCACAAACCTTCATCGGCGTTTTGTAAACCTTCGTCTGTCGGTTGATATTGCTCCGTCCCTTCCCCGTTTTCCTGGTGCATTGCGATTGTCACCAAAACTTCCGCGTTCTCCTCAACAGATGCTGGTGCTGCTATGTCGCCTGATCCACCTGTCAAAGAGAGGAACCAAAAAAAAACGGACATAAAAAGTGATATTTTTAAAAAAGAAAAATTAATGTTATAAGTTTGAAATAAAATCTGTAATATTTTAAAATGACGCAAAGAATTTGATTTGTTGTTTTTTCACAGGAATCATGGATTGTTATTAAAACACTTTGATCTGTGTTAAAAGTACTCTATAAATACCCATTAATTTTAACCAAATTTTGTAATTATACCGACTTGGATAATAATTTCTTTCTCCACCCTCCATTCCCGATGCCTCCCCCCCCCCCCCCCCATCACGGAAAATTTAACAAAAGGCACCACACACATGGATGCATGCAATTTGAATAAAACGGGGCTACAGCACGATAGAATCTGCGCTCTGAAGTTAGTAAAGTTTTGTTTTATAAAGTAATAGTCTCTTACCACCACCAACTCGCAACAACCACTTAATAAGACAAAAAAATACTAGATCCTGAAAGTTACAATGAAGTGCAGTATCAGTATATATATATCTCTTTCAATTTGCCTCTTCACACTTTTAAGCATGACTCCTGCTTTTTTCCTCCTTAACTCTCCCTCCTTTTTTGACATTGGGGGTGGGGTGTGGGCTTTGGGTTGGGGATGGGGCTACAAGCAGTCCCTGAATAGCCCCTCCCCCCCCCCCACCCTACCCTCTCCTATGACTACACCACTTCCTTACCCCAAACCTCCGGCGTGCTTTCCACAGTTTTCTCCATCATTTCGTTTTCACTGATGAGTTTGCTATTCTTCCTCATCTTCACGATCTTCCAGTATTGCTCCTGTACTCGGTTGATCATCTCACCCTGCGTGACTGGGTCGTAACCAGACGCTGTGGGACAAAAGAATTCAAACTGCTCATCAATGCAACAAAAGCTAAACCTTCATCATCAACCCCCCCCCCCCCACCCAACCCCCATACTATTGTTTAGTTTGTGTATTGGCATCTTTTACATTGTATACTCCCTGTTTGCAGTTTGGGATACCCAATTTTAACGCACATAACTGAAGTAACTTGAACACCCTGCTTCTGGATTAAGGCAAATGTTTACACCCAGTTTTCAATCATTAACTAAATCCCCCTTCACCCCCAAAAAAGTAATTAAAGAAAAAAATGGGAAAATAAATCATAAAATTGAACTTAATTGGCTGACCATAAGATAACACAGATAGAGATTAAAGTTTTTCCCTCACATTTGAAAAAAAACAGGGAAAGAATATAATAAGCGGTGAATATGAGTTTCCTGCAAATAATTTAAAATAAGTCATATTCATTTCCCAAGTGTAAAACTACATTGGCATCTATGCATGTGCGAATGTACTCTTTTGATCCTCATGACAAGCCACCGCAAAACATCAAAATACATTGTAATTTATCCAGTGTAATTTTCCAGATGAGTGAATGCATTGTATTCTGTTGTACACCGTCTCCATGGAAACACAGCAGCAATTTTTCTGTATTGCCTGCCTTTGTTTAATTCCTTGGGGGATCATCAGGACGTTTTCAAATAGGACAGAACAATTTTAGCTCAGGGAGAACATTTTGAGATTGTAAGAAAATTTCGAAGATTAACCGGATCCAATGAAATTTTTTTAAGTGTACTTTTTGTTGTTGACTGAAAATGAAATTGTTCATAAATAATAATGAAATGTGGTGCTTATAATATATAGCGCTTTATACCAAAAGTCTCAAAGCGCTTAACCCTTCTTACCCCTGTTCATCAGGCCATGAGACCAGTTTCTGCAGCAGCTCAAGATCAGCGCATTCTGGTCTCTACCTTCACAGGTACCCATTTATACTTCTGGGTGGAGAGAGGCAATTGTAGTAAGGTGTCTTACCCAAGAACACAAGCACCATGTTTCCCCGTCAGGGTTCGAACCCACTTACCACGGCAAGTGAGTTCCACATGAATTTAAAAAGCGCCCTCTTTCGGTTGGGCACTGATCTATTAAAACAAGTGATAATAATACTACCTTCTCTGATGGCCAGTAGATCGTCCAGAAATCTGGCGATGAACTCCAGTGTGTTTGCGGGCTTCTCCCGCAGAACTTCCTGGGAGATGAGATGGAGTATGTTCTGGAATCCAGGAGGCACGCTCAGTTCCACTGGGCCATAGCGCATCGACATGGTGCTCAATGGATAGGTTGGTCTCTTTTAACTAAGTTGAACGGAGAAATATGAAGTTGAAACCCCCCAAACAATACATAAAAGCAACATATTGAAATGAAAATCTACCTTCCTCAAGGGCGGATCTAGTAGTAGTAGGCCTACCATTTTTAATTTTTTTTTTGAGGGTGGGATGCCCCCCCCCCCCCATTCAAGGCCAGCCCTCTCAACCCCCCTCCACCCCCCCCCCCCTCCACCCCCCACCCCCCCCCCCCCCCCCCCCCCCCACCCCCACCCCAATCCACCTGTGGCCTTCTTTAACTTTTAAGGTGCATCTACTATCTTTCTGAGAAATGTTTGAGAAGATGTTTGTTATTTTAAGTTCTATATACATGTATCTATGCCTGCATTTGCCCTGCACGCGGCCAGCGCTGCAGCGGCCGCATACGGCACGCGCGCGCCTAGCCTTCACAGTATAGTCGTGTTCCCTAACGTGGCGCACTTAAATAAATCTCGGAAAATTCCAAATTAACATTTAAGAATTTCTGTTAACTTGATAAATTCTGATAAATCATTATTATCTCAACTTACATACCCAGCCAGATGTTCGTCAGAAAATTATTTTCTTATTTTTCGGGGCATTTTCAAAGTGTTCACTTTGCACTTGAAAATAAAATCGGAAAATATATTTTTCGCCAAATACGCCAAAATATATTTTTTTTTCTTCTAACTTTGTAACGGGTGAATAAAATCACGATTTATGAACGGGAGTGTTTAGAACTTGATGAAATGTCACTTTCTGTGAAATTTCAGTTAAAACTTTTGCTCTAGCTAGGCGCTACAGGCGAAAAATCAAAGTGCGCCACGTTGGGGGCCGCGCCACGTTAGGGTACATCAACAATACACGGGGAGTTCGTACCGAAAATGTTTTCAATGAAAGCGTGGAATTGCACTTTATTCAAACACGCCGCCCGCGGACATATTTGCCTTTTCTAAACCCAGCGTATGCATCATTCTGGACACAAAGAATGTGTAAACGAAATTTCAGCTTTCACCATCAGGTAAAAATATGAAAAAATGGTTTACAATTTTTTTGTGTGCTATGGTTGTAGAATTATTACCCTGGACGTCAGTCGTAATGCAATGAAGACGTCGTCCAACCTACCTGGGCTAACCTTGGACATGAATTTGATCATAGAGGAAGTGTTCCTTAATTCCTCCATTTGATTACAGAATGAGTTCAACTCACCCGATCCCGCTCGATGTTTATAACGAATATAAATTGATCTGCTCAAGCAGCTGCTACTGCTAGTTACTCGACGATGGCAGTCTTGATCAGACAGTCATCAGGCATGTCAGGGAGTAATATTGATGATCTTCGAGCTGCCGACGCGATCTGAGCTAGCTGCCGCGTGTTATATTTTGTATCGTACGTACGTAACTGTGTACGGATACTCAAGTCGTGTACCAAGAAAGTTACATGCACATTCACTGCGTGCACGCGGCAGGCGCGGCACGCATCACCACACGTACGTACGTGCGCGCAGCGCCATGGCCATCCGGATATCCAACGGCACCGCGCGCCGCCGGCAGCGCGGCACGCGCCGCGGGCACGCGCCGCGGGCAAACAGAATTGTTTCGGTACGTCACACGCACTGTTTGTATGTAGCCACGCCCAGGACCAAAAAAAAACAGCCATGCAGCGTTTTGTTTTTGAACTTCAAAACGCTACCATCAAAATTTCACCTTGGTAAAATACTCAAAATTGCTACACGGGGTGCTCTACAGATAATTAAGTTTTCAGTTTGAACAAAACGCGACTCTTTTGTTGTTTGAAGATCAAAACCTCGACTTAGCTCCTTGAGTGCGCGCGCATAGTAGGACTTGACGTTTACGGGTCACTGTGACGTCATTGTACTTTCAACCAATAGGAGCCCTCTCCTTGTTTTATGAAAAGTGACGTCATTTTACTGTTTATACTTGCATTTCCACGTCATCAGAATAACAGTAGTCAGTATCGACCTTTTGTTTGTGGATTTTTTGAAGTGGAAAATGTAAGAAAACCGAAGACAAATCCCATATTATGGAGGTCGTAAAATCAAAGCACCAAGGCCGGCAAAACGGCACAAATTTCACCCTCGGAGACGACAATATCCCGCTGACATCTTCGTACTACAAGGACTACATCGAGACCACGAGAGGGATGCAAGACGGTTCAAGGAAGAACGACTATGTGAAGCCGGAGTTGGCCAAACCACCGCCTTGTGCCACGGTACGAATGACTAGCTAGTTATGGTTGGGTCTAAATGATCTCATTATATATATCAGAAAAATCCGATCCCAAAATTATAATTATCTCGACTAAGCGCGAGCTCCTCTTATCTGATTTCATTGCTCTGTTCCATCACTGGCGGAGCCGGGGGAGGCACGTACGTGTGCCCCCCCCCCCCTAATTTTCAAGCTCTTTACCGTGGCAACCAGGTGCCTCCCCCCCCCTCCCCCACGCCACCACCCAAGAAAAAACACGATATCACCCCTTCCCTAAAAGGTGTCCTTTCGCTATAAAACTAGAAGTAGAGTTTTGATGAATAAAGTTTTAATTACGTCAATGGTACGAATTCCCTTCCACCTAACGATTTGTGAGAATATGAATAAAAAGAATGGTAGGAAAGTGAAATAAGCACCCAGTAGCGTCCAATGAGTTCTACCCTCCCCCCCCCCCATTTTTCGAATTTGCAGCAGATGGCTGGCAAGACTTCCCCCCCCCCCCCCCCCGTGTGCCCCCACCTCCCCTCAAAAAAGGGTGGATCATGGAGAAGCCGCTGATCTGTCTGGTCTTCAAAGCTAGTAATATGTTGTGTGCGTGATCCCATTTGTTTTTCTAGTATAAGTGGCTTATCTGCCTCAATTCGGGCCGGCGTGTTTATCACTGTTCTGAATCAGGCCTCATGAGGAGGTCAAGAACAATGTTTAAATCAGATATGACCACAGTCATCAGTTTCTCATATGAGAAACGCGGACGTCCAATCAGATTTATTTATTATAACCATAGTTTATGACTCGAATGGTTTTATCCATTGGGGTAAAAGTAAACCACAATCGGCTTTCTTTCTCTAACACTTCTACACTTTGCCTGCCTTCATGATCCAGGAATATAAATGGCAACTGCGCGGGTCTACCGAGACCAGGCTGCGGCGTTTAACTGATCTCAAGCTGCTACACATTATTTTATAACTTTTGACACCAAATTGCAATTCTCATCAGATTCTCCTGTCACGAGAGCAGTTCCCCACCGCGCATGTCGCCACCACCACCAACCGGCGAGATTACCGCGGATGCAACGCCTCCAGCGCGGTATACCGCGAGAGACTGGGAGACTTGTCCTCCATCAAGACGCTGCACATGCAAAACTCGGTGGTGTTTGGCCCGGGAGGGGGCGCGGCCGCCCACCAGTTCCTGTCCAGCGCCCAGGAGCACTACCGCGACCCAGCGGACATGGCACGAGAAATCACGAGATCGGGGCATCAGCTGTAGATATGACATCGTGAAAAAAAAAATTGGAAGGACGCACTCTTGTGCAATCAGACATTTAAATGACCGGGGGAATTTATATTGTAATTTTTTTTAACAACAAAACTGCCGATGTCATATGAAATTTGGACTCCTATATGAAATCTGGTCTCTTTGGATTATCATCCTCAAACATGACCTGTCACTGTCTTGTTACCTTCACTTTAAGCATGCGCATCACAAACAGGTGAGTGTACTTCAGGGTCCAATTTTCAAACTACATTTGTATACCTGTCAGAAAAAAAATCCCCCAAACAAAATATTTACAGTCAACATGGAATTTAATAAAAAATTATGGCTGTTTTATTTCAAAAATTATGGAGTTGCACTATGTTCGTCTTTAGTAGCAATGGAATCGATAACATAACCATGTGTTCCTTGTCAATGTTTCTAAATTCTAGGACTTATGTACAAGTTGATGTCAACAGAATATTTAAGATTCGTTGGCAAAAGTTTGTTATACTTGCATGGGCCCGGGCCCGTCCCCGTCGCCCTATCCAACAAGCGCTCTGGTGACTGTTAATGCATTACCTTTCACAGAATTGTCGGTCGAGAACGCAGATTTCGCTGTGAGTTACCTTATCACCATGATCAGCGGCATATCCAGCTTTTTATGCAGGAGGGCCGGGGGAGGAATTAAGTCTGTTCTGTTTAAACATATCGTCCGAAAAAAAATACTAGAGTTTAAAAAAATAATTATGACGCCATCAAAATGCCACCGGGGGCTGGGGTAAAGTTACCCCCCCCCCCCCCCCCCCGATACACCACTGCCACCAGCGCCCTTGAATAAAGCTATGGGTTGTGCGAGTTAAAAGTATTTGCATTGTCAATTCTTCAAATAACAATGAAACTACCATAATTACCAACAAAACAATAACCCTTATAACTCAACAAACAACTTAATTACAATTATTGTGACACACGTACAGTTCATCGTTGACATTTCTGTTTATGATTTCATTTTAAAGGGTACAATTAGACATATTACCAAAACTGCGTAGCCCCTTTAAAATAAATTGATAAAAATCATTCATAATTTTTTAGCAATTCATACAATTTGATATTAAATATATATATTTTATCTTTTCTGCAATTTTGTTTTGCATTTGGAAGTTTTTGTTCCCTGGTATTAAATAGTGTATTTACAAAAAAAATATGTACATTAATAATGGCAGTTAGAGCCTGCATGGGCCTGCATTTCAGCAGTTACATAAATAATGTACTTGCTGTTATCAATCTTTAGTTTAGGATATCGGGTTTGGTCCAAAAATTGGGCCACCGGTATCAAATGATCAAAAGGAGCAATGCTCAAAGCAATTTTTGGCAAGGTATGCACATCTAGACTCTAGAGTTTGAAAAATGTGTGATCGGTGGCAGTTTTTTGGGTGTTATCACTTTCAATATTTTTTTCAAAATGGCCGCCAATATAGATTAATTATATGTGGAAGCATATGTTTTGGCTGTCATTTTATTGTTTAAAGTGATAGCACCCAAAACGCTGCCACCGCTGCAATGCTTTCACATATTTTCCAACTACAGGGGTGCATACCTTGCCAAAAATCACAATGAGCATTATTCCCCTCATTTGATACCTACCAAACCCCCAGGCTGATGGCCTACTTGAAATGATTATAATGTGTCGACAAGAAACAAAGTATCTTGGTGCTTCCTATTTTCTACATTCCCTGTTAGATCATGGCAGTAAAATTAAGTTGATAAGGTTTAGAACCCATATCAGAATTAAAAAAAAACAGTTCAAATTTCTGAAAAACAAAATTTGGAAAATCTATTACCCTATCCACCTAGCTACAAGCACACCTGGCACAAAAAAGAAACTAAGCAGTTTTTAGAATCATCCTTGTTTGGACATTTTTTTGGAGAACAAACAATCAGAAATATATGTTTTGTCACGGACACTTTCAGGTTCAATTTGACACCTCACTTGGGAACACTGTGTAAGAAATAACGAGAGCGCAAGCGCTGAAGCCCCTGAAACCCCCAAAATAGAAGCTGCATTTTGCGAGATTTTCAACGGGCATTGCAACACACAACTGAATGCGGGGCCTGCATCATTGCATTTAATTGTGTGTAGCAATGCCCATCAAAAATCTCGCTAAGTGCAACTTGTAGTTTTGGGGTTTCAGCTGCTTCAGCGCTTGTGCTCTCGTTATTTCTTACACGGTGTTCCCATGTGAGGTATCAAATTGAACTGGAAAGTTTCCATGACAAAAAAGTATATTTGGGATTTTTTGTTCACCGAGAAATGTCCAAACAAGGATGATTATAAAAAACTGCTTTGTTCCTTTCTGTGCCAAAAGCAAATGTATGGGGAATGTACATCTATAGGTTAAACTGGTGCACTGAAATGCTACTTAATGTTAAAACTTTGAAAAAAAGAAATTCACAACTCTTTCAATTGTGATGAAATACAGTTTTACAGTCCTGATTTGAGGCGTGGGATCACACCCCCACACCATCGCACACCTAAAAGCTTCCCGAGAAGTGTGAATAATTGCACGCATGCATTTCCCTTGACCACAGATCACACACCTAGAAAACCACACACCTAGAAAAAACACACACCTAGAAAAATCCAGGTGTGCCTTTTTCCACACGCCTGTGATTTTCGAATCAAAAGGACTGGTTTTACCCCCTCTCCAAAAAAATATGAAACTATACACAAACAGCTGCTGCATATGTGGCCACCCTCATATAAGCTGTATTTACAATAAAATATATTACATGCTCTAAAGCCACACCAAGTTTCATGAAAACAACTTTAAGTACTCCACCATGCATATTCAACGATCTGATCCCTGGAATACTGCCCAAGGTCAGCGACTTGTGCAATAAATTATGGCGTAACTTGCACAATCATTTTAAGTGGCAAAAAGTTTTATGTGGTGAAAAGTTGTGTCGTAGCGACTGAAAATGACCTATTTCACCAGCAACTTGTGAACGTTGTGAAGCCTGTCATTGCACAACTTATCAGGTTGATACCAGCCACTCACAGCTTGTGTTATAAATAATTATTTTACTAGTGACAATTTTTTTTAGAGTTGCCGCACGATTCCGTAGTTGGACAAAATGCTTTTCAACATGGCGTGCTGAGGTGAATCGATGACTGTTTCGTGAACGAACAAAGTCATACACAAACAGCCATCGCAAAATGCTGTGATTATCCTCATCCAAAATGTTTAGATTATTTAAAACGTTGCGAAGCTACGCCAAGTTTTGTGAAATCGTTCTAAGTTTATTGCACGGCTACGCAACAAATCTGTTGCTTAGTTACACACTGTTTTGTGAAATCGCCTGCTGATGTACTAATATTATAAGGGTGCAGACCAGTAAATGAACCGCCATACACTCCCATGACAAATACTCTCACTTCAAAACACTGGGGAACAAAACCTTGTCGATCGTAACGCGAGAAATGTTGGCCATAGGAAATTATACAATAGTCTGGACTCAGGCTCGATTTTTTTTGCGATACGTGAATGAACTGGCTTGCCAGTGAATAAATTGCCACTGACTTCAATACCTCACTTAAATTTTTTTTGAAAAATACTGTCGATAAGCCGAGGAAAGTAATTTTTTTTGGAAAAATACCGTCGATAAGCCGAGAAAAGTTTGGCCGTTGGAAAATAAACAACAGTCTCAGTTTTATAGCTTGTGACTTTGAGTAAGTAACACTCTCTCCTTGCAATACAGTGTACGAACTGGCTTGTAAGGGAACAAAAACATTTAAAAAAAACTCTATTGATAAGCCATGGAATGTTGGCCGTTGGAAAATAAACAATAGTTTCAGTTTTTGAAGTTTGTGACTGAAAGTAAGTCACACTCGCTCCTTGCGATAAGCAAGTGCGCTGGCTTGTCGCAGATGTTTATTTGGCATTTTGGTCCAGGACTGTTTTTTCCCTCCTGATGCCTCAAACCATCTCATCTTTCTTGAACATCTCGATCTTCTCCACCATCTCCATGGACTTGGCGTCCTTGACGACCACCGTGTCCTCGTCCCTCCACCTGACGTCGCCGTCTTCGACGTCGCGGATGGACTCCGGCAGTGCCTTGTCCAGGGTCTCGGGAAGCCATAGGTCCAGAACACCGCTGATGAAAGCCGCAGCTCCAAAGACCAAGAACGCCAATAAATCACCCTAGAGTAGGAAAATAAATGCCGTTTCATACTCGGCGCGGAAGCGAACACATACTCAAATTTGCAAAAATTGAGTACATTTCAACCTCAGCAATTTTCAGTGTGAATGCTTTGTGTCGGCGAACATTGCTTTGCTTTCGCATAGTTTAAGCGTCTGTCAAGGATTGTTCATTCTTCATACACGCTTATGCAAATTTGAAATCACAAAGCGTTCGCAATAGGATTTGCGTGAGTTGGAATGCGTTCAGCTTTTGTGGATTTGCATTGTGAATACTTTGCCGTGACATTACAAAGTCAGGTTTGCTTTCAACGAAGCAGTGTTGTAGTCGAGTTTATCACAAATCCTCACAAGTCCTAAAAGGTCCATCACAGAGTCCTCACAGTTTACTCACATGTCCTCACAAAGGATGATTAGCAGCAAGATATTGTTACCATGTACAAAGCAGTGGCTGCTAGTTTTTCACTTTTACAATCCTAAAACAATTATCTTATAAACCAATAACCCAGATATTGATTGAATAACTAAATAATTCTCGCTGGCCTTGTTTTTTGTTCGACCGAATTTTTTTTTATCCAGTTCACTTCGGATGACGTGTATACAGGCAAAGGTTTTGCGAATTTGCAGTATTTGGAACGGATGACGGATAAACGCGCAACAAGCAAGGCCGGAAAATATCTGTCTGCGACCCGCTCACAGCGAGCGAGGCCAGAAATATCAGGGTGTGCTACCCGCAGATGACGGCCTGAACCCGTCTGGCATCGAGGTTCCTGAAAAACAATCCCGTGCCTGGGTCCGGTCATTGTCAAAATAATCCCGGCGCAAACTGGTTAAATTGTGCTTACCATCATGATGACAGATGGTGCAACTACACCGCCGAATCGAGCTGCAACAGAACATACACCCATACCGCTATTCCTGCCATGCAAAAAAAAAAACAGAAAAAAAATTTATTGGTGCACAAACTTCTTTCTTTTGTAAAGGGATCAGGGGTAGGGTGTGGCAGATTTTTAATGTCAAAAGTGTGGGGCAAGGCATAGTTTAGGACACTCTATCTCTACAAGTTTCGATCAACAATGACTTGTGCAAATGACTGTCGACTCTAAAATGACTTTTGCAGCCTCAAGCAATTTTTTTTTATTTGGTTTAAACTCTAAGTTTTCATACCTTTGTTCAGTACTTTGGGAGAAAATGTGATTTTCTTACCCTTTTTGGAAGTTAGAAGCGTCACGCACTGAACTGACGAATTAAAGCAAGCGCGTGCGTGTGTGCATGGTGTCAACAATTGCACGCACCCATTAACTGATTCGCCGAATTACAAACCAGCGTCTAACAGACTTTTCCAGAAATGCGTCACTTGACGAATCTTTGAAAATGGCCTTTTTTGAGTGGTCGGGCACAACCTGACCACTGTCTAGAATTGTTCTGATAAATCTTCTTTGTTTGGTTCTTTCTTTTTTTCCGGACAATAATTCTCCGCGGGTTTTCTCCTAAACGGTTTATGGTATGAACTTGTAACTTTCAACATATATCGACCCTTATCCCGAGTGGTGCATACTACTCTGACATCACGATGACGTCATCATGTATCACATTACAAGCGATTTTTGCTCAAAATACGATTATTTCTGTAATGTATAACTCATGAACCAAATAAACGATCACGTTCATACGTTGTGATCTGATGGACCATACCTTGATAAACATTTTTGATTTTGAAGTCAAAATCGTTCGACGTTTACTTCCGGGGCTACCGGAAAGTCAAAAGTTAGATGAATTCAAAATGAAGATATTAACCTGAAATCAAAGCAAAGCAGAATTTCTACCGGACATTTTACAGGATGGTCATAAAACCTAGTGTGAACTTGTACCATGTTACAAAGATGTTATAAATTTTGTTACGTCATCATGACGTCATCAGGTATCAAATTACAAGCGATTAAATATTTCTTGAATTTATCTTTGAAAATACCTGACTACTGTTGGTAGTAATTCTGAGGCAAAGATGTAGACAATGTTGAACGCAGCCGCTATCCCCATTTTGCCGACAAACGCCAGGCTGATGCGTAGGTTTTCCGTTTCTGGATCTTGAAGCAAATCAAAAAATGAATATTTCAATTTGGTTGGCCACATTACATGGTACTCTCTTGTAGAGCATCGTAACACTCATGTACAAGCATTACATGCACTGTGTGGACTTCCGAACGAAGATGTCCACATAAACCAGTTTTCAGATATGTTGTGTGGACTTGCCCACGTCCACACAAGGTTTCCCCCTCTCTGGAAAACAGGTAAAGAGGCATTTTTGGGTTAGGTTTGTCCGTCGGAAAATGAAGAGAAACACTCAAGTGAAGCATGAAAAAAAGTTGGGTTGAATTCCGTTGAAAGAGTTTTCGCAGTCTGAGTAAACTGAATTTTTTCACAGGTTTTTCCTAACTACACGAAAACAAAAGAGTGTCCACACTACGTATGTAGTGTAAATATGTATGGTCGCAGCATGTGTGACAGAACCACACAAAGTCGTATCGTAAAAGAGAGATTTGACTACAGGGTGCTATCGTAAGCCTAACATCTATTGACTCTCCACCATGCAAACCTTTGTGTCTTACTTGTTGGCTAAATGTTAAAACTATGCCTGGACGTTTTGCTAAACATTTACTTAAAGGGAATATACATCATTTGCTTTTGCTGTAATTTTCAGAAATGGATGGAATTGGGGGGTTGGAAATATATGGCAAATATAGTTACACAGACTTTTTTGAGGTTTTGGGTTCGAAAATGCTATAAAAAAACAAGAAAAACAATCATTTTCCTGTAGTCTGGTTCCCTGACTCCATTTAAGAAGAAACAGAGCAGTTTACATACATTGGGGAATTGTAAGGTCAGGGAACCAGTCTAGCTGGCTTGTACCCGTTCATAGGTGTGTAATCGACTGCAAACAAGTGCGATGGTCAACTGGGGCCAGTATTTGAAAAAAAACCCAGTTTTTTCCAACGCTGGTCGGCCGATCAGCGTTGGAAATTGATACAAAAATACCACTTTTCTTGAAAATGACAGTATACCAGGTGCCATGATTTTACAGGATGCTTTACACTGTCATTCACTAACAGTCCAGCAAGGTGTTTCAAAATGATTTGGTAGTTTTATTTTTTGATGTTTGCAAATGTTGTATTTTCCCTTTAATTACATGGAGATTCCTGGCCTTACAGAAGTAGGGCTGTACATCGGAACCGGGTACCCGAGAACCCGACCACTGATGTCAGGAACCGGTTCCAGATTATGCAATCGGGTACCCGTAACCAACTTTACAAATTACTTAGTAACATTCTCAAGACAATGAAGGTTTTGAATGTCATTTGTGGGGACTTTTCAAAAATAACAACCAGGCTACATGGGAAAACAAAACATATTTCACGTTAGTGATGCTCGCGAACGTTGCAGTTTACACTGTAAAGCTATGCTCACTGTACACACACTTGTGTCTTGCTGTATTGACTCACCGATGTGGTAGTATTATCGTGTGGACCTTTATGAACAATCTTGACCCTTTCATTACCACATTGTTTATTGACTTGGCTCTCCCCAGGACCAAATTGTTTGCTCAGTCATGCGGAAATCACTAGAGCGTGAACAAAATGAGCACGAGTCAAAAACTCATTTTTTTCAACCCAGATTTTCACTGCCAAGGAGTGATTAAAATCGTAGGTGTTGCGTGTAAAGTTTGTTCCTTGAACCTTAATCTTTTATGTGATGTAAAAATGAAGTCCATATGTGCAAATATAAGAAAGTTCTGCCTTTTTGTTCATCTGGTCCCAATTATCAAACTGCAAGCCATTTCACCACATGACCAAATGGCACTCCATACCTCAAATTGTGCGTGGATACTTCTGAAGCACTTTTCTAATGTTTTTGTAATGGTAACACTATGAATAAACCACACTAAAAGAAAGATCCGAAAACACTCTTTCAGCTGGTATATAGTTGATGTATGGGTGGCCAAACATATCAACATGCCGCTTTTCTGAAAAGTAGTGAATATGTCTGTGTTGAGAGTGTTTTGTGTGTGGTTTCCTGGTCGACTAAAGTCGCCCATGGGAACCAGCAGGGGGGTAGTTCTTGTCGACAAAAGTCGCCCATGGTAAGGAAAGGGTTAACAGCAACTTCCGAGATATACATGTTGGGGTTGGGTTCCTTTAACGCGTACCCGGGTACCAATGTTCTATTTTTTTCAATCTGGTATCCGGTTCCTGTACTACCAGTAAAAGCACACCCCTACACTGAAGTCCAAACTTACGTGCAGGCACTGTCACAAGGGAAAGGCACGTGATACCCGCTGTGAACGTGGACATGAGCAGCAGCTTTCGTCTCCCAAATCTGATACAAAGGAGGAAAAAATTTGGTTTGTTTTTATTTTACTTCAAGAATTCACATTGTCAAATTCTGTTGACAGTAACATGGGCATCGGCAGGATTTTTTCTAGAGGGGCGCAAAGCACGTTTTCCCCCAAATCCCAGAATTTTTCCAGCGAGTTTTCGATTTATCATTTTTCCACGGTGGGCAGGGACATTTACCCCCCCCCCCCCTCTCCACCCACCAATTAACAGCAATATGGCTTTGCGCCTCTTTTTCTTTCTTTCCCCCCCCCCCTTTTTTTTGGCTCATCCAGGGAGGGGGGGCAAGTCCCCCCCCCCCCCCCCCCCCCCCCCCCCCCCCGCCAAGGCCATGGACAGTTATACTGCCTGGCCTGTACAGACCTGAACCTTTAACATTTTGCAAAACCTGGATGTTGATTTTGATGAATTCTCGGTAGAACGGGTTATAATCTTATTGTATTTGCCTTGCAGAAGATGGAGAAAACGTCAACTTACTTGTTCAACAAAAGGAAGCAAACGGCATAGGCCGGTAATTCCGCCACGCCCGACAGGGCAAAACTGGTGTACATGTTGCCCCCCTGGTTGCTGGCATTCATGGTGAGGCCATAATACACCATGCTACATGTAAACCTGTGAATCAGACAGAAATGTGCCTCTTGAGATTAAAGAGAATATGCAACGTTTGCAAACATAAAAAAAAAAAACTACCAAAATAATTATTATGAAATATCTTACTGGACTGTTAGTGAATGACAGTCTAAAGCATCCTGTAAAATCATGGCACCTGGTGTGCTGACATTTTCAAGAAAAGTGGTATTCTTGTATCAATTTGCATTTGAAAAACTGTTTTTTTCAAAAACAGCTCTCAATTTATCTTTTTTATCATATTTTGTTAGTCGGCATTTTCTTTGCAATCGATTACACACCTGTGATCGGGTACAAGCCAGCTAGACTGGTTCCCTGACCTTCCAATTCCCCAACATGTTGGGGAATTGGAAGGTCAGGGAACCAGTCTAGCTGGCTTGTAATTTATAGATGTTGCAACATCTATAAATTACTCTGTTTCATCTTAAGTGGGGTTAGGAAACCAGACTACAAGAACATGATTGTCTTTCTTGGTTTTTCTAGCATCTACAAACCCAAAACGTCAAACAGGTCAGCGTAACAATATTTGCTATAAAATATACTTTCAGGTAGTGGACACCATTCGCAAGAAAAAAATGTATTCTTGCTGATTCAAGGAACAACGCAAGGAATCTAATCTGCCAACATTTCTGCTTAGTGGATATCACATTTTTTGAGAAACTGTGAAAACGCATCTTCATTTTTCTCGAGGGCTTTCAGTTAAAATCTTTCCTTCCAAAATGTTTGTTAACCCTAACCAATTAGGCCCATTTGGTTAGGAACATCCTCAATCCTGCAAAATCCTCCAATTGCCACCATGTAAAAATTGGATTAAGCCTCAGTCCTCCAAAATCATCCGTTATTGCTTGACTTTGTTCAGTGGAGGAATGACCACTGCATCAATCCTACAAAATCCCCCAATCACTGAATTCAAACATCACACTTTGATGACGCTAGCTTTACCAATCGACAGACTCAATCTTATTCGAAACAAGTTTTTAGACTGGTCCCGGAAAATCCAAGAAGGGCATTAATTCTTACCATGTAAATATCATGATAATCATTCTGGATCTGATGACGGGAGTCCGGAAACAGTCCAGTATGCCATATTGTTTCGCGCTTGTTGGGTTGCTGCTGATTTTCAGCTTCACCTGAAAAAAATAAAACACCCATAACTTGATAAAAGAAATTGCATAAAATGAACGGGACACTTGAAAAATAAAAGAGATTTCAAATGAAAGTTATCCCATAGACCAAAGCGAGGCATTTAATGCAAACAAACATGGCGGCGTGTGTGCGATGAACGAATGGCTCTTGCAATTTCCTGCAGTTTGACAATCTTAAAAATTGATGGATAGCTCCAATCCCCCACAAACATCAATCCACATTTCAAGGTAGGTCACGGCATATTGTACAGTAAACTCCGGCTAAACCGACATCGTATAAACCGTCATATTGCTTAAATCGGCCGTCTGACGAAGTCCCGATTGTCTCTAATGTATTTCCATTGACATTTTCATTTCTAAGCCGGCCTTTGTAAGCTGCCATTCGGCATCGTGCTCTGTGGTTTGCAAGAAGTGTCAGTAAAAAAGTCCCACACACTGCGAACTGACATCTGTTTATCAATGGCACGGCTCGTGATTGATGCATCGGCCAGCATGTGTACACTAATCGCGCGTGTTCACTGTTTCATGCACAGTCTGTACAAGTGTCCATCGTTCGGGTTTCCCAATAGCAGATCAATAGTACCTCCTCTCGACTGCACGCATGCGCTCTGTTCATTTTTGGGGTCCCCTTATTGAACCAGTACCATGCACACATTTAATTCGTGACTGTACACATACGTACGTGCACAATGTACACTACATGTACAATGTACATGGACGTACAGTATGCAAGCGATCTGTATATCGTACCACTGTTGAGTGCTTGCCGGCCGCGCTGTCCTTGCTTCGTACGTACGTACGTACATGAATGACTTTCTGTGATCAATACCACAGCCTGTTTGTGATGATAAACATTGAGGATATATTTGCTGGAATCAACCATGGATGTAGAAATAAACCAGGGTAAATCAAAGCCTTTGAATTTTAGCCATGAATGTTGTTTGCATGATCCAGATACAGATGCGCATAGGCCATTAATTCAATCTACAATTTTTTTTTCACTCCGTGATTCAATTTGTGTATTGTGTAAGTCGGCAAAATGACGACTTGCAGCAGAAGCCGACATTCGCGTAAGCCGTCACAAATTCTCTGGACCCGAGAGTGCCGTCTTAGCCGGAGTTTACTGTATTTTGAAGAAGAATCTTATAAATTTAAAGCCCAAGATCAGTGTCCAAACTGAAGATTCTGTGTTAGGTTACGTGAAGTATTAAACAGGTGCAATTTCAGCTCAGAAAAATCGCAGCAAGAAAAATGAAAATACAAAGTTTTGACGTTTGTTCGACGGCCGTGCTACGCTGAAACTAACACGGAAAGTTCAGTTCGGCCACTGCTTTCAGGTTTTACATTATAAGATCCTTCTTCAAAATGCAATGAGACACGACTACCTAGAATGCGGATTGATGTTTGTGGGGAATTTGAGCTATCGATCCATTTATATGACTGCACACACTGTTTACTCCGCCATTTTTGTATGCGTTATATGCCTTGCTTTGATTATCATGGCGTACCCTGAGAAACGTCCATCACTCCCTGTACTACCCCAAACCACCTCACTACTCAATTCGGGCGATTCACAATACAGTGCGCCACCAAGAGTTTGCCACGGAGAGTTCATTTTTCCCAGTGAAATGTGGGAGATGGTCGACAAAGTCGCAGCGCGGGAAATTTGAAATTGTTTGTTTTTCCGGTCAGTCGTTTCATAAGCGTATGTTTCGGGTATATGTTTGTCCTGTTCTGTTCTTTTTATCAATACAGTGTTTTTTGTAAGGCGGCAGAACGCTATGCCCCAATCTATAACAAATTAGCTCAACACTCATTCAAACGGGCCACGTTTTGTTGACCGCAAACTTGAAAAGTTGCTTCTCCATGGCAAACTCTTGGTGGCGCACTGCATTGTGAATCGCCCGATTTGTTTGATGATCTTTCAGAATACAAAATAAACTATAGCACCTGTGCTAATTGGTTCAATGATATTGAATTGTGATAAACTAGTGATTGTCTTGAAGATCCCTTGATTACAACTCTGACAAAGCTGAATGGAACTGTCTATTAAAACACTACAGATAAGGCCAAAAAAAAAATAAGTCGGTCTCTGGTCAGCGCGCGCGTCGATTTTAATCGTGCGCGTCAATCTTTTTTTCTCTCCAAAATGTTCCGCGGTAGCTCCAACAGCGCCCTCTTTTGCCGCACCTCCTCAATTTTTGTTACCAAAGAGCACCAAGGAATGGGAAATTGCACCAAGGCAAATGATCGAGAGCACCAAGGCAAATTATGGAGGACACCAATGTACATGAGGACACCAAAAAAGCAAAATAGTACCCCACCATGTCTGTACAATCCAAGCTTGAAGAGAAAAAAAAAAGAAAAAAAAAAAAAAAAAAGCCGCCTCCCCGCGTCAATTCCGGAACTTTGGTCAGACCAGAGACCGAATATTTTTTGGGGCGGCCTAATTGCTGCATAATATCTTACCATCGCCTTGGTGATGTTTTTGCCGTTTGTGTGGCCGATGTAGTAGAGGATATCTTCGGCTTCGGACACCCGGCCCTGGGATGCCAACCAGCGTGGCGACTCTGGCACAAGCCTGCAATGAAGATACAGGCAATGCATCAAAAACTCACAATACTTCGAACGTTATTCTGGAGAAAACACATGCAGCCAATTTCACGAAACAATGTGCAACTTACGCCATGCGTAAAACTTAACGCTGTAAAACTAATACAGCTGAGCAATAAACTTACGATCAATTTCATGAATTTTGTCAAAGCTGCACAATGTTTTAAATAATCTTAACATCTTGGATGAGGATAATAACAGCATTTACGACGGCTGTTCATGTATGATTTTGTTTGTTCATGAGACAGTTGTCAAATCACCTCCGCCCGCCATTTTGAAAATATTTTTGTCTGACTTTCTTCGGAATCATGCGGCAGCACTAAAAACTCTGTCAAGAGTAAAATAGCAATTATTTTACTTCAAACGCAAAGCTGCGAGTGTCTGGTATCAACCTTGATAAGTTGTGCAATAGCAGGCTCCCCGACGATCACGATTTGCTGGTAAAATAGGCAATTTTCAATCGTCTCCTAAAATGATTGCACAAGTTACACCATAATTTGTTGCGCAAGTCGCGGACTTATGCACTACGAAACTTTCGTGAAATTGTCGTAACTTGAAATGTTGCGCAGCCTGAAATGTTGCGCAACTTGCGCAATAAATTGTGGCGCTGGGCCCAATTTTATGGCTCTACTTACCGTAAGCAAAACATCCTTGCTTACTGCAGCAGAAAATTCTGCACTTACGGTTTGCGTATCCAATGGGAATTTCTTAGAAATTGCTTAGAATTGTTCAGGGCTAAGCAAAAACATCAGCTGTGAATCAATTTCCATCACTTTACCTCGTATGACAATAATTTGTGGCTGGTACTCTGTTTTTGCAAAAGCAAATATTTAGCATGGCAACAAGCAACTCCTTGAAACTGTCACCAGTTTAACCAGTTGCTTCGGCTGATGTGTGTTAAATGATAAGCCAAAACATTTCTGTGTTCAACAAATCCATGTGCATATTTTACTACCTATAAGCGCCAAAGGTTTCCAAGTTTTGAAATTAGGGACGGCTTGCTAAAACACATTCGTTTGTGGAAGCGGCTTGCGCCAGTTCTCACAGACACGTGTGTTACTACTAAGCCACAGCCGTAAGGAGGCGAAATACAAACCAATTGATAGAGAGGTAGCCGATCAGAGGCAGAGTCGTGGTGAAGAGAAGCACTCGCCAGCTCCTGATGAAGTAGGCTAGCACGGCAAACAGCTGAAGAATAACATGAACATGAGATAACAAGTACGAAAAATTACAAGATTGATTTAAAAAAAAAGGTTAATAAAAGAATACATCTAGGTAGAAATAACACACTTTTGCAAACTGCACAGCCACTAGAGTTTTGTGGGGACTAGGCCCATTCTAAATGTCGCGCTACTGCCGTGCTGAAATCTATTCAAAAGGAGCTTGGCAATAGACCATTATCATGTTGCGGCCATCTTGATTTTTTTTCCCCATTCAAATCAACGTAACCAAAGCGAGGCTGGAAGGACAAATAGTCTGGTTCCTTTTTGCACAAAAACCATTATCATTCAGTACTGTTATTGGATACAGGGTACATGACTGAAATGGTGGCAGTATGATAAAGGCCTACAGCTCGTCTAGCATGACAGTTGCTCTAAATGACAAGTTTAATTAGTCGAACTAAATGCATTCAGAGTAGCTTGCCATGATTAAAATAAGTTTCAGGCATCTCAACGCCTTTTCGTTGCTATCAATTATTACTGAGGTCAACTTCTATTTGAATTGAGTTTGTCACAGCAATGGCACAGCGTTCGGAACCGAGTCGTGCCACTGCCATTCAGAACGATGATAGTACGACAGACCCCGTTGAGCCGAAGGATGGTACTGTGCCAAACTCAATTTTTCTGAGCCAAATGGTTCTAAATGATATGTACTGTCGTGCAGAATTCAAACAATTCTAATTGAGTTCGGCATTGCAGTAGTACGGTATTAACCCTAACTCCCTAGGCCTTTTTGCTAGGCTGTAGCCTCAATCCTGCAAAATCCTCCAATTGGCCTCATGGAAAAATAGCATATAGCCTCAATCCTGCAAATTCCTCCGTTGTTTCTTGAATATGGTCCATGGAGGGGTGACAACTGCCTGAATCCTGCAAAATCCTCCGGCTACGACTGTCAATAGGCTGAGGCAGAGGCAGTGACATCCTGGAGCAGTGCGGAGGATGTCAAGTATAATCAAGGACTATATTTATGCACGGCTGAGCATAAACAACACAAGGTCCGGCCCAAGACCTTGACACAGTGCGTACTCCGAAATCAGCAACGCACTTTGGCCATGTAACCTCAATCCTGCAAATTCCTCCAATTTGCAAAAAGGATTTTGGAGGATTCAGGGCGGTTAGGGTTAAGAACGGGCCTAATTCTGTGATTAGCAAAGCCATCGAGTCGTCCGCTACAACCATGACTACCTACCATGATTCCAATGCAGAAGATGGCTTGCAGGATCGTGCCTGCAGGACCCCTGTACGCCGTGCCCAGGTTCTCTGTAGCAAGCACAAAACTGCAGAGGATCACTCCCCCTGTAGCCATGCCCAACAAGAACCTGAAAATTGGATCCAAAAAAATATCTCTGAAAATTTATGCAAAATTTATAGTACTCCCTTAAAGGGAATGTACATCATTGGTTTTTGATGTAATTTTCAAAAATGAACTATTTGAGGGGTTAGTATATATAGATCAAATATTGTTACACTGACATTTTTTAAGTTTTTTGTTCGAAAAGGTTGGAAAAACCAAGAAAAACAAAAATGTTTAAGTAGTCTGGTTCCCTGACTCCACAAAAGATAAAATGGATCAATTTATAGATGATGGAAAATTGTAAGGCACGGGAACCAGTCTAGCTGGCCTGCACCCGTTCATGAAACATGTAACCCATAGCAAACAAAATTTGGACTGAAAAAATGGTTAACTTGGAGCAGTAGTTGAAAAATAGTTAGGTTTTTCCAACGCTGGTCGGCCGACCACCGTTGGAAATGTATACAAAAATACCATTTTCTTGAAAATGACTTCACACCAGGTGCCATAATTTTACAAAATGCTTGAGACTATCATTTACCAACATCCTAGTAAGGTATTTCGTAAAAACTTGGTAGTTTTATTTTTCGATATTTGCAAATGTTGTATATTCCCTTTAACAGTAGGACAGGGAGATTTAGGGGAAACCACTGGGAGAGACATTTGAACGCACTGCCGACAGCGCCTGATGCTCAAGTGCAAGACGCTACGGCTTTGTGCACATCCAGAATAAAATACCGGTAAGGCAAAAAAAAAAAATACTTTTGCTTCCAGTTACATGGCATTTGAAAATAGGGTAGGTAGGTAGGGAATTTTTTTTTTTTGGCAAATTCTTTTTGTGTACGATCATATGTGACCTGTTCTGTCAAAATCCGACTTTTCTGGGCATAAGGTCAAAAATGAGATTTTTACATATTGTAAAAATATGTTCTTTTTCCTTTTAATAGGTGGTTAAATTTTTGAAACCGGTCATTCCTGGGCAGAGTTATGCTAATTTGAAGTTCATTGTGTCGAAAAGTAGAAAACGGAGAAAATGGCCACAAACGTCACAAAACAGTAATTTCTTTAACTGATATACCTCAACAAATCATCAAAAATACTATATTTAGAGTTCAAAGTAGGGTTTCAAACTTTTACAGTATATTTTAGACATGTTCAGGATTACAAATATGCAAAAATTTGGAAATCGAAAAAAATCACCCCCACACCGTTTTTTTGGGGCCCTATCTCAATTTCAACCTCTGCCCAGAAGCGTCTGCTTTTGACAGAACAGGTCACATATGGAGGCGTCTGTGTGTAGTCAAGGGTAAAAGGTAGAAATTTATGGTTTCGGGTGTTTTTTTTTTCTTCTCATTTTCCCAATAAAAAAATTAGGGTAGGGGCTGTCAGAATAGGGTAGGTAGGGAAACCGGAAGCAGAACTATTATTTTTTTTGGTCTAAGTTGTACACACTTCGCGCTATACACATGTGAAGTACATTGTAGCAGGCACACGTGGTTATGTCCTGTCCACTTGGCTTCGAAATTGGTAAAAAAAAACATTCAGACTACGACTATACATTCATATTTGGGTCATTCCACCGGGTTGGGGAACAATGTGTGACATATGACCATATTAAGAAAAGCATGAACGCCTTGCTAGCAGTTGCTCTACATAATATTTGTTGTTGGGTGTTTCAACGACTGCAGAAAGTTTGAAATGATTTCAATATATTTTGCCAAAAATATGAGCAAAAAATGTCATTTTGGATGTAACATTGACACCGCGTGACATTTGTACCTTTTTTTTTTAATTTCTGCGAAACATCACCCAAATTCACTTTGCGTACTTCTTACTATACATGCAACACAATAAGAAAAGCTTTTGTTACGGTAGTCAGGTATCAAATGGAGCAGAAATGATAGCTTGGTTGTGTGGATGTAACATTGACACGGTGTAAAACCCAATGTCACACTTCGATTGAGTGATTTTTACACCGTTACATCCACACTTGAGGTATTGTTTCTGCTATATTTGAACCCTGACTATACCAAAACAAAAGCTTTTCTACGTGCTTAGGTGTCCAGTTGTAAATATGCAATGTCAGTTTGGGTAATATTTTACATACGTGTAAAAAATGCCAAAAAAAGAATATTTGGATGTAACATTGACACGGTGTCAATGTTACGTCTGAATTAATACATTTTTGCTCATATTTTTGCGAAAGTACTTTCAAATGATTTCAAACTTTCTCAAGTATTGAAACACCTTAAGACAAATATTATGCTAAACAATTGTTTAGAATGCATTGATACTTTTAATAAATTATAACCAAATATATGGATGTAACATGCACAGCTTCCCAACCCGATGGAATGACCCATTTACTTATATCGACAATCTGAACCCTTTTCTTTTTCATCCTTTAGGCCCTACTCAAGCTGTTGCTACTCCCGCATTAACTAACCTCGTGACTGCAAACTGGACGTAGGACTGCGTCAGTGCGCTCAGCATGCCAAACATAGACATCAAAATCAGTCCCAGCAGGGAGATTTTCCGGCGCCCGTATTTGTCGGCCATCATGCCGAACAGCATGACGCCAGTCAGGACGCCAAACATGAAGATGGACTGGACAAGTCCGACCTTGTAGGCGTTGCCGCAGACCAGATCCCACTGTCACATGAGGTGGTTGAATGGGTGCGAGGCAAGAAGGGGGTGGGGCAAGAAGGGGGAAGGGGAGGGGTTGTGGGTGGGGGAGGGTGTGGGAGAGTAAAAAGATTGGTTAAAGATGAAATGTCTCGCTATTTACAGAGTCTGATCCGGAAAATTGACCTTTTAATATATAATTGTAATTTTCTAGGAATGAAAAGGTTATACAGTTTGAAATGATACAATTTATTGACCTAAAGTCTGCTCATTTTTTTATAGAATAGATACTTTAAACTTTCCAATTGGTTGTGGGCCGACAATAATTCAGTTCTCGAACCGTAGACTAGTTCCTGCCCGCCCTTCATCATACCTGTAAATTTGTATTTGAAACTAATGCGCATCTGCACCCAATTTCATCAAACTCTTCGTAACTTAAGATGCATCGCAGTGATGCGTCGCGTCGTAGCTGCGACGCGTCCTGTGATCCATTTCACAAAATACGTCGTAAGTGCGACGCGTCGTAGGTGTATTTATAGCACAACTCGGTGACTGTTTTATGTATTTAGTCAGCGTACAGTAAATAGTCGTCTGATATTCAGCAAAGAGTCGTCCGATCTCAGCTCGAAATTTGTTAAAACGTAAAACAAAATGGCGGCCGTGCGATGCAATTTTGAAGGAAAACAAGGTCTCATTGGACTGTTATAGCTACTTTGAAATTTCAACTCTAATATTCCGGTCTAATTCATAATTATTCAATGAATTTTCTATTTACAACTTTACACACATTGCCTCGGTATTATAATCTTGTTAATGTAATGTTTATGGCATAAAACTGCCTTAGAAATGACTCTTCTTATTTTGCGACGACCACTAGACACGTCGTAACTTGCGACGTGTTTTAAGCCGTTGTCAAGGAACTTACGACGCGTTCAACACATCGCAACTTTCGTGAAATGGAAGATACGACGCATCGCGAGTTGCGACGTGTTACACGTCGTAACTCAAGTTGCGACGCGTCGCAGCGCTTCGTGAAATCGGGTGCTGGATGCATTCAGAACTATGCGAGGGAACGACGAGTTAGCGTTTTGGTGATTGACAGCTCTTTCCTGCGGCCTTATACTCACCTCTGTGACAATGGACGTAAACTCATTGGAGTAGGTGTAATGAGAACACGGTCGGGCCTTGGGGCTACAGGGATGCACTGTGGCGCGGGGGTTGTCTCCACAGAAGACATGCTGGGGCTCCTTCCCGACGAACGCCAGGGCCAGCATGTGCATGGCCATGAAGCCGTTCATCGACGCCAGTAGAAGGAAGTTGGACTTCTGGACTCGGCCAAACTCCCCGACAGTCTTGAGAACCTTGTCGAATTCCATTTCTGTCGAGGTTTTTCTACTTGTGGCAAATGGAGGTTGGTTGTCGTGCAATCTGTTGATGAATCAGGTTTCTGATAAATGAAACAAAATATAGTAACTTATGAAAGTATTGCCTAAAATTGTAACTAACTCAAATTTCAACACAACATGTTCAAATTCATAAATAACTAGAATGAATTCTGATACAATTGTGGTAGTCTAATGGTTAAAACAAATCTATTATGAAAATACATGTACATGCAGAATTTATCTTGACTTTGCATTCCCCATTTCCCCCATCACATTTTTACCATGGAGGAATAAGAACAAATTTACCAACGACACTATTACTATGTAACCTTTTACGTAACTTCAACAGGTACAAAACAAACAAAACAAATAAACAAACCCCCCCCCCCCAAAAAAAAGAGGGGGGGGGGCGGACTTTGAAAGTCAGTAAATGGGATTTAAGCTAAGTTGACTTTTATTTCTTTAAACGATGAAGTATGATGATGAGAAGGGTATTATAATATATTTCCTGGAATGCGGCCGATCATGCCAATTTTAATTGGGCTACCAAAAAAAAGTACACAACCATCCTCCTTTCAACACTGGGCGCTTTTGTGTTATTCTTGCAAGAACCAACCATGCGAGAACGAATTTCAGGGGTCAAATTTTCGGCGATCGTGAAGTGTAGGGGCCCTGTTTTGTTTTGCAATATAAAATGTTTTATATTGCTCAAAAATCACTTTACAATCAAAAGCAGACTTTTCTCAATTCTAATGATACCCGTTTTGCAATTTTGAACAGATTCTTGGGGTAGAAATCACGATTTTTCTGCGCAGTTTGTGCCTTGCGATTAAGCGCGCCGTGCGTGCTCACGGTACATCGCGCGGTGATCGCCATCTTTATTTTCGGGTCGCGTGTTGTCGCCGCGCTGTCATCGTCATCTTACCCCCCAATTTCCCTAAAAAAAAAAAAAAGTGCCCTCTATCTATGACATACCTGTTTATTGAGGATGTCGCCAACTGGTTTGGGTAAGTCCAATAATTTTTAAGTGGATTTTGTTCCCTTATAGGAACCGGGCCCTACACTACACGATCGCCAACATTTAGACTCATTGTGAATCCTGCTGCACAGTGCCTCGCATCTTGACCTCCTTATCAAAATCCCAAGAAAGAGGATGTTTTCAGGAGGAAACCAACCGAGTATCAAGTATCAAATAATGAAGTAGGCCTACATGTAGGTGGGGACGTGCGAGAAACTGTCCTTCTAAACTGCGTCAACAAGCGTCAACAAGCATCAACAAGCGTCAATGGTCGTCAACAAGCATCAACAAATTTTGTATATGCTTTTGAACATTAAAAGTAGCTTTATATGGTAGAAAAGGCAATAAAGAACATCTTCTGCATATCAATTAAACTTAAAATTATTTAAAAACTTGGTTTTTTTTAACGCGAAATGTACGATGAGTTTGTCGAGTTTGGGGTGGCCGCCATTTTGTTTACGTGAAGCTAGCCGTACTACGCATGCGTGAAGTGTACAGAGGCCAGAGCCATACTACGCATGCGCGCAGTGTACATCGCCGTCCAAACAAGATGGCGGCCAACACTAATCGACAAACTCATTGTACATTTCGCATTCATAAAACAAGTTTTTAAATAATTTTAAGTTCACTTGATATGCAGAAGATGTTCATTACCATGATTACTGCTTTTTCGCCATATAAATTAAAGCTACTTTAGTTTTAATGTTCAAAAGCAGCCATACAAAATTTGTTGATGCTTGTTGACGACCGTTGACGCTTGTTGACGCTTGTTGACGCAGTTTAGTAGGACCCGCGAGAAACAACATTTAAATGATTTATCATGTTTATGTTTACATTAGGCCCTACGGGTCGCACTAAAAGCATCAACACAGCGTCAACACAGCGTCAACACATGACAGAAGCGTCAACACACCGTCAACACATCCAAAACACATTCTGAATTGACAAAAAAGGTATATAATTGTTAAGCATAGAGTAAAAGAGAATTTCCATCAAATGGATTGACTTTCCATTTTGTTGTTAAAAATATAGTATTTTCACGCGAAAAAATGACCTTTAACTTGCACGGCCGTTGTCCGCCATCTTGACTTCGCACAAAGCTTGGACTACACCATTTCAAGTAGGGGTGGGTAGGTAATGACATTATCTTATACACAACAGAGGGCGCCTTGATGCAGAGGGATACCAGTGCATTCTGATCTGTGAGAGACTGAGGGACTGAGGTTTATTGTACAACGCTATCACCCTTTAGCATAATGGAATGTTCTGCACTGCCACTGAGGCAACATGGCAGCCAATCTCGGAGCGGCACGGAGAGCCAATTTTCTTGAACTGAAAATCGCAATTTTCAGACGTTTTACTAGCCCGACTGCGTCTGGCCGTACAGTACTATCGCAAGCTCTGTAGTACGGCCAGACGCTGAATGCTTCCAAAAAGACTGAATTTTTTTGGCCGCCGATGTAGCGATTTTGCTACATCTTTCGATCGCAATTATCTTTTCATCCAGGACACAAATTTCCAAAGTTAAGGTTTGTAGTCGTAGAGCAACTCATACCTTTTCGAAAAAACGTTGTTTGGTCTCAATATTTTCATCCATCTGGCCACAAGACGAATTTCAGTCATCAGATTCCACAAATATCGTCCCCCATGCGATCCCCCATGCGATTTCAAAATGGCGGCCGCGCTGTAATGTATGCAATATGCAGGCGCGCCCGAGTAGTAGGGGAGGTGGGGGAACCGGAGCAAAATGGAAAAAATCTGCGGCAAGCCTGAGCACGCCGCTCTCGATTCTAAAAATAGTTGGGGAAAAATATAGGGGAATCCCCCGATCTCAAAAAAAAAAATCTGACGCCGGGTGTGGGGGAGAAAAAAAAAAAAAAAAAAAAAAAAAAAATCTGACGCCGGGTGTGGGGGAGAAAAAAAAAAAAAAAAAAAAAAAAAAAAAAAAATCTGACGCCGGGTGTGGGGGAGAAAAAAAAAAAAAAAAAAAAAAAAAAAAATCTGACGCCGGGTGTGGGGGAGAAAAAAAAAAAAAAAAAAAAAAAAAAAATCTGACGCCGGGTGTGGGGGAGAAAAAAAAAAAAAAAAAAAAAAAAAAAAAAAATCTGACGCCGGGTGTGGGGGAGAAAAAAAAAAAAAAAAAAAAAAAAAAATCTGACGCCGGGTGTGGGGGAGAAAAAAAAAAAAAAAAAAAAAAAAAAAAAAATCTGACGCCGGGTGTGAGAGAAAAAAAAAAAAAAAAAAAAAAAATAAATCTGACGTTGGGAGAGAGAGAGAGAGTCACCACCACGTGACCTTGAAACGTGTTGAGGCACGATAAAAATTTGGCGTAAACAACGCGACCTTGAAAAATGTGTGAGTCACCACCACGTGACCTTGGGAATTTTTACTACAGTCAAGCTCTCATGGTTTATGAAATAATTGATCGCCCTCCAAAAAAAATGAGAAAAAAAATATTATATTTCTTATAATAAAATGGAGAGTAATATGTTCAGACCGACCGTCAAAGGATATTCTAAATGGAACAAAGCTACGCTGCGTGATTACGTGCAGCGGTATAATATACCGCACAATGAAAATGTTTCTCTTACTCGTAAAGTCTACATCGAGGGGATAAAAAATTATGAAAGTCAATTTAAAAACTTGAGGAAAAAGAAACTTTATGAGCTCAAACAGATTGTAGACGAACAAAATCTAGAATACGTACCGACGGGTTATAAAGGACGAGTTTTGAAAAAAGATTTACTCTCGGCGATTAAAACATACAGACAACCCGAATACTTTACAGAGTCAGCTTTTAGAGAAACGAGAAGGTTTAGAAATTACTACAGAAACTGGGAATTAAATCCCAGACTTTATAACCACGATTTAATCAAGTTTTTTGATTCACACAAGGAACAAATAGTCAATAAAATCAAGTCTGAATTGAGAGAGCTCAGAGGTTTAAAAGTAGAGCTTGTATTAAAAATAAGGTATCGAAAAATCAAACCGGATGGTACAATCGAAACGATCGAAGCTATTCATTATAGCAAACCGAAAGCCGTTTTAAATCAAAGTCAAATAAAACAGGTTTTAAAAGAGGAGATCGAAGAGCTATTCAAAAAGGATGAAAGGTATACGAATCAAGGATCGGGTTGGGCAGTCGATACAATACTCGCGTTATACATCAACATCAACAGATATAATCCAGCGAGAGGTAGTTCTTACATAAACCTACCCGAACATCTTAAAATTAAACAGGCGATGATCAACGTACAAAACAAAGACAACGAGTGTTTGAGATGGTGTTTGAGATCTGCCTTGGGGTTATACACAGACAAAGTAAAAAATCAAATAAGAAATAATCCTAAATATAAAATCAACGAAAGCAGACCGTCGATTTACACCAAAGACGACGGACTCAGTTTTAAAGGCGTTGACTTTCCGACACCGGTCGATCAGATACCCAAGATAGAAAGACAAAATAATTTATCGATAAACGTATACGGTTATGAGGGTGAGATATATCCATTATACGTGTCTAAAAACTATGGGTCACGAGAGATTGATCTGCTTTTGATTTCTAAAGGTGACAAGCATCACTATTGTTGGATAAAATATTTTACGAGGTTGATGTACGACGTTACGAAACATAAATGTAAGAAATATTTTTGTCGAAGATGTCTATGTCATTTTACCAATCAAAACAAATTAGACAGACATATCGCCGATTGTAAGGGTATAGATGCGCATCCATCAAAGATTGTATTTCCTATGGGTAAACCAAAATACATAGACGGGCAACCAGGCGAAAGAGACGTACCGATATTAGAATTTAAAAACTATAGGCACAAACAAAAAGCACCATTTGTCATTTATGCTGACTTTGAATCCATACTACAAACAACAACACCCACACAGACACTAACATCTAAACCTACTCACTCAGACAAAGAGACAAACACAAAAAAGATTAACGTTCACAAAGCTAGCGGTTATTCGCTAGTTGTAGTTCGATGCGACGCTAAAAATTTGTATCAAGAGACTTATAGAGGCAAAGACGCT